TTATAAATTTTTATTTAAATTTTATATAATTTATATTAAAATTTAAATAAAAAAATAACGAAAATTACGGTTTAAATTACTTATAATTTAAATTAATATTAATTTAAATACGGTTAAAAATATAAATTTTAATTATAATAATTATTTTAAAGCTTTTTTTAAAGTAACATTAAATAAGCAGTATAAGGCGTATTAAGTAAGCAGTATTTACCGTATAATTGCATGGATAACGGGGTAGGCAAGTATCGCACAAGTACTACTTGTATCCCCCATACAATTTACCTGGCTACGCATGTACTTTTTATGATAACGCTGCCAAACCTGTTAATCTTACCAAGTCTCTCCAAGCTATCTAAGATGCACGCCTTTTGATTGGCTAGCCTCATATCTAGTCAAATAGCCTCGTACAATACAGCCACCTGATTGGCCAGCCAGCCAGCCTTATACATACCTCACTTTACACCTTACATCGGGACCCCGTTTTCAGCCTTTTTACCTCGTAATGACTGCATGCGACCGCATTGGCTTTTAATTGATTGATTAACGTATGCGACCGAGTAAAGCGACCGAGTAAAAGCAATATAGTAAGACGTATAGGCTTTGCGTTGTAATTAAATTTAATTAATTGAATTGAATTGAATTGAATTAAACAAAAGGCTGTACGAGAGGGTGCAAGATAAGGTGCGAGATAAGGGTATTGCCAGGCAGGCGGTGTAGAGTTGAGCCAATGGGAGGGCGCGCATCCTTTGAAAGGTGGGGCGGTTGAGACTTGCCAGACAGTACAAGTGTACACTAAGGAATTTGTATGAGGGGCGAGGTACTTGGTGGTACATGACAACCCCGCATATTGCTTACCTAATACGGGTCGTACTACCTATTTAGTATTGCTCTTTTTTTAATGGCTTTTATTTTTTATAATTTTTATATTTTTTACTTTTAATAACTTTATAAATATAATTTTAAAAAGTTTTAAAAAAATCTTAAAATTTAAATAAATAAATAATTAATATTTTAAAAAAACTTAAAATTTTATTTATTTATTTCGTAAAAATATAAGTATTTTTATATAATACGTTAAAATAAATTAATAAATATTAATAAAAAAATCATTTTATATATATAAATATTTATTATTTAAATATTTTAACCGATTTTAAGTTAAATCACGTATATTTTAAACCGTAATTTTCGTTATTTTTTTATTTAAATTTTAATATAAATTATATAAAATTCGAATAAAAATTCGTAAAATCATTAAAATAAACGTTAAAAAATAATAATAAAAAACCGGGTATATACCGCGAATATTACATAAATAATAATAAATATATTATACGATTAATGTTGTTTTAAATAAATTAATTAATTTAATTAATTAAATTTTTAATATAATTGTTTTATTTTATTACGTTAAAAATCACGGGCGTTTAACACGTGTTTTACACGTGTTTTATACCCGTAACTTTTACGCGGTTTAATAAACGGTTATATAAATTAAATAATAAGTTTTTTAATTATATAACTTTTTTTAATTATATAACTTTTTTAAATTATATTATTTTAAAATTAAATTTATAATTTAAATTTTTAATTTTATATTTTTTTTATATATTATTACGTAATTATAATAACATTAAATTAAAAACTTTATAATTTATTATATAATTATAATAAATTATAAAATTTAAAAAAACGTATATATTTATAAATTTACGTAAACGTTTTTACGTGCTCGTAAACTCGCACGTAAAAATTCGTCGAAAACATTAAATCTTTTATTAATTTTTTTATTATTTATTAATAAATTACTTATTAATTACTTATTATTTTTTTATTATTTCTTTATTAATTTCGTATAATAATTTTTAAAAGTTTTAACGTAAAAAATGTTTTTAACGGATAATTATAATAATAATTATAATTAATTTAATTATTAAATTAAAAGTTTTTATTATAATTAATTACGTAATTAAAATTAAAAATAATTATAATAACGTTAAATAATTAAAATAAAATTAATAAAATTAATTAATTAATGTTTAATTTTAATTAATTAATGTAAAATTAATATATAAAAGTAATAAAATTAAATTAAATTTTATTTAAATTTTATTTATAATATATTAAAATTTTTTAATATAAATTTTTAAATAAATTTAAAATATTATATAAATAATAAAATAAATAAATATTATATTAATATTATTTATATTTTTTATATAATTTATTTAATTACGTATATATTATTTATAATAATATTATTAAATTTATTAATTTTTTTAAATTATTTAAAATATACGTTTTTTTATTAATTAACTTTATATAATATAATTTTTTAATTAATTAATTTTATTAAAATTTTAATTTTAATTTTTTTATTTTAAAATAATTATATATAATTATATAATATTTTATTAATATATATAATTAATTAAAATTATTATAATAAAATATATAAACTTTATATTATAATTAAATTAAATTAAATAAAAAATTATACGAAAAAATATAAAATAAAATATAAAATAAAAATATTATTAAATAAATAATATAAAATTTAATTAATAAAAAAATATATATTTATTAAAAAATAAAATAATTAAAATTTATTAAATAATATAAATATATAATAATAAATTTATATAAAAAATAAAATATTTAATAATGAGCAACACTAGTTGCGCAGTATGCCCATTGCTGCTTGCGCAGTATATAAAATACGTACCGCGTAACTTAAAATCGCTTCCCGCATTCAACCTTTAATAACTTTGCGAATACTGCTTCGAATCTTATATAATTTATACCATAATTTAAATAGGAAATTCAGCAAAATTACAATCCAGGGTGCACGTGATTCGGACCAGAATTAACCCGGATGCGGCTGAAAGTATAAATTTTAACTTTAATGGCTGTTTCAAGGCTCCTTTTAGTAACTTTTACCCCTTATAATCTCAACACCTTCAATCCTCAATAACTTTACGAATATAGCCCGGATAAATCTCGAAGAACTTTTAATATTTAAATAACTAAATGTTTAAAATTATAAAACAAACCCCAGATTTTTACCTATTTATTTCGTAAAGATACGGCTATATCTATAAAATACGCTAAAGTAAACTAATGAAAACCACTGAAAACATCACTTTGTATATATAAAAGCTTACTCTTTCAATATCTCAGCCAATTCGGACCCGAATCACGTGCAACCTGAACCGTATTTTTGCTGATTTTCTTATCTAAATTCTGGTATAAATTACATGAAAGTCGGGGCTGGATTCGTAAAGTTATTAAAGGAGATGTTGAAAAAGGGGTAGGTAATCCCCGGGTACGTACCGCTTTATACCCCGCATATTGCGCACCCAGCAATGGGCATACTACGCAACTAGTGTTGCTCTTAATAATATATAAAAATTTTATATATTATTTATTTAATATAAATTATATTATATTATTTATTTAATATTATTTTTAAAAAAATTAAAATTTAATTAATTATTAATTATATATATATATTAATATAAATTTAATATTATTTATATAATTATTAAAATATTTTATAATATATTTTTAATTAATATTTTTATTAATTTTTTATATAATTAAAAAAATTTAAATATAATATATTTTTTAAAAAAATTAATTTTATTTTATTTTTAATTATATTTAAATTAATTATTTAATTTAAATTTTATAATTAACGTTATTTTTAAATAAAATAAAGTTTATATAATTACCGTTAAACCGTATTAAAAAAATTACGGGTGTAAAATATTTACGAAACACGTGTTAAACGGCCGTAATTTTCGGCGCGGTAAAATTAAACGGTTATTTTATAAGATTTAATTAATTAAAAGGTTGTTTATAAATATAAACGGTGTTTTATTTAAAGCCCGTGACATTTTAACACGTAAATAAACTTAAATTTATCTCGTTTATAAAAAAAGTTTTTATTATAATTCGAATTAATTAAAGTTAACTTTAAGTTAATAAGTCATTTATTATTTATGGTTTTATGTTTACCTTTTAAAATGCTTAAAATGCTTATATGTATTATAATAAGTGAAGTTATTTTTAACCTCGTCGTCGTTATCGTTAAAATTATAAAACTCATTATTATTTATTCGTTAAATGCGTTATAATTACAACGTATACATTCATTAAATATATCATTTTAAAGTGTCATTAAATGCGTTATAACCTCCCCATTAAATGCGTTATAATTATAAAGCGTTTAATGGGTAATAACGCTGTAAAAAGCCATTAACACAATTAATCAACCTTAAAAAGCACCTTTGTTAGTGCGTTTCAAATTCAGCAAAAATTCCTAAAGCCTATTGGATGGAAAAGGAAGTATTTTGTAACACTCCACAAGCAAGATTATGGTGGGGATAAGTTAAGTAATACCTTTAAACGCATTGCTGATGCTTATGCTTACCCCCCATAAGTTTTTTCATGCTTATGTTTACAAACAGCCTCTAAATCAATCGCTTAGCTAGGTTGTAAACTCAGCGTTATTGTAGAATCCATCGGGGGTGCGGCCTGGTGATTACGTAAGTGTTGTGACGTAAACTCGGGCTATTGTACAGCCCTAAAGGGTTGCCTTTTATATAAATAAAAACATATAAACCATGCGTTATATAGCGCCGGCGGCGCAAACGGGCGTAAGCCTACTAGTTTCTCGAATTCTGGCTTAAGTTCGCTAAGATAACGTTTCTGAGTGTGCCGAGCCATGGCTAAAGGTGTTAAAGGGTGTTAAAAGCGAGGGTGTCGGGGGCTTCGAAGGTACTGGTGATGAGGGTATTAAAGGTATTAAAAGTGTTAAAGATGCCAGTTCTTCAAGGTCTCGAAAGTGCTAATACGTGGTGCCCTCCAGTTGAAAAATTGGTGCCAGGTTGGTGCCCCTTGCCATAAAACGGGTAGGGAGACGTAATCAACTTATGCAGAAAGTAGAACCAACAGGTTCCAACGAATCAACAAACCAACACTTAACCCAATCAAGAGGCGCCGTGACATTGTCACACTGTGTTTCATAACGATGAGAAAAATCAAGGCCTATTCCTATTCCTATTCCTATTCTATATTTAACTTTCGATGTCAGCTATGCTACTATAGGTGATTTGTCGTTAGTGCAGTAAGCTTTCTTGGATGTGTAGCTCTTGTCTTCCGTGGTTTTACTTCTTCATATTCCGACTAGTTACCTAGTCATTCCGACAAGAAGAATGACAAGATAACTCGGCGTTCCGCATTAAACAATGTCTCGAAAATATTTGATAATTATTGGCGCAACTATTGTCTCATGCCTTCTTCTAGCCTTCGGTTCTTCGTATAGTTCTATCGGCTCCAATCCACCCAACTGTCAGTTTATCATATTCTCACTAGGCTTCCTTTTAGCTATAAACTAACTCATTTATAAGTGAAATCGCCAGACAATATAAAGCCGCCAGCCGAGTCCCAACCTTCACTTCCCCCGGGTTTCCCCAAGAAGATTTGGCAGAGCTGGAAAGATGATTCCGACGACCCGACTGACCGAACTGTTGGCTTTCCACACCAATGGCGTGTCGTAAACCCTCAGCATCGATATGAACGTATCACCGACGCCAACGGCGAAACCTTCATTGCAGACCGTCTCCCTTCGGCTATTGCGGATCTCTTTGCCAATTTCACTGATCCTATCCTGAGGGCCGACTTCTTGCGGTATTGTGTGATGCTTGTCGAGGGTGGCGTATGGGCTGATATTGATGTCTTCCCTCACCGTCCTGTCTCTGAATGGGTTCCTCGGCAATACCTAGACAAGGCGAATCTTGTAGTTGGAATTGAGAACGATCACCACAAAAGACCCATTTGGCGAGGTTCTCCATATTCTGTTCAGCTCGCGCAATATACTATCTTGGCGAAGCCTCACCACCCGGCTATAGCTAAACTAGTGGATCGAGTCAAAGGGAATCTTGAGAAGTTATTTCAATCGAAGACGCCCGGAGGAACCGTCACCTTCGAGGATGTTATGGCAACAACGGGTCCTTTTGCATTCACCGAGGTTCTAATGGACTATTTCACGAATGCTACGGGTATCAAGCACACTGGAGATGAACTTGATAGTCTCAAAGAGCCAAAGCTCATTGGAGATGTATTGGTACTGCCTAAGGATTCTTTCGGCTGGCTACCGCAAGACCATTATCTCGAAAAGGGGGATCCTGGTATTCTAGTTGAGCATCTGTTTATAGCATCTTGGCGTGGAAGCCATCCGGGTTGACGGCGTACAGATCTGGGATTACTCTTTATGCCTCTCATGGTGCACAAGTCATTTTGGCTTCCATGATAATGTGTATATACTTCAGGCAAGCTTCACCGCGGGTTCATAGACCGCTTGACTATCTAGGGATTATGCGATGGTATTCCGTACACAACAGGATTTGTACTATAGTGCGAAACTGGGTGGAATCTAGGCTGCTGGGGACAGATATTCTCTGGGTGGCTCACGATCGCGTAACATTCGTGAAATTAGAGGGGCTCGGCAAGATATGTCGGGGAGCACATCATGTTAATAAATTCAAAATTTTCTCAGAAGTTTCTCAGAAGTTTCACTAGTTGTACTGATTACATATATTTCAGCTAGACGTAATTTTCTCTCTCTCTTTTTTTCCTTGAGGCTTGTTCTCCTGTGACAATAGGTACAGTGTGGATGAAATCCGGGATGGTTGGATTTCGAGCTTTGTGGGGATCGAGAAGGAATAATGCCGTTTTATCCTTGAGTTTTATGTCCTATGGAAAATCCCGGCTGTCTATTGGTTATTGGTTGTAGTTGTAGTTGTTGGTTGCTTTTCATGAATTGTTGGTTGTAGTTAATTGTTGAAGACATGGTTAGGGACCCACAAATAGCCCCTGACTTTCAATAATATACTCCTTTCCTTGCTTTGCATAAGCCTTCTAGTCACCGAAGAGGTAGTTCAGATCTGTTACACATTGGGCGTTGTGACAGAACCTAATGGGCTACTAGTTGAGCTGACATATTCGGAGTTATGTTCGGATATGGGCACATTGGCATCATTTAGGCCATTCCTTGGCTCGTGGACGCACAAGGGTTGAAAGTGGCCGCCTACATACAGCGCTGGCAGCACATTGCTTCTATTCTTCGGAATAGGTACCTGCTACCCCTATCAATCGTTCTATTTACCATTTGTTTGCTTTGTTTTGTCGTTTCCTGGTAGATTGCGAGGATATGAAAGTTACAATGGCGAGGCCGTCAGCTTTCTGGTTACGGCTTATACTTTTTTATTTCGCCTGTAATGCTTTTGCTGCCATCAACCGTTGCTATTATCCTAATCAACAAGAGGCTGAAGATGATTATCCTTGCAACCAAGATGCAGATTCCAGTGCTTGCTGCGGTGGTGGCATTGGTACTATTTGTCTTTCCAACGGTCTATGTCAAGGACCTAACGGAGCTGTAATCCGGGGTTCTTGCTCGGAGGAGAATTGGGATTCAGAGAACTGTGCAAACTACTGCTTAGGTGAGTTAACCAAACTTCTGCTTAGATACATTCTATCTGGCTTAGACGTTATTTATTGGCTTACATGATCTTTGAATACGAAGGTGCATCCCGAGGCGGTACTGACCTGATCTCTTGCGCAAACGTCACTAAGGACGACACGTCGTATTGTTGTAATGGTGCGGAAAATTGCTGTGATTCTGGAGACGGGCGGTTTTCTGTTGGACCGCACAATCCGACTACATCAGCAACCTGGAATGCAGCTTCAACCAGGTTCATAGTGGTGGGGACAACATCTTCAACATCAATAACTTCTTCAACATCAATAACTTCTTCAACAAGAACAGCGACTTCAGCATCTGATTCAGCTACACCTAATGCTACTAGCGATGATTCCACAAACGGTGTGCCTACTAATACAGATGTGGCATCCCAATCAGATAACACCTCTTCTGTCGGCACGACAGCTTCGCCTTCATCTGATCTCGGCGATGGCGCGAAAGCCGGGATTGGTATCGGTGCCGCAATAGGGGTGCTACTCATTGTAGGCTTGATATATGCATTATGGAGGCTAAGGAAGATGAATAAGATGTTAACTAAGGAACAATCCGGAACTCAATTAGACCAAACCCCCGTGTATCCAACGTCCCAGATCGCAACAACCCCGAATGGTGTCAATGTAGCGCCACCTGTACCTCCCAAAAGCGAAGATCAAATACCGGAATTGTACGGACACTACAGCCCTCTTCATGAATTACCCGCCGAATCTACATAACATATATTTCTTGGAAAGTTCCTGCTTAGAAAAGGGGGGCGATGGTTAATCAATTAGCAAAATAGCAGAGCTGTATATAATAAGCCGTCTCTTGTGGCCGACGGTATACTAGCCCGGGAGCCCGGGACATGGGCGATAGTCGGGTCTTGTTGAATAGTAATCTGCCTCTCTGTCGATATTTCGTACCGTGGTGGCATCATCGGTGCCAAGCCGGAGTGGGTGGTGGATTTAGGAAGGCGACCACCGCTATTGCTAATGCTTGCGACTTCGCGTTGCATTGTTCGACCCCAAAGGCCTTCTAGAACAGTAGATATGCTCGTTATTAGAATAGTGTATATAATATATTTTCTTTCTCTTCTCCGACCTAGTTAACTCTAGCTTATACGCTTCGATCCGTAGACAACATGAAGCTCGTTACTGCTATTTGGTTTACTGGAGCTTTTAAAGCTATTGTTCTAGCTAACCAGGACGGTAGTATCAGCTTTGATGGCTTCAAAGTTTATAGGATCGATACGAGCAACGACATTGCTGACATAAAATCAACATTCGATGATTTATCTATCATAGAGCTTAATCATAATCACCGTCATGGCAACTCAACGACTATTGATATTGCGGTTCCTCCAGAACATGTCGCGGCCTTCGATACGCTCGACTTTAATACTACTATCTTGAGCAGAAATTTAGGAGCAGACATCGCAACTGAAGGTTCCTTGGGTAGTTATCCGGGTTTGTGTTCAAAATCTAATTCTTCAATACGTCACTGACTGTCGACGTAGAACTTGACGGCGATGGTGTCCCAGGGTTATCCTGGTTTGATTCATACCACGCCTACGAGGATCACGTTCGCTACTGGGCCGATCTCCAAGCCTCGTTTGCCAACAACTCAGAGCTTATTCAAGTCGGATCCTCATTCGAGGGAAGGCCAATTCAGGGGATTCATCTCGTATGCAACATTAGTAGCCTTCCCCCTCCCTTTTTATACTCTATCAAACCACTTATTAAAAAGGGCGCTGGCTAACCTTTGATGTTACAGTGGGGTAGCAGCGGCAAGAATTCGAAACCAGCAGTCTTTTTCAATGGGAATGTACATGCTCGTGAATGGATCACCTCAATTGTACGTTTTGGCGTGGATTAGTCCGGCGGGTATATCGAACTACTAACTCACAAATCTTTATTCTAGGTGGTCGAGTACCTCTTGTACCAAATAGTGACTGGATACAAAAATGACAAGGCGGTACAAGCTGCGCTGGACAACTACGATTTCTACGTCCTGCCGGTTGTAAACCCCGACGGTGAGTAACTGGTCCCACAATGACTCCAGGAGAATATAATTCAGATCTCTAGTTAACACCACTAAGGTTTTGTATATTCCCAGACAACCAACCGGCTCTGGAGGAAGAATCGGCAGACGAGAGACAACACAACCGCAGTCGGCACAGATATCAACCGAAACTGGTCTGTCGGATTCGGAGGCGATGGGTCTTCTTCCAACCCGAGTTCCGAGACGTTCAGCGGCTATCAGCCCGGCGACGCGCCTGAAACTGCTGCGCTGATGGAATTCGCTCAAACGCTAGCTGCTAACCAAGGCATCAAGTTGTATATCGACTGGCACAGCTACGCCCAGGTAATTTTACTCTCATACGGCTACACCTGTGATAGCTTTCCAAAAAATATCGACCGTCAGATAAGTCTAGCTGGTGAGACAGCCGCCAGGATCGCACAGCCATGTATGTCTATCCCTCTAAAACCCCCCCTGACATTCATGTCGCAGCCTCAGATACAGCCCCAAGCCCTGGCAGAATCTTCCCGGAGACTCCTCGCCAGATCCTTGTGTCCTAACAGTCTTCAATATAGACAATACAACGTTCGATTATGGCCCAGGCTGTCTAGTATTGTACCAGTCGAGTGGAAATGGCAGGGATTACATGACCGACGCAGCCGGGGCTGAGTTCGGATGGGGAATTGAGCTTAGATCGACTTCTTACGGCTTCGTACTTCCAGCCGATCAGATTCTACCCAGCAGCTTGGAAGTTTGGGAAGGCATGAAATATTTATGGGCAAATATGTGAAAGTATTACCTTACAGTGGCGACACCATTTATACTATGCATAGGACGTACGTAGATATCGAGCTTGAAAAAATACTACGGTATTTTAAAAAGAGGGGGGGTATTTCGAATTAGCTATAAGCCCATATAGTAGCATTATAGGATTGCGATGTAGTAGGGATGTTATTGCCCTGGATTATGATATTATTTTTACTATTAACTAGGTATGTTTACTAGCTGGACTGTATAACGGGTAAATCTAAAGAGAATATAGACTGCGAACCCCGTCGCCGTTCCTCCTCCTCCCCTTTGAGTATGTTACAATACTATTTCCTAGCAGAGGTCTCATTCCGTAATAATGACACCTTTAGTATTTGTACTTACCGGGATTCACTCTTAAAGCTTCGGTGTTTGCCATGACTTTTGCACCCGTCGCGTGTTTCTTAGAACGCATGCGATATCTAGCATCATTCACTGCATTTACTAGTGGGTTGTTTTCATACCCCCTGAGCCCTTCCAAAGACCTGCCTTCCTTCCTAACTTCTTCCAGAGAGAAAGGCTGTGACTTATCATCGCGCCCATCGTATCCACTGGACGTGGTATTTGCCGTCGCTCCAAGCGCGGTCCAGCTTAGACGTTGCCTTCGTGTCCTTAGCCGCTCGTTAGTAACGCTCTGTGCCAAGGCAGCCAGCTCTCGCATTTCACTCAGTTCGCGATCTATTTTGCATACTTGGCTGAGTACGCCGTGTCGAGGATTCCCATCGGGTAGGAGAGCGTTGAAGTAGTCATCCAGGGTGTAATGACGACTATGAGGTAATAGGCGAGACTTTGCTGAAACTAGCGTAGTGGTATGAATGGTGTATAGACTACCTACGAAGCGACCTTCTAACCTCTGGCGTATCCCAAGAAGCACGCCGATTTGCGCAAATGGGTCATCTGTAAACGCAAAATGGGTGACTAAAGGGTAAAGGGATTCCGAGTCATCCTCGATTCGTTGGTATGAGACATGTCCAAGAGGCAAGGTCATTTCTATGGATGCAGCGCCGAATGTGAACACCTGGAGCTTGCCTAGTCGATCTCCAGGAGGGAAATCGGCACAAAGGCGGGAGAGTAGCCATGAGACATCCAGAGCCCCCGTGTTATGCGCAAGGATGCGAACACCTTTCGTTTCTGGCTTCAATAGGCTTGCTCGAACGGAGTTATAGAGGTTTGAAGATCTTGTCGTAGGGATATGGAGACTTCGTTGGAGGAATATAAGCATGATGTCGAATAAGAAGCCTAGCTTATAAGCCACGAAGATGTGCATGTCGTGACCAAAGATTCTCGTTAGTTTTGGTGCAAGCTCCTGGCGCATGTGCTCATCGTGCATAAATCCACCAACAACAAACCAATCGAAGCGCTGCTCTTCGCTACTTGAGATGTCATCTTGAAACCTCTCCGTGACGAATTTTGAAGGCCGCGGCCCACCGTTTATATAACGGATAAGAATCCATACACAAGCTGTTTGCAAGGCCAACCAAGGTAAAAGGATTAAGCCAGGAAACGCTAGCCACAGTAGAGAGATAGATAGCAATAATTGTATCTCGAGGAGCGATAGCAGGGAATAAAATGCTATTTCCCGTAACTCAGCCCAGCTTGCTTCCCGTCGACGATCAATTATTGACGCGCCGACGGCGGAGAGAATACGTGGGATAGCAGCGACAACATAAGGAGCGTCTGCTTTGAGTAAAGACAAGAAAGTTTGCTGATGGCCCAACGGAGTTGTTCCTAGCGCGCTGTCTTTGAGGGCTAAAGCGAGACTCAACGACATGTTTCCCGTATGAGCACGCCGCGGCAGTTCCTGCTTTGGGGCATGATATGAGGCGATGCGAGAGGTAGCCATTGGTTCATGTCGCATGATTCGGCAGGGAATCTTCAACCCCTCGAAGCTCAGCACAGCTAGGGCCGGATGCGTAAAGAAAAAGATGCCATGTTTGGTGTTATTCCTCGATGGAATTTATCGACAATCCAGGCTAGGTCCAACATACATTCCAGCGGCACACGCGTTCATACTGAGGTCTTTGTTCCTTGGACGAAAATAAACAAACGAACAAACTACCATCCATAGCGATACCTACCTATGCGTTAAGTCGTCCCCCTTTTAGGAGTTTCTTGCCTTGACTAATGCATCGTGCGTTGGGCACTTGTAAGAAAACTTCCTGGAGTAGACTTACCTGGTGGGATGATATTCAAACTAGCTGCACATGCACATAGTACCCGAAGCCATTAGGATCTATGAGATTATGTGAATAAACAGGTGATAGCGCAACGTGGCTAAACGTAACCCCGGGATTCTGGAGGTAGCCAAGTAAGGTAGAGGACGTATCGAGATTTGAGATTTTTATTCTAGGTACCTAAGTCATGGATCAGGTATCCTCCCTTGCCTATGATTTTATCCCTCGGGGGAAATGCAACCCCGGCGAGTTTAAAGATATCTATTGTATATGTCGGTCTATAAAACGTATAGACGGAGGTGTGTTCCGCTTCCGTCGAACGGGCCTTGTCTTGGTCGGCCATGTCTCCGAGTTGTAAGATGTATACCTACCTCCTATATATAATATGATATAGATATTCGTAGAAGAACGGGTAGCATCGGGGATTGTGGATATTTGACTATTCTGACAGTTTCTGGAACCGTGGTAGCGGAAGAAGGGAATGAGATAGAAGGGGAGTTGTAAATTGAATTCTTCTATTTCAGGACTTGTAGAGTCGTTGCGGGGATGCTTGGAGATACTTGGCGTGGGCGTTGATTTAGCCTACGGTTGAAGTAATCCCAGGAACCTGTGGCTCAGTGGCTATGGTCCACTATGGGGAATTTAGTGGTAGATCATGCTACCTTGTAGCGGGCTAAGGAGCCTATTGGGTCAATCCTAAGCTAAAATTAGTACTACATACATACCACACACGCCTATTGAATTACCAAGAGTACTCTATACCAAACTTAATATGCCTAGGTACCTACTGGACTCTTTGGAAACCTCCAAGTTAAGATACTCGAGATCTAGAACGATAAGGGTACGTATAGTCACTCGTATGGGCTAGAATCCTTGGGTGGCATCAAACTTATATAAAATATAAAATTTGTACATGTGGTGTGAGACGTGTCGTGATTGCCTCGATCTGATCGTGATACCATCATCGTACCTTTTTCATCTAATTATGTAGGTACCTAACCTTTTTGCTTTTGCCTTGGCCATCTCGTACTTTCTATCACCATCCCATACCTTAAGTGCCTATGAGGTAGTTACAGTACGTTTAGAAAGAACTTAAATTCACCCGTTTCCTCTCCTCGAAATTCCAACATCGTCTTCTCATCATCACGACACATCCTAAATCACAAACAAGAACATAAAGTTTCACCTCTGTGCCACACCATCACTCTGATCCTATAATCTTCAATCTCTTCGTACTACTTCTCGATAACAAAAACCTCGTTCAACTAAAGTCACAATGAAGTGGCCCGTCAGCCTTCTCCCCCTTGGCCTTCTTGCCACTTTCGCCTCCGCCGCCCCGCTTGTAGAGCGACAACTCGACCTCTACGAACTCCAGATCTCTTGGTAATTGCAACCCGTTCTCTATTAGTATCGCTATCTTCCTTACCGCTACTAACAACATCTATAGCCCGGCCAACAAGAAAATCGACGGCCGCTTCCTTGCGCTAAAGAACAACACATTGGGTGTTTTCGACGGAGACGATATCTCCCCTGTCAAGGTCTACACCGTAGATAGTGAAAAACAGGGCTGCAATGAGCTACACACGTACCCAGTTGGCATCGTCGACCATTCTATTGGACTCATGGGTCCGCCTAATCTGTTGACTCTCGTCGACATGATGAACCCGCAAACAGTCAAACCCGATGAAGGAAACATTGCCCAGTGGGACACTTTCCAGCTTGCGGACGGCAAGCTTACCAACAATGTCGAAGGACAATGGTTAGCATTCCCGAACGGCCACGATACTTGGAAGGTCAAATGGACTGATGGTGAGTAACCAAACGCACCCCCAGAGTTTAGATAGTTACTAATAACTGGTGTAGGCTCGGCTTTTATGACCACCGACTTCATGATTGTTGACGTTCTACTTAAGAGCGCCGGCGAAGGTCGTTATAACGGGGACTAAGTTGGTTGGCCATGTTGCTAGATGAGAACCAAGGGAAGAGGAAAAGGATAAAAATTCCGTGATGCATGCATAAGACACAAAACATGTAGAGCACTGCTATCGGACTCTCCTAATACTGCATGACCTAATTGTTTCATTATAGGGGTAATAAAAGTTCAAGTATGCCTTTAATTATTCTTTCTAGCTGGAAGACTAATGTGTTTATCGTATTTGTTTCTTCGAATTACTGTAAGATAGTATTATTAGGGTTTCTATCTTGAAGATATTCGGTGCCGCTTTTCAGTCGAAATAGTCTCAATATTAAAACTTCATCATCAATATTATATTAAGTACCTATCGGGCTCTTGGTAACGTTACTTGTTAATTGCGCCAACACTAGGAGATACTTTCATAAGACAGCATTGAAGAGTAAGTATGTCACTACGGTTCTATATATGCTACTCCCTAGGTAACATTCGTTCCTTTATTCTTTGGCTTATATGGCTTATATGCATGCAGGCAGCAGAATAAATCGATTGGGTACCTAGGTATGTAACTTAAATAGGTTAAGTAGAGCGGGTAACAATCATGGTCTTATACACCTCCGCCGGGATGGTAAGTGTTAGGGGCTCCACTTGAACCATTCATAATCCACAGGTAACTTACAGGGCGATTTCTATGAAGAAAATACGTAGTAGTATATATTGGTGGCTTATGCGAGGCCTAGTATCTTCATGATTCTAGAAATTGATAAGTAAAAGTCAGGGGATTTCCCATATAAAATTCCCTGGCAGCTACCTGTATATTGTGTATGGTTCAAGTGGAGCCCCTAACACTTACCATCCCGGCGGAGGTGTACGTACCTAACGTAGGGCTGAACTATTCGCTCTTCTGATTTGCGGGATCGGATTTGATCCCCACTTCTGCAATCCTTAGACCTGTATTTCCAGCTGCGCCCCCCTGACCCCTGACCCCTGACTCCTGAGCTTCGACTACCTGGTAGGTTAAGAAATTGATAGGTTTATCATTGCCAACGTTTCTCAACGACGACATCAATCTAGAAACCTTTCACGCCTATTTACCTTCTTAAGCGGGGCCTTACTTAGATTATCACAGGTTCGATCGGATCGAGCTCCATTTACGACTCTAGTCTCAACGTAGCTGTTAACAACATTACTATGGCTCGTAAAGGCAGCACTAAAGTTAGGACGGGTTGCTCAACATGCAAGTACGTTGATCTCGAATGTGACGAACAATTTTTATAAATTTTTTTTTTTAAAAAAAAAAAAATAGAAAAAAACCACAGGAAGCTAATAAGAAAAGAATCCGCAAAGTAAAATGCGACGAAGGCAAGCCGCATTGCCAGCGCTGTATCTCTACTGGCCGAAAGTGTGATGGGTATGTGCAGGCTACAACGTCCTCGGATCTCACGTGGCACCGCCCCCGTCATTTATTCCCAGGAGTCGACAACGTAGAGGAGAGGAGAGCGTGTACGTAACATTGAACATCTCTTTACCTCCACTGATCTTTATTATCATAGGCCAGTACTCCCTAGCGGAATGTACTGGGGAATACTAGCCCAGACCCTGCTTAGTATTCATAAATGATTTATAGGAGTGTTATACTAACCCTTATGTCAAGTACAATTCTTCTGTCAGGCTGCCGGGCCATCTCTGTCGGGGCCGATGGACCCTTACTTCTGGACCCATCTGGTAATGCAATTCTGCAATTTCGAGCCCGCTGTCAGACATTCCGTAGTAGCAATTAGTTCGCTATACGAGCGCATGAAAACCCGGTCACAATCTGCCCAGCGGCCGGTCGATAACAGATTCGCACTTAGCCATTATAATTCGGCGATCCGAGAGTTGAAGTCTATGAACAACGAGCCCTTGGTGCTACTAGTTTGTATCCTGTTTGTATGCATTGAGTTTTTACAAGATAACCAAGGGGCGGCCATACAACACTGCAAACATGGAGTATCCATTCTGAAGAATGCTGAGGCTGCCTTTCCCTGGACCAAGGAGTATCTCTCTCCAATATTTCGACGACTAACTATCTTCCCCTTCTTCTTTGCGCTAGACGAAACAAGCTTTCCTAAACTTATCAATCTAGAAGACCAGGTTCCAGAATCGTTCGCTTCCTTTGAAGAGGCGCAATACTTCATCGATGGCGTTTTACTCAGAACTATCCGTCTTGTTCGAAGCGGAGATTGCTATCGGCTTGGGGATATGCACCGCTGTCCCGTAAGCCGAGCTCTCCTAGTAGAACAGGACAATACACGAGTTTTGCTGAATGACTGGAACGACCGCTTCTCGGATCTGCGAAACCGTCCTTCGACACCCACAAGGCCGGAGGAGATGCTCTGTAGCATTTTTTTGCGGTATGAGATTGCTCGAATATGGGTAGAAACAGCGTTCGAATACGATGAGACAGTATACGACAAGTATATTGGTAGATTCCGCTTGATGGTTGCTACGGCAGCAAAACTAAATTCGGCCAAGGCACTTAAACCCGACAATTCACGAGGCACGCGGAAATTCATCTTTGAAATGGGATTTGTACCACTGCTTTACTATATTGTGATGAAATGCCGATGCCTAAAGACTAGGATCGAGGCGCTTTCTTTAATGAAAAGGCTGGGAGTCGCTAAGGAAAACCTCTGGGAAGTCTCTACAATGCATGCAGTTGGCCGTCGCATTGTTGAGATTGAACACGACGTTCTGCTAGATGAGAAAGATAACCCCTTCACAACGCCCGTCTGGCCTGGTTTGCCCCCTGATGAAATGAGAGTAAGAGATTCTACCACGAGGCCTGCGCTTAGCATGCAGGTCGACGCACGAGACCAGGAGATTCGGGGGAGGATGGCTGGGTTCTATAGGAGGACTGTTGAGGGTGATATATATCTCCAAACAGATTTCGTTGCTGAGATAATATGATACTTAAGACGGTGCTTCTTGGAAAAAGACCAATGCGAATTTGAGACTTGGGTTAGATCGAAGTTACAGTAATCACTTGTAGTTAATAGAATTTCCTAGAATCAACTTAGGTTAGAGAACGAACTATTTACGATTAATTTAACCTCCAAGAGTTAATTACATTTAACATCAATTACCAAGTTTCAAGCTAAAATTGGTAGAGTTGTGAATCTCTGTCTTGTCGAGGCGGAGTTGTGCATTAATGGAACGCTTCCAAACTGCTGATTGGCCAGCTCGGACTATGTAACAGCCCAGGACTCAGCCATAGATCCATCCCCCCATAGCGTTGTATGATAGATATCTACGAAGCTACATCTAGTTTTATTAGCATATAAGAGCATATAAGACTCAAGCGGAGGCTGTCGTCTACATCATCTAAATAGAATTCGTAGACATTTTTCAACATTATAAAGCACTCTTGGAATCTGACTTCGTCACCGTTATTGTTGCTGTTCGCTACGATCTCCTTGCTATAACAACAATACCTAGTTCCAATGGCTACGCCAACCCTCATGGCACCCGAAGGGCTCACCCAGACCTTCCAGGCAGCAACTAGACAAGCAACATCTGTCGTGACGGACGCCTCAGTAAATACAGGTGTATATTTCTTAACTACGCAACATGCCACGATAGACGGGTTTACCAACGCTCACGCTACTGTACCGGCGAAGACAATCGACATCGTAATACCGACATGTATCCAGACAATTGAGCCAGACGCAAACGGGTACTTGCCTCCAGGAACATGTAATGCCCTTTGGAGTTACTACCCAAGCTTCTCTGCCGCAATGGCCTTCACCATTATTTTTGGGCTCCTTACTCTCACCCATTTATACCAAGCAATAGCTCATAGGAAGGTAATTAGATCCTGGCGGCTGGTCGAAGTCAAATGATACTAATACGGTCTGATAGAAATTCTGCTGGGTCATTGTCATGGCTAGTCTCTGGGAAACGATGGCCTACCTATTTCGCACTATCAGCACTCGCTATCAGCAGAGTTCTGGTGTATATCTCGTGTTCCAGATATTCATTTTGCTCTCGCCGCTGTGTAAGTAGACGTATGACTAAATTTACCAAGTAAGCTCTGTTTTGCTCCTAACACGATGTAATAGGGGTGAACGCATTCGACTATATGGTTCTCGGTCGAATGATATACTATTTCGTTCCTTCGCGGAAGATATTTAATATACCAGCACAAGCCATAGCTGCAGGCTTTGTCACATTTGGTAAGGACTTCTCTCCTTATAAGAACCGCTGCATATTTGGCGTGCCTGGCCTTCGAAATTTTTTTCCATGCTGATCGCAGATAAACACTAGACTTTGTTGCGTTCGTGATTCAACTCGTAGGTGGTTCAATGGCTAGTCCGACTGCACCACCGGAGGATCAGTTGAAGGCTATCCATATTTATATGGGGGGTATCGGACTGCAACAGTTCTTTATAGTCATATTTGTTGCGTTCGCAGTTGGGTTCCAGCTGGAAATGCGCAACGTCAAAACTCCCAAAGAGACAACAGCTAGGAATTTAAGCTGGCGTCCTTTATTATTTACGCTATATACTACGTTAACCTTCATCACGGTAAGTATTGGGAATACGCATCACTTATAGTTATTGCTAATGAGTTCATGAAGATTCGTATCATATTCAGACTAGTCGAGTTCTCGTCCGGCTCTACTGGCGTATCGAACCCCTTGGTAACCAACGAAACTTACTTCTATGTACTTGAGACTGCTCCCATGATGTTAGCTATTCTCGGCTTTAACATCATACCTCCGGGAAGGGTTCTTGTAGGACCCGAGTCTGAGATGCCTGGGTTTTTTGCGACCTGCGTGAGCGGTTTTCGGACGAGGAAAGAAAGAGGACAATTTGGAAAGCTTGAAGGATCCGACAACGAAGAGATGGAAAATCTGCGACCATAATACCTACCTAGGTTGGTCAACCAAGTCCTTCTTAGAACTTTGTACTAGGATCGGTAATAGCGTTTAGATGACCAAGGAGTACGACGGAAAATGTAGCCATATTAGGCTCGTCTAATGAGATGGCGCTGTCCGATTCGTGGAGTAGTCTGTCGGATAACCCCAACTGCCCGTGTAGCTTAGACATGCATACGCATTATGGAGGATCGAGCATCCGTCTCGCATACTTGTAATATATCCAGAACAGCACTTTTTTCCCCGATGATCTCTGGGTGCCACCTTGGGGTACTTTACCTGGACCCCTCACCGTGTTTTGCTCCTGCATCTTTTCTTTGCTTCGCTCGTCACAACGGTTCATATATCTGGGATAAACTTAATTATATGTTAGAACACATATCCAAGCAATTGACCACTTACAAGAGGCTCGTTTAATATTCATACAAAATGACTTCAGGCTCTGGTACCTCAAACGAACCGGCGAAGCCGTCTCCCCAGCTTTCTCCTGATCTTCCGAGTACCACCACGTACCTAACAGGCCACAATGATGAGGGAAAGGCAATTGTGCAATCGGCGCGGCCGGCAGCGTGGAAGGCTTTCGAAGGGGGCATCAGTACGTTTTTGCTCTAACGACATCCCCCCCTTAAAATATAGATCCCGAACTCTTGAATGGAGATAATCTTAGGCTTCAAGTCCCCTATTGAGCTCTTATATGTCACATATTCTAACCTACGCTGTTATTTGTTATAGTGGGTTTCAACCAGATTTATACCAACAAATTTCTGCCCGATTTGAACAACGATGCAGATATAAAATTCCACGACGAGATAATCGCGGGAGGAAACCTCGGATTAGCTACTAAAGGCGGGACCGTTTGCCGCATGGTCGACTTCGGGCCGCAATATGAGTGTATGATGCACAGAACCAAGTCGCTGGACTTCGGTATATTGATCGAGGGAGAACTGGAAATGAAACTAGATGACGGCAGTATCACAAATATGAAGCGAGGCGATATAGCAGTTCAGCGAGCAACGATGCACGCCTGGCGCAATCCGAGTACCACTAACTGGGCTCGTATGGTATTTGTGCTTCAGGATACGCAGCCATTGTTTATCGGAGGGAAGAAATTTGGAGAAGACTACGGTAGAGGTACTCAAGACCTCCCACCGAGTGGAAACGACGACGAATAAACTAGACGATTCCCCTTGCTAGAAGGGAGAATAGATGTAAATGGTTGATATAAAATGGAAATTCGCAAATAATGTGTTGATGAGATGTGAGATGTGTAATTTTAATAAAGCGAAATATGTACTTAAAAAGATACATAGTGGACCATCCCACATATACGGATACACCATTGGTCAATCACATCATCACATGGGTACAGCAAAAATCGACAGCGGAACGGTGAAACTTTCAATCGCTACCCCGCCGTCGGGTACCTAATCGTAGTATCGATTAAAAGTTAGGTACTTCCGGCCTACCGTATGGTACTTTAGGTACTATAAGGAAGCTGCGGACTGCTGCAAGCTCTAATAAGTCGTTATCCATCAGTCGATTTTATGGCGAACCTCAAAAATTTATCGGCGACTTATTGATAAATGATAAATGTGACGGCTTAAAGAATATACGCCAATCCACCTCGACAAACAACAAACACTAGGTAACAAGATTACTTAACGAAGTCAATCCTGATTAAATACACCTGCGCAAATACGTATACAAAATTATGGCTATAGACTACAGCCCGCGGACCGTCGCCGACGCCACGCGATTTACGTCTAATACCCCCCATGCGAAAGCGAAAGCTTCATCCCGCTCTCCTCCGTCGTCAAGCAGCTCTTCCACCTCCGCTACCTCGTCGCAGACAACCCAGAGAAGTATGCCGCCGCCCGGCATGCCCAGGCCTTCGGCGCCGGAGACCATGGAAGAGCGCGTACGTCGGCTGCGGGCCGCACATCTCGCAGCGAGGAAGCATGAGACATCGCGGTTTGACCGTGTTGTCGACGTGTCTAGGAGGTACTTTGATGCCGCTCACAAATTTACTGTTTTGGGTTTGATCGGATTTAGTGGTAATGCTCCCTATATACATTCTCTGGTTTTTCCTACCCTGTTCTAATTGCTATATGCTTGAATAGGCCTTGCACTCTTCGTCACAGTCTACGCAACAGCCGATATGATGGTACATAACCGCAAGCGCCGGAACGAGTTTTTTGCTCTTCAGAAGCAGCTTAGAACCGACAGTCTGGAAGCTGCACGTCTGGCGTACATAACGGGTACAGCATCCGAGGAACAAGTTAGGCTTGTAGAAGAAGCCGAGGAAAAAGCTAGACAGTCAGGCATAAACTTACCACCCTTGCTATCTTCACCCAAGCCAATTGCTTCGGAATCGGGCGCAATTGAGAGTACGGAGAGAAGCGCCTGGCCGGGAGAGTCTATGACCGAGAGTAGTATGTCCGCTGCGAACGAGGTGGAGCAGCCTAAGAAGAAGAAGGGGCTCACTTCGTGGTTATTCGGCGGGTTAAAGAATGAAGAGGCTAGCGAGGAGCCCTTACAATTCGACAAAGAAGCCGCGGCGGCATCGGGTCTGTCTTCGCGGTCGAGTATCGCTGGTGCGGTTGACGGGTCGCAACAGGCGTTAAAGGACAAGGCGAAGGCAGCATTCGATCAGGAGCGGGAGAATCAAAGGAATGGAGGACTTCTAGATCAGGTCGGTTCGAACGGGAAGTCGACCAGTAATGAAACCAAGAAGAGCGGGTGGTGGTAGTGAGCCTGACAGAAACTTACTACCATGATCTTCAACAAAGTAGGGTGGCAATTACTATATAAGCCAACCGGCTGCGATACTCCGCTGTATATAGGTTACTAACGTCGTTTATATCGGATATGACATGAGTTTGGTATACTCGTTGATGAGAAGAATATCGGTGTATCATTACCGTATGAAAAGGACAGAGCATTGGACTGGGCGTATTGGACGATAGATGAGTATTCTACTGTATAATTCCTAGTTCATCAGTTCACCTCCCAATCTAGCATGTATGTACTTAGCTTAGGTACCTCTGATTCCCCTGACTCTGAATTTTTGTTTTGGATCAGGCTATAAGTTCAACACCGAGACATTAAATTTAAAGGCGCAACAATATGTAATCCCACCACTCACCACGTGCTTATTCTATACTCCTTAACGGCCTATTTTCACCATTTAAAGGTTTTTATCTCGAATGACTACTTTGCCTCCCATTTGTCCGACAACTCCACTCAAGGGATTGCTCTTGGTACAGAGGATATTCAATATCTGAGCCAGCCCTCAACTTAGTCCAGCTTTTTGCCTTTGGACGCCAATGACACCATAATCTCCCTAACGCAAAATATAGAAAAAAGGGAAATAGAGAGAAGGGTAATTATAGACTTGATATAAAATCCCATATCCCCTCAGCTCCCGATTTACCCTCGAATGAATGCACATATTTCTCCTTGAGGTCAATAACCAATGACCAAATGCAATAACGACCGTAAAATTGGGTATTGGCGTAATGAGCGAATGAAATATGCAGGTAACAAGAAAAACAGGGTAATGATGAATAAAACTATGACGCGGGAGAAAAAAAAGACCACGTGGGTTCACTATGGTATAATGTTTGCGTCTGAGGCAGAAAATCTTGGAATACAAGGGGGAAAAAAAGTCATACTACTCGGCTCCAAGGCAAGCCACGTATTATTACCGTAATAGTAGGATCTAAGGAAAGAGCTTGGAGGCCTACTTCGCCCTTATAAGTTCGTCAAGTCCAAGCTACTGATGGTAAACAGCCCCTGAATAGGCCTGGTGCTCCTTATAAGAGAAATAAATAACCGTCGAAACCTCGAGCGTATCTACTGCATGCAGAGCGTTGCCTGTAATATGGCCCACGTATTTCCCACTGGTAGTCGGAAAAATGACATTTGAAAACGTCTTCATGTGTGATTTATCCTTGCTTATCTCCTTTTGGGAACGCTCGTGTTAAGGTATAATCCCGTCTTCGGCAAACCTTATCATGCCCTCAAGCCAGGTGCGTAGCTTAATGATAACCCTATGCTAGCCATGCTAGGAGATAATGATGTGATTAAAGTGACCTGGAATCTTCATGCGGCACTTCTCGCAGTCAGCTCGGTAGCCTATACTGAATGACTTCTTCATGCCGGGTTGGAGTGTCCAGTTATTGACGGTATGTTTGCTACGTGAATGGCCAAACTTGCCTCTTGGCGACGGTGTAGCTGGCGCCGAGGAGGGGGACGATGCAGTATCCGTATCCATCATACCGGCATCGTTGTCGACGACTTGAGGGATGGTCTGGATATTGGGATGGAGAGCCATGGCGTGAGGGTTTGTTGAATGAGGCATATGGGGTAAGTAAGGTCTCTGAGGCTGAGACGATGTAGAGTCCAGCACCATACCTGGGCTTACTGGTATATCTTCGCCGCCACTCTCACTAATAGGAGACGGGAGACGCCGGGTTTGGACCATGGACCATTCAATAGCACCACTTAGAGATCTTGGTACCGAAAACTCGTCATGTTTCGTAGGGAACGGCTGAGTGTGCGCAATATCACATTCGTTATCCGGCACCATAGCATTGCTCGACCGGTTTGTTGCATGCACTATCTGGTTTATCGGGCCCCAGCTCTGTCCTCGCACTTGCGCTGCAAAAGTACAATGTATAGGGGTAGGTAACCGTCCGGTAATACTAGCGTTGATGGAGTCCGCTTGGGACGGGCCCGGTTGGAAAGGTTCGGACGAGCAATCATCCATCATGTCCATGTCCCTATCGATGTCCATGAGCGGATTTGATTGTTGCCGATGTTGCGTATCTTCCGAGTCAGAATCCGTCGGTGTGATAGTGGAAGGGGGACTTGATGCTGCGGTTGTTGCGGCCGCCGGAAGGCCCGGTGGTCCTGGCCATCGTTTCTGTGTTGGAGAGGTGCGTAGAGGAAGAGACTGTAGACGTTTCTGTTCATAAAGGTTAGGTTAGTCGTGACTTGCTGAGCTGCGCGAACCAGATCATAGTGTCGCATGGGTTGCCATTGATAGTCGCGAGTAGGGTATAAATCATTATTGCTAATACTAACATTACGGTGCTCGGTAAAGCCGAGAGTCCCATTCATACCGTCCCCCACGTTGACCTGGATGCCGTTGTATTGCTCCTCATCTTCCCTCTGGCGTTTCCGCAGAACCTCCTGCCGGTGAGGGTCAAACATATTTATTATCGGAGATAGCTGTGTGGTGAAGATGCCGAAGAGAAATCGAAGACCGGAGCGTAAAGAAGATCGAACTATACTCGAAAGCTGTCGCCAATTAAAAGTAGGAAGGATGATAAGATCGATTTGTAAAAGAGGCCAAGAACTAGCAGGCCGCGGGACTGTGCCGGAGCGATTGAAATATTATATGTCAATTGTACGATATGCCGCAGTGCCAGGCTTTCGGCGGGGAGGGGGGGATGACGGAGGTGGGAATAGGAATGGGGAATCGAGACTGGAATCTTGGTTCGTGGCTGGCTCCAAACCGACGGTGCTCTTTCAGTCGTTGATCAACCGTTTACGAAGGAAGAATACCTAGTCAAATGGCTGGTAGTTTCTTCTCGAAACGAACCCCCAAATAGCCTCGACCTTACCAGTCAATAGCAGATTATACATATAAACAAAACGCATGAAGCACAAGCTCGAAAATCAAAAGAAAGGAGAAAAATGTTAAAAGGATGTAAGAAGGGCACCTGCAACAATTCGCCGGTGACGGTGACGGTGACGGTGACGGTGCCTACCTCAGCCCCAAGTTTCTGCCAGTTCCAAAAGCACCTGGCACCTGACGATTGTGGGGATTTACTTAGCTAGTGTACATAAGTCCAACGCTCTTGCTCTTGCAGGGGACATCCTTTGCAATGGATCATCGCATCAAGGACGCCAGCCTTGTGTATTCTTTGCGTTAGTCATCTACTTCGGTACATCATATGCATGTACCTCAGTTACGCCCGTACTCAGACATTCTGACATTGGGCAGGTACCCAACCGCATGCATAAAGCATGTACGTAATTCGCACAATCTATTATTATGCAAGACCCATAAATTATACATGTGGGTCTATATAGGTACATACATAACTTAGCATTCATAGATCAGGTACATAACACAAAAAACACAAGGAATGACATAACCAGAATTGCACTAACGTTTGAATTATTACCTATGTACAAGTGCACATGTGCCTTATCAACTAAAACTAATGCTCTCTGTTTCCCTCCTCTTTCTTTGTTAGTTATATCATCTTAATTCTACCTACATTATAAGTTCAACTATTCTCTCTATATTGTTCAATAATTTAAATAAACTATAAGGCCCTTGATGGACGTGGCGTAGATCCGTCCAGTCACTTCGTTTCGGATACCCCTAAATGTCTCTAACTGTCTGAGAACTCTCTGACTGGGCCGCCTGTCTTGGTAGGCGTCTAGCAAGGGCACGAGATAGAATTCCACCGGCGGTATTTTATGTTCCTACAACTAGAGAGGCATTATACGCTGATCTCGAACGGGTGGTTGCAGCGATGAGATACAAGGGATGTTTCACGATCGATGCCGCCGCAGCCAAACAGGTACTCACCAGCTGCCCCGCTTTGGCAACAGTCCGGGTATTGTCGTCTGAGTTTCGACATCGCGAGTGGTTCCGTTTAACTCCAATTCAGTGGTCCGAGCTATATCGAGTCCTCATTGTTTAAGAGTAGCTACCAGCCGGAAATATTTACACTCCAAGGAGGAAGGTTATACTAATGCCAGCCTAGAGTAGCAGGGTTATTGCAGTACTCTAGCGTTTTGATTAATCCATCCCAAAATATTATATTTTGCGTACTGTGAAAGTCAACAGGTGTAGGTGGCGGGATTGGCAAAGCGTGCCGGATAACAATATCCAGCAGCCTTTCGGCCTCATCCTTCTCACTCCGTCCAACTTGCTCCTGCGGGTTCCGATACTTCAATCTCATATTCGAGCTCGCATCGCCCTCTTCACTTAGGGCCCACTTCAGCCAAGCACGAATAATGAAGCAACACGGATAAAATAAAGCCACGAAACCTGTCAAAATCATGATATAAAACATCACGTAGGAGATGACCACTAAGACCCATTTGCTTAATAAAGAAAGGTACTCGTACGGCATATTATTACCTAGCGAAATTGGCTATTTCTAGTGATTATTATGTATAACCGGTCCGGTTTACTACGAACAATCCAGCGTCTTGAAGAAGTTAGCTTTATGGGCAAGCATATCATTTATATACCTAGGTATGTTTCGGTAAGTTGAATCTCTATATAGTTACAAAGCGATCGTACTCATACACAGCAACGTATAAGAACTCGCAAATACCTACTAGTTAATTCAATTAGTTAAAGAACATGTGCTTTACTCGGTAATTAATATTTTGCCTTCACATGATCTAGGGTCCTTAGTGTTATAGTTCGTCATCAGATATACATCCTATACAATGACTCCTAGCTAGTTAAGGCCGCCAGCTCACACAGCAGTAGCATTGCCCCCAAAAATATCTAGAGGGAATTGGTCGGCGATCGCCTGGTATCCAGCAACGTTGGGATGTAGATGATCGCCGCCATCGTACTGAGAGGCCAGGTTAGCGGCGTTGGAGGGGTTAGCCACGATCTTAGCAAAGTCAATCGAAGCATCAAAACTACCGTCTCCACCTCCTAGGATCCATTTATTCACCGTCTGTCTCGTTTGGTCCCTCGTTGGGTTGCTGTAGCTCTGTCCGTTTCCGCCGAAAGGTGTAATTGTTGCCCCAAAGACAGTCAAGCCGGCGGCCTTCGCATCCTTGGCAATTGTGGTAAAGGATGATGTTAGACTACTTCCGATACGTGATTGTGTTCCCGAGTCCGCAGATCCACCTCCGATGTCGTTGACACCTTCGAAAATGAGAGCGTATTTAACACCGGCAGTTGTGAGTAGATCGCGCTTGTAACGCTGCATGAGCGGCGGGCCAAGACCACCGGTAAGAACGGTATTACCGCCTGCTGCTTGGTTGCACACGGCGACATTGGTGATTCCTTCTTTCTGCATCCGAGCTAGAAGTAGGTCAGGCCAGCTGGGAGTATTTATTAGCGAGGTTTTTTAGCTGTAACGAAGACCCCAACTATACCGGTTGTTAGCATTATCAGTGCTTCCTCGCCCATCCGTGATACTGTCGCCGAGAATCACTAGAGCGGCGGTCGTCTTTGGGGCCCAGACTTCGACGGCAGTGAGAAAATACCAATGCGCCGTGCTCGCTCCCGTTACAGTCGAGGCGTTAATGTGATTACCCTGCTGCATCCAAGACGTTGTTCGACTGCCTGGGTGCCCAGTAATGCTACTTCCAGATTGGCCAGGTTGTGAATAGAGACTGATAGTAATCGTGGCCTGCGGGTCAACTTTGAAGTCCAAAGGGTCAGTATAGGCAACCTGACCCTTCGGGATTGTGACTGAACTGGATCCATTGAAAGTGAGACCCTTTAATGTTGCTGTATCGATTCCATCCACGCCCGCCTTGCCTCCTGTTGGAAGGGCTATAGAGGCTTCTGTGATGGGAAGGTCACTGCCACCGAAAGTATTGGAGATCTGGAAGCGAAGTCTTTCTGCACCTATAGATAGGTGAAGCGTCTGCCGAAGGGTGGCATCCTTAAACGCGGCCGAGCCCGACTAAACTCGCGGTTAGATGGTTAATGCGCGACTCGTTGAATAAGAAGAGTAGAACATACGAATGGGGATGGCGGCATGTTATTAGGTTCCACGAGCTGCGGCATTGAGGTCCATGTTGCTACCCAATGAGAATCTTCATCCTGTCGGGCGACATTATAAGTAGGGCGTGCACTAATACATATCGCCCACCACAGTAGCCAAGTGGTTAGTATTGAGAATCTGAGGCTGAGGCTTCTCAGCATACTTGATGATGGTGCGGATTTCATTTTAGCGACAAATAATGAGACGAGCGCCAAGGCATAAGAGAGATCTCTATTGTCTCCATGGCGGCAGCTTTGATACTTATTACCACAAGGACAAAATGTTACCGAGGTTTAAAGCGACGGATAATAGACTTCCGCCGTTATTTTGCCTTGTTTTACCTTGTTTTGCCATGTTGCTATATTGCTATTTAGCCGTAGGGCTGGTTCCTGAACACTTAATCCAAGACAGTCCAGTTTATTATTTTGAAATATATGGCGGATTAGAAGGGAAAGAAGGCTGAAGTCAGTAGAAAGTCTAAAGGAGTGTAATGTCACGAAATAAAAAAGTATATAATACGATGAAATAATCATTTTAGTATACGATGTGATAATAAGATATGATATGCAGATGGGAATAGCTTTGTCGATTTGTTTGATTTTATAAGAGGTAGAAGATACAGCATCTCAATCGAGTCCCCATAATCCAATGACATCAGCATAGGCTATAAGTGAACATCGGAGGATATGCTAGCAAGAGAAGATTACGAACTCTCATGTTGAGTTCTATTCTTATGTACTTGAATGTTCGTATGTGAACATGAGCAGCCAGTAGTATGCCAGCAGGACTCCACGAGGGCGGTGTGATAAGAGTTTCGTAACCAATAACCAATTGGTGCGGCATCAATGCGTCCATCTTACGATTTCGAAGGGGACGAAGAACGGCGCCGCGAGGGGACCATAAAAGAAAAAAAAAAAGATTTCGGAATGAGAATGGAATTATGGAGTTAGTACATGCAAAAAGTACTACGTACGTAATACCCAATTGGGGATAAGTGATAAGTAATAGGGTAGTATGTAGTACCCCTCCATTCGTAAAACACCCCACCTTCACCTTACGAACATTGGGATATTGAATATTATTGCAACTACCTACCTACGTAGGTTAGCAGGTTAGGTAGGTAGCTTAGTACTTTGGACCTACCTTACACATGTGTTGTACTAACCTATTGGTCAAAATTTTATTATTGGGTTAAACACTTTTCCCGTTGTACCTTAGGTAGGTACCTAAGGTACGTTAGGTAGTTTGTTAGTAGCTTCGACTTATTATTCTTTGCTTTGCATACATGGTGCCGACGTCTTCATAATCAACTTCAACTTACCTACCTATTTTTACACCAGGTTACCAAGAAAGTTGACCAATTTGACCATCTTATTTTAATACTTACCAGGCTTTCCACTGAAGGGACTTTGGGAATTGAGACCTAGGAGACCGGAATAAGGAATTGAGAAAGATTTGCATTTCTCTTATTATCAAATTTTCTCCGTCTTTTTTCAAAGAGTCTGACTCACCTTAAATCGACGGCTCTTATATCGCACACCACGCATCTATCCGCTGCTCGGATTGTCCGTAGCAAACAGTTCTTGTTGCGTCCCTCGATCCTTGGGTGCTTACTTATTTACCATCCCACCAATTGAGTCTTCTTACGCTCCCCCAAGTACTCTGCTCACCCATCCATTACGATGCCAGGTGTCGATATGGCGCCCCTTGTGGCCGACGACATGAGAGGTATGTTAGACAATAAGCAAACACCAATCTTCATTTTACCAGATTTGTGTCATTGCGCCCCGTCCCGTTTCCCCTCGTCGCTCTTATATTCAGATCTCGAGTGCCTCATTCGCGTACAACTCGAGAGCACCCGTCCCCCCTTTATTGAGTCATACGTACTCGAAGATTGCTTGTGTCACAGACGAGGAAAAGAAACAGGATGCTGATTTACTTGGAAACTGCAGTCCTAGGACAGGACCCTCTCATCCCGCCGGCATTGCTCATCTCTGAGATCCCCATGACTGATGCTTCGTTGCAGACGGTCGTTAAGGGTCGAAGAGATGCAGTTTCTATCATCATGGGCCGCAATGACCGCCTCTTGGTTGTTGTTGGACCCTGCTCTATTCACGACCCGGCCATGGCGCATGACTATGCTCAGCGTCTTAAGAAGCTTTCCGAGAAGCTGTCAGACGATTTATGCATCATCATGCGTGCCTACCTCGAAAAGCCGCGGACTACCGTAGGCTGGAAGGGTCTTATTAATGATCCCGATATCGACAACAGCTTCAAGATCAACAAGGGTCTTCGTATATCACGACAGATGTTCAGCGATCTAACCAACGCAGGTGTACCGATTGCCAGCGAGATGCTGGATACCATCTCGCCCCAGTTCTTGGCCGACTTCATCTCCGTTGGTGCCATTGGTGCCCGTACCACCGAGTCACAGCTACACCGTGAGCTAGCTTCTGGTCTCTCATTCCCCATTGGCTTCAAAAACGGCACCGACGGCAACTTAAACGTTGCTATCGACGCTATTGGAGCGGCGGCTTCTAAGCATCATTTCATGGGTGTCACCAAGCAGGGCCTGGCAGCCATCACACGAACCAAGGGGAACGAGCACGGGTTTGTGATTCTTAGGGGTGGTAGCAAGGGTACCAACTATGACAAGGAGAGCATCCAAAATGCTAAAGAAACGTTGATCAAGAAGGGACAGAAATTGGCTATTATGGTCGACTGCTCGCACGGTGAGTTGCATTTGTACCACGAGGCCCCTGGTGCTAAGCTAACAGTTGAATAGGAAACTCGAATAAGGATCACCGAAATCAGCCCAAGGTTGCCAAGGTCATCGGTGACCAATTGAGAGAAGGTGAAAAGGCCATCATTGGTGTCATGATCGAGTCCAATATCAATGAAGGAAACCAGAAAGTCCCAGCCGAGGGACCGTCAGGACTAAAGAAGGGTGTAAGCATCACCGACGCTTGCATCGATTGGGATAGCACAGTCGAAGTCCTTGAAGATCTCGCAGCTGCAGTCCGGGCTCGGAGAGAGAAGAACGGCGCGCCGAATGCCAACGGCAGCGAACAAGAGCCTAAGACTACTCTCATCGAAGAGGAATAAGCCCCCGGATGGGAGCACACGATCTATGAACATGATTGATTTCGGGCGCATCAAAAGGTGGCATTCAGCTTCAAGTAAAATTAGTTGTGGGCAAAAGAAGCGGCCCCAACCTATGTGTGAGGATTGGTGGCTATCGTGGAGGTAGATATGCGGAAAATTAACTCAACGATCTAGGAACTTGATTGGGGAAACACAAAAAAAAAAGGCTAGACGTTAGTATAATTTATAGATGATCCTAAAATTAAACAAATGGGTTTGGCTTCTCCTCACTCTTCAGATCACACTTTGCTCGCAGTATATCTAGCATTGACTTCAATGTATACACCGATGTACCTGGATATGAGAACCGTCCTATTTCTCGGCATGACTTCTCTGGAGCGTCCCTAAACGCCGTTTGCGGCATCAAAGCCTCGATATTTTAGACCAAAATTCATCCATGGGTATTAACCATGCTCTTGCTTTTCATCTATTTAGCCCTTGCGTATCGTCATTGCCAACAGGCATATATGCACCCCTATCTTGGGCGGATCCTCGCACACCTCTACTCCCTATGCCAGAGCCTCCTAATCCTAGAGCGGCAGCTTTCTTCCCTTCGCGGAACTCAACAACTCTTTTAGCAGCAGCCCAACCCAGCAGGCTAATGGTACCTAGTATGAAACCCCAAACGATAATCTGGTCCTTGCGGCTATCGCGCTGGAAGCAGGTGGTGGTTACGTCGGTCTCCTCGGCGTCCTTACAGATAGGGAGGTGTTGCGAAAGGCAGAAAGCTCGGGTGCATTGGGTACAGGAAGCTGATGCGGCGCGCTCTTGGAGCTGCGGTGACGCCGGGTGTTCGGGTTTGCCGAAGGATGAATCGCCTTGTGGACCGAGTTGTATCAAGGTGCTGTTCTTAAAACAGGTGCATTTACAGAATGTGGGCGCGGCTGTGGTTAAGACATACAAATCAGCATGGCTAATAGGGTAAGGTATGAACATGTGTATATCAAGCTAGGCTAGCTTACAGGAGGCGGCGACATAGGAGACGAAGATCCCTATGAAAAGGATTAAGAAATGAAGTCGCATCGTGTCGCAATCATTGACTGGACATGTATATCTAATGTCGCAGCTAATGGATTTGCTTATATATAGCCTATTCGAATATACTAATTAAATATCTGCACCGGAATCACGAATACCTTGAACTAGGTAATAAGTTGAGTTGCGATTTGATGCAAGCGACAAATACCAAGATGGAAGCACATGCTTGCGCCGATAAGGTGGTTACATAGGTACCAGATAAGTACCTACCTAAGGTGCGGATTACGTACATTGATGCAAAATGGAAGTTGCCAGGGTATGCAATGTACCTGTGGCTTGAGTCTCCACCAAGCCCCACGAAATTGTACATTGGTACTTGGGAATTTTGCAGCTAAGCATCGCGGACCGAAAAAAGTTCACGGCTTCTGTTAAACATTTGAAGTCCACCTGCGAATTAGATATCCCCTGAGCCGGGAAATCTCACCACAGCTTCGCCAATTAGCCACAATGCGACGGATACCGCGGTTAAGACGGCCCTCCGGCCTATCTACCTCGGCGCCATGCTCTTCAATCACTCCTCTAGTTGGCCAATGTGCGCCGGTATCCCAGACTATCTCGACCTCGTGCCGCAGGCCCATATCGACGACCTTCCAAAGTCCTTTATCACTCCGGTTCTACTCGACCGATAAGCAACCGAGCACACAGAGCCAGAGCTCTTCCCCTTCCCTTGGAACCGAACAAGCGCAAAAAGAAGAGCTTCAGGAGTTAACTGAAGAGGATACAGAAGAAGCGGAGCATGTTCCGCCGCAGTGGCAGGCATATATTCCTCCACCTCGGCGTAGCTATGCCGAACGGTTTGACGACGTCTCAGATTCAAGCTACGTACCTGCTTTGACGGCGGACGGCTTGGAGACGGTCGGCGGATTGAATAACTGGTGGGACCAACCGGAACATTGGACCTCTGATTTCGTCGGCTTCAAGCCGCTGAATCCTGTTCTTGACCCCGCCGTTCTTGAGACTTCGGTACGGCGAGCCGTCGTGGAGGCGTTTGCGCTGAAACAGGCGGGGCGAGAAGACGAGCTGACAAAAGCTTGGCCGATAGCGGGGGAGGATGAATTACATCGCCTCTTGAGCGTGGAAATCAACGTAGCAAAAGACGGCGCTGTGTCTCTGACTGGGGATGTGTCTGCAGTAGTAAGCTCGCTAGTTCAAAGGGGCGAGCCTCCTGTGATGAATGAATCCGCTGAGGAAAACACAAGTGTGCCGGTGCTCTCAGCAGAAGAGGCCCAGAAGTATAAGGACGCTTGGAGTCATGGATGGAAGGCCGTGCCTCTGTCAGACCCCCGAATCAAGTTCGCTGTAAGTTCTACCATGCTGGAGTTGATATGCTCTCCCCGTCGAAATGAAATATTTCGGGATAATATGAGACTAACACGGTGGGATCCTAGATTACAAAGCGAATATTCCAGCTCACCGGGCAACTGGTCCGCGACCACCAGCTATCCAGTATCGCAGACGTCCGATCATTACTACAAGCGGTGCAGAAACCGCCCAAGCTCAAGACCCTTACCCAGGAAATCCAAGAGCGCCGGCAAGACCTCGTGCAGCTGCCAAACGTGTCCTTCGCGACGAAGCGCATTACGCGCGGCGACAGGGAGAAGGCGGTTGGCCGATTTAAGCTCATAGAAGAGGAGCTGAAGAAGAGAGATCTGCCTCTTGTGGGCCATGGCTTTGCTCGGAAGAACAGGGAGCTCTCGCGGCTTAAGGGTGGAGTCTAGTATCCGTTCCCATGCGAGACGCTTGGCATCATCAGTATGTCGAAGTGCAATATCTACCAACTCTGGCCTTGTATATATAGAACAATACAATATTGCAACCGACTGCTTGAAGAAACATAGAAATGCCTTATAATAATGTGTTGTATCTATCCTGAGAGGAATAAATAGACGAAGTACAACAATTATTAATATCGGGTTCCAGCCGGATATAATAAACAAGTATAGCAGTAATTATATAAAGTTCTACGAATAATGTAGTTAAAGCATTTGCTCGCTTGAAGATGTGTTTGTATACAGGCGGACCAGTCTATCTATATACCCCATCCGCCTAAAGCCCCTATCTAAATTTAGAATAATCGACATTTACATAAGATAAATAGTATTTACTTCTAACAGCTTCCTCGAAAAGTCCAACTCAGTATGCTAGAGACCAGAATTTTGAACTCGATGTAATCAGGCTCACTCCGTGAGGTTGATATTGTCAGTTGATTGTAGCTGTTGAATTTTCGGGTCTGCATGCTCCTGGCGATCCTGCACATCTGCGAGCTGTACTCTTCTCCTCGCGTCGATGTACATCATATACTCTTCGTACGTGTCTGAGGTAGCGAGTTAGTTGCACGTCTAAAGGAGGGACTCACAAAAGGGAGAAGCGGATAGTCGGTTGACGTGAACTGGGAAGGTGATGAGAAGTAAAGAATAAAAGTATACATACGGGGTAGAACCTTGACGTCCTTAGGGACTGAGAAGGTGTAATTAAACTGGCCCGTCGGCCTCGCGTTCCCATGCTCGACATCTCTCACCTTACTGTCCACCCTAACGTGCAGTCGCGTAACCGGATTCTCCGGGTCTTTCTGTCGGGGCTCGCTGCCATCCTCTTCCAGCAACGGCGGGTCCGTATACACGATCGTCGCAGTTAGGTACAAGACACTACCGACTGGCACCGGGTTCCGGAAAGTACACGGGTCGGCGCTGATAAACGTAGGGCGGGCGTGCGCGAAACTCGCCGCGCAGCAGAACGCCAGCTCGAATGTCTGCTTTAAGTGGAAGCCGCCGAAGATCATGGTCTGGTGCCGGTTGCGGTACTGCGGCTGCATGATAGACGCCGTCGAGAGCTGCGTCTTGGACATGGCGAGCACGTTGCCCGGCTGCCGGAGGTCGTTGTTCGGATCGTGGTACGCTAGTTGTCGGAGCCAGATCTTGTGGATCAGAGCTGACTCTGGGTCGTTGGGCTCCGTCTCGAGTAGTGACGTCTTGAGCTTTTGCTTGGTGGCTAGGGCTTTGGCCTCCCCGGCTTTGAAGATCTTTTCTTCCTCGGGAGTCGAGCACTCTAGACGCGGAATGTTGATTGGTTTCTTGGTTTTGGGATCTAGGGCTACCATGGTGAAGGTGCATGTTAGTAATACATCTTCCGGCTTACTGGGTTCGCCTTCGTCTCTGGCTCTGGCGACCTTGCAAGTAATTTCTACGCTGCTCCGTCCCGACGCGTAGGTTACTTGCCCGCTATACTCGAGATCGCATATCTCAGTCAGCGGGTGGGCGATGGTGATCCTGTCCAGCGCAGCGGTAACAACGGCTACGCCCGGCCCGGTATGTTTATAGACGATAATACCTGACAGGGCGTCAAGATCCATGAATATCGTGCCTAACCTAGAGTCTTAGTCAGAAAAAACAGCAGATTAGAGAGGCAAGCTGAGGACCTTATGTGACCAGACGAGTTAATGTAGGTGTCGCTAAGCCATGGATCACGACCAAGAGGAAGTACGACTCGATGATAACTATCGCTCATCTTTTTGGGAGTAAGGTCGCGTTCCTGTGGTTGAACCTCGTCGGCGACTACGTTTTTCCCTTCTTGTTGCAGCCTCCACGCCTCTATCCACGGCGTTGATAGGCGGTCATCTGTGAGACCGCGAAATACTCCATCTGTACGGAGGAAAGCCGTGCCATGCAGACATCTTCTTGATACTCCGGTCAAGGCAACGCACGTATCCGATGTCTTGGATCTAGAAGCCAGAGCAACTAGGCGTCTGATTGGTATATTCCTATAGAACATGACCGAGATGTCGTTACCCAGAGTTGCATTGATATGTAACCTAGTACATTAGGTATGCAGTGTAGATCGGTGATGCGATAAAACATGACGGGATCCTTTAAGTACTCGGGTACCTATCGGGGCATTGCGGGAGCTCGGTAGGCAATTACGGGTCCAATCTGGGATATATCCGGTAACTGCAACTAGGTCGGACCGAGACCATAGGTCACCCGACTTATGCCCCATTTCCCATTTAACTTGTGCAAAGGTAACTTTTATCTCAGGTGGCCTCAGACCTTAATTCGAGGAGCGGGCTTCGCTCTCGCCTCCCCTCCCCGCCACAGGCGCCACGAAACCCTTGGTCTGTATGTTTGTATCTGTGGGTCGGGGGTGAAGCGTTCCTCGAATTGAGGTCTGAGGTCGCTGTGAAGCTGCATATAACTAAGGGTGAAGATTTGGTGATAAAAAATCAAATATTAGGTCTACAATAATTTACTATGTAACAATAACGTACAAAATGCCTTCTATTTTTATGACTCGGGGCTAGTATTTTGCTTTCTCTACCTCCTCATCTTTTTTACATACCCGTATAGCATCGCGTTCTTATATACGAGGCCTTCACATTAAAATTCACTAACGGTGAAACACCAAAACGCTACAGTTAACACCATAATCAATAACATAATCAACAACAATTAACATCACAATTAATCAACACCCGCGTATAAAAATAAAATGTTTTCTATTTCAATAGCCTAATAATACTACTATTAACCAAACCCTCCCGCTTTTTTATATACCAGGCTTTGACGTCTATTGCAGCTCCCGTCTATTGCGGCTCCCGTTGTTACGATTAACGCAACCGGTGTTGCAACCGTTGTTATAACCGTTGCAGCTAACGCGTTGTAACCACCCCAAGGCTTAAAACGTATAGATTTAATCGGTAGACTTAATAAGAAGCTTAGTACCTATTATATAATCAATTATTACTTACTTTACGCGTGTTAATACTATTGTTTTTAATGATATTTTTAATGATGTTTTTTTACCGTAAGTTAATTTTTTACTAGGCAGTTGTCCACAATAACCTCAGACTAGAGTTTCGATATATTTTTGGGGGGGTTGTACGGGTTGTGATTAGTTAAGGAGGTGGTATGGCTATAGGAGTACATCCCCCCGAACCATATCGAAAAATCTGGTCTGAAGTCACCTGAGATAATTTTAAACCAGAGTTTTAATATTGTTTTAAAAGGGTTGTACGGGTTATAATTGGTTAAGGAATGGTGTGGCTGTAAGGGGTACATCCCCCCGAACCAATATCGAAGAATCTGGTCTAAGGTCACCTGAGATAACGCATAATCCTATTTACGCGTATCAATTCCATATTCTTAGGCTTCCACGCCTTGCTTATTATCATACTAGCCACCATGAAGCTCCTATCTCGTCAAGTTCAAGGATCGTCCGATTCTTCCTCAAGTCCCGGACATTCCTCCAGATCTTCTCAGTTAGATCCACCAGCAGATTTGCCAAATACAAGCCCGAAAGACAAACGACCGACTTGTAGTCCGAGGAAGCGATCACAGGACTCACTACCCGATACAGATTCCTCCCCTCGAAAAAAATCTAAATCCCCTCCAGAAGAAAGACCATTAATACCTCAAAATATCTCCAACTCTTCAACAATATCCAACGGTCCAACAATATCTGACCTTACAATACATAATTGGCTTGATATTCTTGAGGAAGGAGACATACTAGAAGAAGAAGAAACATATTCCTATTCCGACATGCCGAAAGGGAGCGGACCTGTCGATTCGGAAGTTGGTACTGTGATAACTAGAAACACTGGTATATCAACATGGCTGGATTTACCATGGTTTCGACAGAAGACGCTCCGTGAAAATTCGATAAAGTTACTGTACAATAACGATCCTATCCCAGAATGGGTACAAAGTCATATCAACAAGATCAACTCATACCCCGCCGACAACGCCCCCAACTTCTCTACTAAATGGAAAAGATTTCAGGATACTGTTCACAGCCAAACGAACGAAGCGATATTCGAAAAATCGTACAATAAAATGTTGGATATACTAGACCGCGATGATAATTGGACCCTGAACCGTAAGGAAAACCAAGAGCTAATAGTTTGTGAAATGAAATCAGGTTTCCAAAAGCATAGCCTACCTCCTGTAAAGGACAAACCCGATCTAGTCTATGGATACAACAGTTGGAACTCTTTTCCTAATTTCTACACGCAATTTGCTCCTACAACTTCATACGCCATTATATTTCCATATTTGGCTATGGAATTCAAAGGCCATTTAGGCCACATAGTCAAGGCAGAGAACCAAGCTTTTGTTGATGGTCGCATCTGCCTCGACACAACTTGGTCTTGTCTAGGGAATCATGATTTTATCATCGTTGCTGCTGCCGACCCCAATCGATGTCGCATATGGGGTATGTGGCGGACAGTAGAAAATGAGACAGACGATCATGAGGGAGCCCCAGCATATTACATGAAACCTATCGCGACATTCGATCCGCAATTTATCGAGGACGCAGAAGAGCTCCGAAACTATATATTCCGAATCCACCGTTGGGCCCGGGAGTATAGGTTTCCTCTCATCGCGGCAGGCGTTAAAAAATGGGAAGCCGCAGGCCGACCTCGACACAAGTTTAGTCCCGTTGGGCGTTGAGATGCAAGACCAGGGTACCTATGCTGCCTAAGTAGTATACCCTAAGCAATTGTCCTTGGCAAAACGCGTCTAGATCTTCGGCTTTTATCGTATCTATTGGTAATGAGGACTCGAATGCGTTTTGCTACTTGCTTATGGAAATGCGAGCTTACTCGCATACACAAGGTTTCTTTGTTTCTTTTCTGTTGGCTATAAGCCATTCTCACGACGATTGATGACGATGCTGCGGCTTACATGGGTTAGGGTTTCCCCAGGTTTCCTTGTTGGCTTTTTTTTCATTGGTTATGATCTGATCTTACCACGATTGTTAATCCGTCGGAGACATTTTAAAATATAACGTTAAATTTACGTAAACAACATTAATAATAACAACATAATAATAATAAAAAAATATGCCAATTAACCTACTTAGTATGTACAAATAAAATTATGAAAATGAAACAAAAATATTGGCAAAAGAATGAGCGCCTCAGGCGGGGGTCGAACCCGCAACCTTGGGATTCCTAATAATTCGGTCTGATGTTCCGTATTGGTAAAAGTCCCACGCTCTAGCCAATTGAGCTACCAAGGCAGATGACGATGGTTTTGTTATTACAGCTAATATCTTAGTCCCCGCACATGGCGTTTTTCTGAGCCTACAAAGGTCCGGGCCTTGCACATGTCCAGATCTTAGCACCGTGTTTGTACATCTCTTGACCACACGCTAAGAAAAATGTTGAATAGTGGCTTATCCGCTAAATCCAGGTGGCTTACCGCTATATTTATAGCGATATCAGCCACTATAGCTTGAATAAGACTGTGCAATCCTTTTTTACTCGCACGTAGCTTTGCCAAGTTCAGATCCATCCCAGTCTGCCCAGTGTAAGACCTTTGGTCTAAACCTTACATAAACTGCTTCGGTCATATGTACTAGATCGGCTAACTATGTGTAATATCCTCAATTCTGTATTATTTAAATAGGCTGATATATATTTAGTTAAACATCTCGCTGTTGTGAATTTTGGACAGGCTTTTTCCCCCTAACTAAAAGGGCTTGCTCTTTACTCAGCTGCGGCTCCATCATCGATTTTAACTAGGTACACCATCATTGTCACAAGTTCCCTGCTCATGTACTAATATGACAAGACAATCTAAGGAATATATATTTTACACATACGCAACCAGATATGTAATTGTTGGTTGAACATGTATACACGATGTTAGTTGACGATCTAAGATACAGTCTCTGCTGCTATAGCTGGCTTAAAGAATACTATTCGATCTACCCCTTATAGGCCTCGTTTCCTAGACTACGTCTCTTCACACCTGTATTTAGTCAGGTATAGTACGATACGGAGTTGTATTAATACTGGAATTATCATGTATTGTCGAGGTAATAGCATATGGTAAATCTTTGCAAGATCCGAGTATCTACAACTTTGACCGGCCTATTTTTTAGGGGAGTTTCCATTCCCCGCGGTATAGCTTTGAGACGATAAACGTCGGTAGTAGTCGAATTGGTTCGTTTCCTCTCGCTAACCTAAGTAAATGTTTCATTCCATGGTCGCCGGGTCTGATCCCCTAAGCCTGGCATACATGTCACCGTGTCGGGTGGCTGGTTTACCCACTGGATTCTCATGGCATCTTCGTCTTCTCGTTCTGTCCATCGCGAAGTATACCCTTTAGCCATCTTTATTTTCGATGCAGCCTCATCGGAATACTCGAGGTTGACCGACGGCACAACAGCAATGCGCCCATGACCCGTTCGCCAGAGGTCCTTACAGAACAGTGTTGGCTCCCCCGAGTAACACTCGCCTTCCCGCGGTCCTCGAAATCCAATTCTCTCTCCCTTCTTCCCCTTGCCCTGCCGATTCATGTCTCCTCGATCTTGGTCGGATTGCTCCCCAAGTATCGGTGCAGCTGTAAAAGCTACAGCTCCGTTCCAACACGCAAAGACTTGAAAGGGGAGAGTCCTGCTAAACCGCCCACCGGTTATTCGGTCATTCCAGAACAGATTCCATGCGCTATTCCAATTACCGTCCGGCGGAATATCGAAGAACAAATCTCCCTGGAGAGTGCGCGCTACCCATACATCGTAGAACGTCGGATCGCGGCCAACGTAAGTCCAGTCCATAGCGCAAGTCATATCTGCTGATTGGAAGATCCGCTGGTGCACCAGCTCGAGGATGTCAGATATACATATTGCTACGTCATTTAAGAAGACGATGGTTGTATTTGTATTTGGCATTAACGACGACTGCGAGGGATTTGGATTCGTATCTTGCATCGAGCTAGCAAGGGATAGAAGTGGCGAAAGGGCTAAGTTGCGAAGTTGTGCGAGTTTTCCTATCCTTTCCCCAGTCTTGGGGTCTATATTGCTCGACTGAACATAATATGCGATACCCAAGTCCTTTAACTTAGGCTGGAGTGAGTAAAGGACTTCCCTCGTGCCATCATCCGAGTTACCTTCTACTATCGATAGAGCGCAAGCAGTCGGACCAAGGAATTTGATTGTTTCTATGATAGATCCTAATAGGCGAGGCAGAATATCGATAGACTGTCGAAGGTCGAGAGCAAAAAAGTATTTCAGTTCTAGAAGCTCGTTGTCTTCTGCCAATACTTTTAGATATTCATATCGGATTAGATTCGGGCTTGGGCACTCTAAACGAGGGAGTGCAGTATCTGTAGGGTCTAAAATAGCTTTGATATGTGCCGTTGTATTCCATGGACCATCAGGATGGACCGGGTTGGATGCGCCATCCACTTCTTGGCTGTTGTTGATTTCTATGGTGTTAGAAGGTATCAGCGAATTAAATGGATGAAAACCGGACTGATTTCCTTGACTCCATGACGCCGGTAAGAAGTTCTGGTATCCAGCCCGGAATATGAAAACAATAAAAAGCAGGCAGGCTACTTGAAGAAAGATTAAGCGCGTTCGTTTCATCATGATCCGATTTTTCCAGGCCCAGGGAGACAAAGGGAAGAAACATTATAGAGTAGTTGTGATATGTATTGCAACACAGAAAATGTCCGATTTTTGGTCCTAGGCGAGGCTACGAGTGCGTGTGTCCCATTTCGTAAAACGACTGGAGTCAGCCCCCAAGTAGGGAATTATTTTAGAATTTGTTATCTTGGGCGGGAGTATTGGTCCAATTCACTTGCTTAAGATGTGTCACATACATTGCTTGTTACTTGTTATGATAAGAGTAATAAAATGAGGTGTAACCATGGATACCCGTCGGACGTATTGTATCGTGTATGTGATCATTTTAGCGCCATGGCTTGATGTTTGTCTTCCGTTGCCGCGTACAAAATTTATAAATAGCCTCCGTCGTTCTTTTCTTTTTGCTGAAGTGGTACGTATCCGACAGTGCTCCCCTCGTATCTTGTACGGCTGGCTGATAGGCTGTAGGTAATTTACATTTTGGACAGTCATCTACTAGGTATTATATAGAAACTGTTATAGTATGATATTGATGATGTCAATTCAAAGGATATTTACCCATGTATATTTACTTTCAGTCTCATTGAGGCAAGGTTTCTACGAATCCACCTTCAACAGAATATTATATTTGACTTAGAGGAACTGATGATATTGCCTTACACATGTGTCGTTATACCGTCGAGGTTATCGTGGTATATCAGTGGCATATTGGTGGCTTTCCGCCTTGATTCCTTATTGGCTACGCATATAGTCATGTCCGAAAAAAGACGGTACAAAATAGGATATGCAGGGGGAAACACTTTCGAACTGTTCGCCTGGTTGACCGGCTAGGAGGACGAGTATCAGCTCTGAGAGGGCGACCTTGGCAGACAATTTATGTTGAAGCGTCTCGTCCAGTCCTAACGTTAACATGCGTACACTCAACTTAGCGAGCTTTGTTTTTTTTTCCCCCTGTTCTTATTGACTCTGGCTTGTGCTATTTGGTTACCTCTAAGCCTGCCCGACAGAGTATGGAATTATCAATATGACCGCAAACTTCTGCACTACTCACCTTCTCATATTATTATTTTGGCAGATAGTTGCTATTCTTGCCTATCAGGATGCCTCAGTCCTTGAACTCAGGATTGTCGAGTTTACTGTGTCTCAGTCCAACAAGAGAAACCGTCCAGCTACACGTGAACGACTTAGACTACGGGATGTCACAACTCAGATGTCCACTTGTGGTTACCAGGACGGCGACCCCTTAAAGCCCCGGACTGCTGAACCAGGCTATGACTGTCGCATTGATACTGCGGCTCAATTATGGGGATTCTGTCCTACAACTGTACAAAACCCTAGCGATTGTGGATTAGCTGGAGCTTGCGCAGATGGAGGAGGTACTCGCGGATTCCTTGACGACACATCCGTTAGCACCATCTACTGGTGAGTTGAGGTTTCTTTACGATATGTGCTGTACTATGTGTTAATAGTTTCTCGTGTTACAGCTCAGAGACGGACTCGGACCACAGTTTTTGCTCCGTCGCCCTCATCATCGATTCGGGCGAAGACCAGGCATTTTATTATATGGCCTGCGGGTCGGTGGAAACGGATATTACTTATTTCCCCACGCCAACAGTCGAGGTCGAAGAACCGTCATCGACAACAACTAGTGAAATAAGTTCAAGTTCCGAAAGCGTACAGGATGGCTCAGAAGCCACCCCGTCGCTATCATCGCACTCAATAACGTCCACATCCAGCCCAGGCTCAAAGTCCACAACTACAAGTGAGCAACCATCCACGCAATCGACAACTAACATAGGTGCTATCATCGGAGGCGTGTTAGGTGGGTTGGCCCTTGTCTGCGGTACAATAGTGGCCGTAGTTTATATCCTGCGACGGAACCGGCAAACACAGGACGAGGGCCAAGCGGGATACGGCCAAGCGGGATGCGAGCAAGACGGTGGGAATACCACAGCACAGCTACAGCCAGATAAGCATGCTACGAGGTATAGCGCGGTGCCACCTTTGGAGGCTGACGACACCGCATTGACCAGAGAACAAATACAGTCGTTTGAGATGTATAGTGCTCCAAGTTCGTGGCAGCAGCATAGAGAAATGATAGAGTCGGGTTAATTATATATATTAGATGTTTATCATTTTTCTAGTAAGTAAGCATACATAGGTACCTTTCATATTGAAGGGGTCCTGGTAGTTTTGGGTTATGTCGTGTAGGTAAAGCTTCCGGATTCTGGACTAGGGGTTAGGGGCTAGGGGCTAGGGACGTTGGAGTAAGGGGAGATGTGGTCTGGTTAGCTATCGTTGTATTTCAGATATTAGCATATGATTTATGATTTCCTAATGTCGTTGATAACGTTAAATGTTAAAATGTTAACTATCAAAAGCGTGAATGTGAAGCTATTTACGGAAGAATACTCTTACGGAATACGCGTTTGCGGATTTAAGCTTAGATATTGTTAGATTAGGTAATCAGCTGATCAAGTCTACCTTCCACGAGAAATAGCCGGTCCCACTTCAGCCTCAGACCTTCTAGAGCCTAAGCCACTTTCTAGTTCCACAACGCTAGGTCCATACGCACAAACCGGCAAACAAGTGCAAGGCCCACTTAAATATTGTAGGGTTTTCTAACCCTCCAAAAATTTTGCCGAAAGTGCGGGTTGGTTCAAGCCGCAACCTCTGGGAAATTCTCGTGCCTCTAATCTGGAGAACTGAGACGACTTGCGATAGACCGACCATTCATTCCACAACCAACCCTTGATCGCAATCAGTCACAATGGTAAGCAATAACCTCTAACGATAGATGTTGTCGCAATTCGCAATGTCTATTCGGAAACTTCTCTTTTAAGAGGATTTATCGCTAATAAACATGAAATCTAGGCGATCAAGCACAACAACCAGATTCCAACCACCCGTACGTTCAATCGAAGCCATTCCCAGAATACGAATCGATCAATCACACTTCAAAATCATAATGCAACAGTGAAACTGACTGGATATACGCAGATTTCCGAAAGGATTGGCAGCGCCGGGTCCGAACCCACTTCGACCAGGTATGAAGACGATCCCATTCACAGCTTTTAACGACGAGATGAAATCGAACCCGAAAATCATTCAGATATTAACATTGGAAAAACTATAGCCTACCCAGAAGATCCGCCGTCGCTCTCTGCGTCGTGCTAAGGCCGCTGCCGTCGCTCCCCGACCCGTCGACAAGTTGAGACCCGTCGTCCGATGCCCGACCATCAAGTACAACCGCCGTGTTCGTGCCGGACGTGGTTTCACTCTGACTGAGCTGAAGGTAGATATTCCCATCCCGAAACGCCCTGCGCATACTGCATCAATTCCATGTTTTCCAGCTACCGCCATCACGCCCCTCAGAAACTCGACACACTTTAGATCGCGATATTCTAACATTATATATAGGAAGCCGGTATCCCCCGCCTCGTGGCCCCTACCGTCGGTATCTCCGTCGACTACCGCCGACAGAACCTCAGCGAAGAGTCTCTCGCCGCCAATGTCGCCCGCCTCAAGGCCTACAAGGAACGATTGATCGTATTCCCCCGCAAGGGTGCTAAGCACCCCAAGGCCGGTGACAGCAAGGACATCGACCTTAGCAACACCCAGACCGTCTCCACCGTCGGAGCCATCCTACCCATCATCCCCGTGCCCGAGGGTATTTCAGAGATCAAGAAGAGCGATCTGCCCAAGCCGATCGAGGGTGGTGCTTTCGCGAAGCTCCGCAAGGCGAGGAGCGAAGCCAGACTACAAGGTGTGCGGGAGAAGCGAGCCAGAGACAAGGCTGAGGCTGAGGCCAACAAGAAATAAGATGGAGGTCTCTTACGGGAGTATGGACGGCATCATTAGGGTTCTGCTTTCGTTGTGTTGTTGGACGGTCACGGCGGGTTGGCTTGCGGTTCCTGTGTAGCCAGGAGAGAAACAAAATATCATCGTTCTCTCGCCACACAACAAAGGCCGAAGCATTATTGCATCTTCCGGTTTGCTCTAGGTCGTTCTCAATGGAAAAATGAATGGACATACTCTCCGTGCCTCTCAAAAGACCGTGACATGAAGTCGTAAACTAGCATGCGAAACGGGAAAGCATACGAAATAATAGGGAGACTAATACTGATTATTAAATAGGGACACCTCGCATAATTGATTTTATATATCGAGATGCTATACTCTGAACGGTTCGCATACCTACAATACTTCAAATCTAACTCTGGCACTAACCGGCTGGACTTGAGACGACCTTACTGACTGGTCGCGGATTCGACCTTCTCGTTTCTATCGCCGAGTACCAGCTGCCCGCCCGTTTTCAGCATCTGGACAAACACATCCCTCACGTCGGAGGGAAGCGCGTCCGGACCACTCTTCGCCAGCTCAGCAATTAGTACCAGGGCGTTTTCTCGATCTACCTTGGTCATAGCTGCGGCCTTCTTTGGGTCTACTTGCTGCGGCTCCAGCTGGCCTATCGCCGAGAGATCTAACCCGTTCCCTACAGGTGGATTACTACCCGCCTCTTGATTAGCCCCACGCTCACCTGCGACAGCCGCTGCGAGGAGATCTTTCAGTTCGGGGTGTTGTAGTATAGCTTGTTTTACAATGGCAAATCCTTCGGTGGAGCGCGCCATGAGTGCGAGAACGAACCATAGGTCTGATCGTAAGACAGGGAATTTGGTCTGTAGACCGAGATATAGCAGTGTGTCTGGTAGAGCGGGATGCTTGCTGTAAAAACCCCGCAGGGGCGAGCTGACCTCATCTTCGGAAGCAGGCGAGGGCGATGATTCGGGGAGGAGTGAAGACCCGGCCGGTTTGTCGGAGTGCAGGACGCGGCAGACGCCGGCTACGGCGCGGGCCGTTTCCATCTTAGTAGGCTCCTGATCGGCCTTGTGGTGTAGGTCTATTAACTGTTGTATAGGGGTCTTGTCTTGCGTGTTTGAGGCCACACAGACACGTCGCACGTTTTCGGGGCAGTTAACAAGGAGGATACGTGTGAGAGACACGGCGTCGAATTGGACTTGCGGCTGCGTGTCTAGATTCCATATCCGAGGCAGAACGTTGGGGTCCAGTAAGCCCGCACCACCTAGTACGGCTTTGTTGCTCGAGGGGATGGATAAGTTCTTCAAGAAGCTAAGAGCGCAATGGAGCAGCTGAGCATCTGTTTCCGAGTCGGAGGATAGGATGGGGATTATCGACTTATGCACAGACATGTCCTGTACTAAGGCGATACTCTGAGCGTCGGTACGAGCGATGTTACCGAAGGCCAGGCAAGCTGCTATCTGAAGCTCTGTATCATGAGATGAAGAAATCCAGCCGAGCAGCAGGCCGGCTACGGGACTGTCTAGTGAGCATAAAGAGGCGAATTGAGGGTGAGCGGATAGGTCTGCCCAAGTTTTGGTGTACATGGATTGCAGCTGGGCGAGCTGCGCTTGCTCATCAGTATCGTCGATGTTGAAGACAGAAACGCCCTTAGTAGCTCTTTGAAAAGCTGATATGAATACGGCAACGGCGCCAGGGGTCTCGAGGAAGCTGTCTTGGAGCTTTTGATGAGAGAGGTATGCTAATGCGGCTGAAGACAGTCCTAGGAAGCCGTCGAAATCTGGAAATCCTCGTTCAGAAGCATCTAGGGTGGCTTGCGATAAAAGGAGATACGGTGCTTGAGGGTTTATTAAGTCGGGCTCGAATTCTTGCAACTTGTTAATATCATTATACTTGATTATAGTATGATTTACTGTAAGGGGGTAATTTACCTTGAGCCACTGCCATGCCTAGCAACTTGTAGATGATATTCATGTATGGCAGTGCCTTTTCTTGTAACGGACGAGTCTGAATGAGGTCGATTAGATATATTCCCAGGTGGGCTTTAGAAGCGGCTGCCTGAGCCGGTTCTAATTGTTACCATGTCAGTAAAAACATATACCCCTATACAATTTTCCACTCTTACCGTAATCAACACATATATTAAATAAAACCGGGATGGCGACTTGGAGTAAAGAATCGTGTGTCAGCAATTTCACCAGCTGAGGGAGACAACCCGAGTCGACGACTCGTTGCCGATTCTCATCTATTGTCTAGTAAGCATGAGAAGACCGAATACTCAGGAACCACGAAACACAGACCTTGATCTGCGCAGGAGTTCCCTGTTACCCGGAGAGTATGAGTTGCCAGGTCCGGATCTAGCTCATCCCCCTTAATTAAGCCCAGGAAGAAGTCTAGCAGACCGGATCTTCCAAGTGGGATTCTCCATCGCTCTAGAAGATGTGAGTGTTAGCTAAGCCATCATACATGTAAATGAAGACTATATAGAGACTTATATAAGCCTCTATGAGGATTTATGAGATTGGAGTTTTGTTCACCTTCTCGACTACCGTTCCCTATCTGCTCTGCTAAGACCTGGAGCTCAGGGGACTTGGTTTCTTGTAGTCTCCGCGCGGTGCTAAGAAGCTCTTCCAGCGCTTGGACCCTCGACTCCTCATCTTGGGGAATGTTGTTAAATAGGTCTTGGATTTCGTCAGGCGTCATGATATCGAGGATGATTACAAAGGTCGAAAGTGTAAAAGTCGAGGTTCAACTAGTTAATGATTACGTAAACAGATTGTTAGGTCCTTAAAGGTAAGGATGTATGTATATACTATGTAGGTAGGTAGGTATGATGTACCCGACTTCGGGAACGTCCCGTTACTTCCAAACCCACTAATCGGCTTCCGATCTGGGTGAATATTAGGTGAGGCTCTAGTGTCAGAGTCTATGGCATTTTACGGCGGGTCTATCCACTAATAATTAATTAGCGGGGCAAACGCGTCAGCGCTTTCTTTCCTTTCGCGTCTTACAATTCTTTCTTTTCTTTTATGTAATTCGTTATTGTGAGGCACGTACATAAAACCTCAACCTTTAAGTGGCATAACTAAAGGTGTGGTTCCAATTGCTTTCTCTCTACGCTACTACTATGTACTTTAGAGCATGAAAAAACATGCCATCAGCACATATTCCGAGAGCATCTACTATGTCTCATGGCCGCGGCCGTGTAGTATGAAAACCACAGACTTGCAGATCGAGACATATCATATCAAGTTACACGAGTAACCAGCACCATGACCATCTGATGGATAGGAGTCTAAGACCGTTACGTCAGGACAATGCAATTTAGAGGTCCCAATGCATCACGGCAGAAGATAGTACATGTCCTCCGATCCTGTTATTATCTCGAGAGGTGAGATAACTGGCTGCTGGTTACTAGCTAGGAATCTCTGTGGACCTGACTGTGGCTCCATGCGAGAGAAGCAGGCAGAGATGCCCCTCGAGTTCGTGAGTGGACTAATTTCGGCGGTCAGTACGTGACATGTTGGATTCCGTCGCGAGCGCCCGTTCCGCTCGGTAACAGACACGAAGCTACTACATCTGCGAGGATACTAGATTCCAGGCTAGATGAGGTAGTTTAGATGTTATTAAATGTTTATACGGTGATTTCCTTTACCCCCTTTTCCCTTTTGATCAGAGTCCGATATGCCACTCTCATCTTCTAGTAGTCAACCCACCGCTTTCTATTCGGTAGATGGGTATAGTTAAAATTTTCATTCTCTCCTAAGTCTAAATCTTCATCGTACGGTGTCACTACTAGGTGCCATCTCACCAATCGTGATCGTACCATACGCTTACAGGATTGTCTCACGAATAGGCACGTATTCAACACTGATTACCCAGGTATCCTCACTGACCAGAACGGCAGTAATAACGCTTCTCGACGCGAGTTCAACCATCCTCATGTTTCAGTATAGGCCTAAGTCATACCTTGTAATCTCCGTCAACTCCCATTGTACGACACAAGCGTCGTGGTGTTTGGAGCAAACTTACTCGTCTGAAGTTTCGGTATACCCTTCCTTTAGTGCAAATCAATGCCCGTACCACTAGGATTGGCAATGACCTCAAATTGAAAAGCTCCGCTAATCTGGGGATCATGCGCATGGAGGGGAACAGGTAGGACAGGATGACTTAAAATCTATATAGACGAGATGGCTTAAGGTATTATAAAGAACGGCAGTCCCGATCCCCCCCTCATCCAAGCTGTTTCGGCGTCTATATCCAGCCATACCACATCCCCTTCAAGTCACTCGTTCACAATGGCCATATACTGGCTTCTGTCACTCGTTTGCCTACTGACGCCCCTCTCATCCGCCGCACAGGGTTATTCAGGTGGCGGTCTTATAGACGAAACCGTTACCAAGAGCGTCACTGAGACTGTCACGAAATATCTATCTCAATGCGGTACATTGGAAACTTCGTCTCATACTCCTGACATAACACTACCCGGCACTACCACGCGTACGAGCACCCTCCAAGCAACTATCTCTACCACGATAACAGCCAATGTCACCTACACCTCGGGAGCTGCTGCCACCGGTTTTACCTCCTCCCAGTCGGACATCACGCTTCATACTCCTACTATCACACCCACAGCTCTTACGACGGAAAGCATTAGTTGTTCCTCGTCCAATTATTCTGTGACCCATGCCAACACCACGAAGATACCTTGCTCAACTTCAACTGGTAAGTCGATGGCCGGCGTCTTTTTCTCCCTGTCATGAACCAATGAGTCTAATGCTTAACAGTCTTAGTCCCAGTTCCTCTTGGTTCATCTTCTCATTCTACGCCCTGTACTACATCTTTCCATAGCACTTCTTCTACGTCAACACCGACTATATCACCAACCCAGATACCAGTCAGCGAATCGGCTCAACTTAGGGGAGTCGTAGCTACGCGGAAGTTCCTAGGGGTATTAACTATGGTCTCCATACTAATTACGGGCTTTCTATGAAAGAAGCCATGCTGTAATGAGAGATGGATAGGATTGAATCAACAAGTTCTCGATGCTTACGGAACTCTAGGCATGCTCATGAACTTGTGCCTATGTTCTCTAAGGCGACATCTATGTAATGACAGCAGGCTTGATGCTGGCTATGTGGGCTAATTAAACAGTGGTTTCGTTAGTAAATCTTTTCCAAGCTAGTTTCGGTAATAGAGGTACAATTTCGATGGTTTTCTGAAAATGAAGAATATGAAATCATTCTGTCGAGTATTGTTAGCAACGGGTTTAAACGCAGATCCCAAGTTAATACGTGAACATGTAGCCTCTATGCATTGGATATAAGCTACGGGATTTTTTATATTCGTCCCCGAACAAATCGGAATTGGGGATTCAAAAGCGTGATTGAATTTGAATGGGAACTTTCGAGTCGAATCTCTACCGAGATAAATGTCATAGTAACGCCCAACCCATGTACATATAGTCACATAGAACAAATCACAGTCCTCGGTCTCAGCTCATAATCGCAGCTTAAAATCAATTACTTTTCGTCTCTTTATCATCACCGCCGCCTCCTCTCCAATCCTTTCCGTCTTAGGCCCATCAGTTAGAGCCCTCTTATCAGCCTTCTCATGAATAGTTTGATTACTCGTAGTTTTCTCCTTTTCGCCCCCCTCTCCCTCTCTCCTCCTCTTTAACCGGCTGACGTGTTTCACCTTTTTTTTCATTAGGTTTAGCCAGAACTTGCTTGGATCAAGTGTACGCCGTAGCGATTTCCATGGGTGGCGTCCTAAAATAGATTCAGGCGGAATCATATTTTCGACGAGGAACTCGTGGTGTAAGAACATCCGTCTTTGTAAGATTTGTGTGTCGAATTTGTCGACTAGATACTTCGTATTCCATAACCTTTGGTGCCTATGGTCCCACGATGAGTGTGCTGGATCGATTTCTAGGACTTCGATGCCAGTGAATCCTCGGGCTTCGCAAACTGCTGCTATCACCGTAAGTTTATCGAGGTTATCCGTAACGGAGAGGAAAGGGCTCGGACTCGAACAATGCCAGTTGAGGTGTTTTTGTACCAGAACTTGGAAATGGAGAGGGTTGATTTCAACGGTTCCATAACCCCTGGCCTTGATGCCTTCGAATGGTTGTCTAGTGTGAACAACGCGGTATAGCTTTTTAGGTCGATTATCACCGCCGCACGTCTCGATAGTAATTGCCGTCTCCAGCATAGGGCGTCCCCGGAGGAAGCCACCGCTGTGGGTAATATCCTCCGCGTTAGGAAGATTCGGGTACCACGCCTGTAGCTTCTTATGCATCTCTGGCTTCATCCAGAGTTTGAAGGGTATTCCCTTATCTAACTTTGAATTGACGACCCAAGCTTCTACATCAGGCATACTTGCCTGAGCAACCCGCTGCTCGCCGTATCGGGGAATAAGTACCTTCTCAATAGGAATAGTAGACATGATTCAAAGAATGAGGAGATGATATGATGTGATACGGTGTGATACGATATATAGATGTGTGTAGATGTGTGTATATATGTGTATATATGTGTGTACGTGATATAATGGTGTATAGATTTATGATTGTTAGGAGGTACCTGAGGTATGGGTATTCCGAATAGGTGGTAGATATATATGGGTGAGAATTTGTTAATCAAACCTGATATAGATGAATGATGCCCTTGGTGATCCTAGGTATTACCGGACTTGTGTATGGTTTTACGTACTGGAATCTGAAAATGAGGAAGACGAGGCTTCAATAAAGATATTACTGATGAGGTATTGATATATGTGATTGTTGATGTTGGTGCTTGGTGATCGATTGGTCTGGAGACTGGTGGATGGTGTGTAAAAGAGATGTAAGGTGAGAGCTATGCTGTTTATATAGTCGGAATCCCTCGTATTTTGGTCGACCAAAAATTTTGGTCGCCCAACATACTTTCAGATACAGCAATTACGAAGCCTCGCTCAAATCTCGTAGCTGCCACTTTTTCCTGCAAATAACCTTATTTACCACGGGATCCCGTGGCAAAGGCCTCTTTGGTCATCTAACTAGAAGTATAATTACGAGTGTAAGTACGAGTGTAAGTACGAGTGTAAGTACGAGTGGAAAGTTATATCAAGTGATCCAAGACGTGTACTATCCGGCTTACATGCTACGACTCTTCCAAGTCTTGTCAATATATATCGTACACTACATTCCAACCCGAGAACGTGAGTAAAATAACTACGTTGTTCCCTGCTGTAGGAATGGTCTCGTTGGGAATACCTGTAACATACTAACTACCTTAATATAAGGTATCAAGTATATTAATAGTTTGATTCCTCCAGAGACACCTCAAAACCTTACTGGTATATATCCAGTGTTGTTTAGACGTATTACATCGTAGTTTTGTGCTTAACTTGTATCTGTAACCATAGGCTGGCGCTCTGGTGTATTTCGGTCTATAGTGCATCGTAAACTTATTGATAAGCACCTAATGCTTCAAGAAATCAAGTAGTCCCTTAATTACATATGAACCACTTGATTTTGAAAGTACGTGGCGAAAAGGCTTTACTTGTATGAAGTTACGGTAAGGAATGCCCCTAAGAACAAGGTATTAATACGAAAGTGTTATAAGGTGTTACAGTGATAATTGAATATATTAATCAGACCTTTGTATTGAACATTTAACATATAGCTTAAAATGGTTCAGCATAACTTAATTTTATAAGCTCCCATAAAACACCAGTTGATTTCGTAAGTATGGAGAAAGGTCACGTATAGGATTCGTTTGAAATTAATTTGTTATCGTTAAAGGCTTTATCTCAACTTGGTTATATATAATTATATGACCACACAATTAGTTTTCCTAATATACATATGGCCAACCTTTCGAGAATAGGGATATTTTTTGTTTGGGCTCGTAATGATCTCAACAGACTACTATAGCATGGTTGAGCTTTGGAACAGGTTGCGTGGGGATGACTTGTGAACTAAAATGGACGGTTTGGAGTCTTATTCTCTTACCCCCTTTCTTTAACAGGAAGCACCAACCCATTCTACCACCAGTTGGCATTCGGTTTCAATATACTACTTCTTATACTTATTTCAATAGGCGAATATAATAATCCACGTGTATCCCATACTCGGACCATTAGGTTTCGGATTCTTACGACTCTAAAGGACAGAATTTCGACTTATTGTAGTATCTTACATAGGTATATAGTTATATGCTTTTACTATTTTAACCTCGGTTTTCATTTGTTATAGTTGTCATATCGGTCAAGCTGGTAATTGCACTGATGTGGTAAGGAAGCGTCTACTTGGTGCGTATTCTACACCTCTATAGAGTTAGATACGGATTCCATAGGAAGGCATGAGAGAGTTAACTCCCGGAACCGTAGATGATTACTTGGGTAATTAGAGTTGTGTAGGTTGTCACGTATGAGTTGAAGTGACAAGTGACCATGGACTTTGGAAGTGAAGAAGGAACGTGCGCAATACTATTTAGTGGCATAGGAGCTGTAGGACGAATACATATATGAGGCTAAATAGTGAAAGTAAAAGTAGTCTTACAGACACAGATTATTGATTGTGATGATATCTATGATATTTATTGGCTAGTTAGGTGATTTTAAACATAATCTGAAAAGTGGATGTTAATATACTAGTGACTCCTTACATTATAACTAGGTACAATATATGAACTGCTTTGACATATACTATTATATACTCTTCCATAAATTCCAAAGCTTCGAAGCTATTCCTACTTCCTTAATGCCGATGTTTAATGGGATAAGTACATAATGAATTCAATTAAACCTGCTTAAAGGCACATTTCAGTCCGAGCGAACAGAAGGGCTACATAGAAACAAGCCGCTTTTCTTTGCTTACCTATACATTTAAGTTTCTAATAGAGTCCAGGTATGCCGTTTCATAATAATCATATTCCTCTTTGTAACCACATTTGAAGTTACGTTTGTTATTGTTCTTGCTGCAAAGCTGTTATGTTATTTATATGCGCATAAGTTTGCGTATAGTTATACATGCATACCCCGATAACTTAATTAATTAAACTTCTAAGTTCCCCTAATCGGATAGATTGACAGATAGATTGACGTGCCGTCCGCGTCGCGCAACGATAACATAGACTTTATCCAATCTGGCCTGGACGACAACATCAACCACCACTAAATTTCAAGACTTACATATACTCATTCTCTTCACGTCGCTCCTTTAATAAAACCCACCACAACCTTGATCTTTACGCAAGCGACAGTTCTATTACCATCCTATAATCCCGTCAGCCTTCGTAAATAATACACAAAATTGTAATCAATATGACGCGTGCGCAGCAGACCATCTCCGTCGGCCTCCTGGTCACCTCTGTACGTCGATTCGAGCAAGCTCTTCTCGAATACCCTCAATTGCTCTGCTATATTAGCTTAGTATCTTACTAACACGTTTCCGTAGCTTTATCTCGCCTTGTACCTAAATCTCGTCCCTCTCCCCGAACTAGTGCAGACCGAGATTGTCCCTGTTGTACGTTGAATTCTAATTTGGCTCTATTTGTTCTTTGTTCTGTCCTCTCGACTTTAAATATTGCGCCACGCTATTCGAACAGAAACGGAAGAAATCATAACTGACTAACGCTCGTCGAAATAAATAGCTCCCCTTCTGGGCCCTCGTCTCCTTCGGCGCATACTTGCTCTTCCGCCTCGGCTGGAACGTTATGACCTTCCACGATGTCCCCGAGGCCCACAAGGAACTTACGGCTGAGATCGAGCTGGCCAAGACCGACCTCCGACGTCTAGGTGTTGAGGTGGATTAGTTGCGGTCGTGGGGAGCGGCAGTAGAATGAGATAGAAGGGTCATGAGGATGGGGACTGTCGGGTCATGCACAAACCACCTATCTTGTTCCTATGGTTAGTTGTAAACTACCTAACAGCTTCCTAGTTTGGGACGGGGTGAGGGCATTTCAATAGAAAGAAATCAATTATCACAAAACTCGCAAGTGTTATAGACTACCAATTGGTGGTTTATTAATTCGTTCTCGGTTCTGTACCCATAACTCCCCGATCCAAGATGCGTAAGAATCAACAAGAGCGGCATCGAATTTCGGGTTTGGCCTTTTTTAGTGGTTCATACTCTGCATCATAGACTGGATGTGATTCTTTGTAGCTAAGCCCGCGAAGACCGAGGGAGAGAGATCCCGACAAGGTTTCTATTTCAAGCAACCTCGCCGTAGTTCGGAACATCGAGCGAGACTCATCGGCTAAACCCCATGAATCCTAACTATTTAGTTTCTCTCGATTGGGTATACAGCTCGAAGTATCGTCATACCTCATAAACACGTAATAGGTCATGATCAAACAGATCAAGTCACTCGCTTGTATGTACCTAACGTATGTACTATTTCCCCCTTACTCTTCCCCAACTAGCAATGCGACTACTGTCTTTAGAGCTTCCATCGGATCCTTGTTCTCTTGGATCAGCTTGTCAAATATGCCCGGTATACTTGTCAAGCTACCCTTTGTGTCTTGCCTGTGCCCTACTATGAGTTAGATTATTTATACACGTATCGTGTCGGGTGGTTGGGTTGACTTACACTTCGCCGGAGTCCCTAGCAATAGCCCGATTTTGCTTCGTGCTTCTCCGGTCCAATCGAATTCGATACGCCATTCAATACGGGTACCTGGAACCTCCTCCGGGTCCCCGAGGCTGGTTAGCTCTAGGTCAAGATATGTCCTTCCCAGATGGGGTAGCATATTGGCTTTAGTGAAGCGCATTTTGTCGGCTTGGCCCTCAAACTCATCGTCATCGTCCCCATCGTCCGCTGTCATAGCTCGACGGCCTCGACCCTTCTTCCTTGTATCTGTCCTCATTTCCCTAGCGCATTTTGCCAGCCCTTCACTGCTTCTCAGGTCCCTTTCAACGGCACACCAAAACCGAGCTCTCTTTGTTGCGACGCGGAGCCATTCACTCATAGCCCAAGTTATAACACTAACATTTCTTGTTAGAGCGCTGGTCCCTGTACCTCTAACGACTCGTTCCACGAACGGCCCCAGCTCGCCAACTGCGGACGGCTCAAGACGCGGAACTTTCAGCTCAGCAATAGATAGCCTTTTGGTGTTTACCGTCATTTCAATTGTCGCGGCAAACAGACCTGGTAGTGTTGACGAAGCGGATATAGTATATTTTTGCATGAGTGGTCCCGGATTTCCGGGATCGTCGCGGGGTATCATCGAGACGGTAGATGTGAAAGTCAGGGGGGTAAATACTTGGAGGTAAGGTAATTCTTCCTCCGCTGTCATCGGCACGGGATGATGAGAAATGGGGAGCTTTTCGGTCTCCTCATCAGCGTCATTGTGCGGCGGAGTAAATATGGATGGAAGCGACAGGTTCGATTTGCTAAAAGGGAGAAATGAGATGGGATTTAATGCGGCTTCAAGCCAGTCTTGTGTTGGATCGGGAGCCGTCTCTTTTTCAGGAGGAAGGGTGTGCCGACGGAGTAAATCAAGAAGAGACTCCCTGTCTTCTGGGTCCTTTGGCGCCGTACTAGATCTTCCTCCTTGTTGCAATTCGTGTAAGCGAGTATTCTCACGAGTCGCCAACTCTAGATCTGATTTCAAGCGAGCAACTTCAGCAAGCAGCGAGTTCCGCAGTGCTTTCTTCTCAGCTAAAGCATCAGGCTCTTCAGCATTTCGGGCTGGATGCGATTTTCGCCTCTTCTTCCGGCTTTGTGGTTGTGCCCTAAGCGTTCTCTCTGCCGTTCGCGATGGCGATTCCTCACGTGTGGCTTCTTTTATAAATTCGGAATGACGGAGTGGTGGTTGCTTTAGAGGGGAACTCTTAATTCGCTCGGCTAATACTCTACTCCGTCTTGGGCGTTTGGTAGGTGTGTTATGAATTCCCGCGGGAGATGTTTGGATCGAGGCAGGGTCGGATATGCCTTGCTGTGTCGGCGTAGGTGGGAGCTCTGGTTCTTCCGGTATAGCCTCTCCGGGAGGTGGAGAGCGTCGTAGCACTCGACCTTTAAAGGGGTTGACCAATTCTTCTTCTTCGGCTGAAGGCGCAGGTAATGGACGTGGCGATGGCTTAGTCGGTGTTCTTCGTGGTCTGGAGGACATAGCTCCTGTAGCGCGTCGAATGGGACTCCGTGGTTGATCAGCCGAAGATTGCGTTTGTTGCGCCTCGCGATTCCTTGTTTCTGTATTGTCTGGAAGACTTCCTACTTCTGACGCTGCGGGCGCATCCTCCGAAGGTTGAGTTCTAGAGGTACTTATTCGTTCTAGAATGTCGGGGTTTGATCGCGCAAGGCTAGCTTTTGTCGGCGACGCAAAAGACGGTATCTGATGCCGCGTAGATCTTCTAACAGGCTCATCTTTGGATGGCAGCGCAGTTGAACCGCCTATTGGAATATTCGTCGTGGGCGACGTCTTGCGGCGCTTCGGGGCTGAAGAGTCCATCGATTATCCTAAATGTCCTCTCTTATCCAATCATAATATTTCCAATCGTATATCGACTTCATGGGTTTGGACTGGACTTGGCCGGGTTTCGATAATTCTAAACCTGAATTTGTATTTGCACGTGTTGATGTCTTGTTATTGTTCCACCACCGTAGATTTGACGTGGGATGGGTTATACAAAAAGAAATGGAGAATATAAAGGGCTACTTTGGAGCCTATTTTATTACAGGCGCCCAATTGAACTGAAATGACCCTTTTCCTGTATACTTCACATTAATATTAATAAGGTTGAAATAGGTACATACTTATTTCTAACAACGCGTTCAACTTGTATAAGTGGATGTTGACGCGCCAAAAAGCTAGGTGCTATTTCTTATCTTATCAGCCCTGTTTTCTTTAGCGCGGGTCCAGAAATAGGTCTTCTCAATACGTAGGTACATGCATCATGTAATACAACCTACCTATGTATTTAGCCGTATACATAGTTTACCACGTGATACAGCGAAGATGCTGTACCTGCCGCTAATTTGCCCCCTCTCCCAATCTTCTTCCGATGACGTGAGGTCGACAGGAAAAAAAGGTCAAACTATTTTCCCCTTTTATTTCATTCGCCGTGTTCTCAATATCACGCTTGAAGTGGCATACGTTGGCCTTCACAATGCCGATTACTACAAGGCCTTTAATAAGGGCTTCTAGGCTTGGGTCGCTTATGCGACAGCCTCAGGCTCCTCGTGTCTTCTATTCAGGCGGTTCAAACCTACCTGGTGGCACTCCCGGTGAGGCTTCGGAGCAGGCGGTACCGCTTGGTCTCTATTACGAAGCTGTCCTTAACAGGCCGCAACCTATTCCCGACGTCAAGCCCGAAGAGCCCCCTACTTCATCACCTAAATCTCCCCGGAGCACCGTCAAGAAGGCACCCGCCAAGAAGTCCAAGGATGAGGCCACCCCGTCGTCTTCGTCCTCTTCTACTGGGCCTGAAACCTCCGCAAAGCCAGCGACAGCACAAGAAAAGGCACGTATTATCTTTGGCTCGCGACTCGCCGGCCCAGCCGAGAGAGCCGAGCGCCTTGAAGCCATCCGGAACCGCAGTACGCTAATAGCCGGCGTCTTAGTCCCCCCGCGGCCAGAAGAGCCAGACAACTGCTGCATGAGTGGGTGCGTGAATTGTGTCTGGGACCGCTACCGCGACGAGATGGAGGAATGGGTTAGCGCGTCTGCGATGGCCGAGAAAGCTCTGCAAGCGCAACAATCGCAACAAGGAAAGCCATCCAAAGAGGTTCCAAGCGCAGCCAAGGTTACGGAAGGAGGGCCATCGCGTCCAACCAGTGCTACAAGCATGGATGACGATGGTGGCGGCAGTGAGGCAAACTGGCAGCCGGACTTGAAGATGGCTGATGGACCCAAGATTGCCAAGGACTTTTGGGACGATGACCTATACAAGGACGTGCCGGTTGGCATTCGAGAGTTTATGAAACAGGAAAAGAGACTTAAAGAAAAACATATCAGGGAGGGTACTTTCGGCGCTTAAAGAAAGATGGCTACATCATATATACCCCTGTCGAGCAATAAAAATAATTCGCCAAAGATCCGCTTCACATTCGAGTCGGCTTTATGGAATGTCCGAAATTCTTATATTTTTTTGATATTCGGCTTGGAGCCTAAATTCCCGATGCGTATCGAGTTGCTCGCGGTGTCTATCTAACACGCCATGTCTATCCTACCTATCCGAAAAGGAAAGACTCCAACCGCACCCAGTCACTGACTGCACCTAAGCAGAACCGTTCCCTTTTGTTTGCTTCTTCGCCAGCTCGTCATGTAGGTCAATATCCGTTGCCTCCCACGGATAGCATATCCATTCATCGCCTATCGTTCTCGCTGCCAGATATCGCGATTGCTCTATCATGTCTGAGGGCAATGTACCCTTCTTCTGCTTGTCCTTGTTCTGTTGTATCTGTCAGCAGCTGTATTGACAGACCTCATGGTATCCTGGGACTCGCGATCACTTACATGTAGGACGAAGATGCTGAACTCTGTCTTCTCGTCATTGCCCAGCTTCTTCCGCGCCTCCTCGACATCCTTCTCCAGTTCCTTAACGGCGTACTCTAGCGTCGTTCGCGTGTCGTCAACTTCGTCCACGATCAGGATGCGCTTGCCGACCAAGTTCTGGATCTCGCCTAGGCTGCTCAGGTCAAGCCATTGCGTGCGGGTGACTTTAGTTCCAATCTGATCTATGACGCCTTCGCCCGCGCTCGAGGAATCCTTTACGGGCAGTTGCTCGTATAGGGAGAGGCCAATGGCCTGGATAGGGATATTGGGGCTGCCAGGCTGTTTGAGGAAGGAGCGCAAGATTCGCGCGGGCACATAACCACCACCGCCGATGGCGATAATGAGTTGCGGGTTGAAGGAACTCAGAATCCTGGGGGCTGCCTCCTGGCAGAGCTTGTGAACCTGTTGGTCGCCAAATCGGTTAGATAATTGCAGACGCAAACCAACTTTTTCGAATTTTCAGACAGCATAGCCAGTTTCTCACCGGCTCCCCGAAGCAAGAAGCAGGAACAGCGGGGTTTATGTTCAAGTGAGGTTGCAATAGGTAAACGAGCAAGATCAAGATCTGCTTACATCGTTGTAAGTGACGTAGATCTTCTCCACCATCTTAGCTGATGCAGAAGATATAATAGTGGGGGAAATCCGATGTTTTTACGGCTTGTGTGCTATTGAAGAACTCAGGAAATTTTTTAGAAGAAGAGGTGAAGAAGCTGGCGTTAAAGGATCATATAGAAAAAATAGAGAAGAAGGATTCCTATATAGAAAAAGGAAGGGCTAGAGGGAAAAGTTTCGAGTTTGAGTTGCGACTGGGACTCGATGGGAAAGAAACTTTTAGTGGGGCAACGAATTTAGAGGGCTTTTTTACGTGGGGCTTTGGAGGGGTCATTAGGACTTATTGGAACCATTGGAGAGGTAAGGAGGGACCTTTTACAGGTGCGCAACCATTTCTGCAGCGACAAATTAGGCAAGTCACTGCCACTAGGACCTACACCGTGCAGACCGTGCAGACCGTGACACTACAGCTTGGGGTACCTACAGGTCTACATACCACCAACACTCTAAATTCACGGCCATCTCCGCTACCTTTAAATCTTCCGCCTAGTGTACCTCTCTGACTAACCTAACCTCCACCACTCTTACCCTATGTATACATATGTTGTACCTAAGGTACCTAGTTATATAAGACGAAAACATTCACTAGGTATATTTCACTCACGTAAATATCATGTTTCTGGATTATTTATAGAATATTCTCCGCTGTGTAACATAAGATGTTTAGGTATGTACCTAGTAAAATAAAAAAAAACATAACTAGGATATCGCTGCAGGCCACGTGAAGTTGAATAGGTAGGTGCATACACATACAATATACCTTTTATGGTGGAGAACGCCGAAGTTAAATGGCTTTGATAGAAGTTTTATGTATGAGACGAACGGGAAGAACGAAGATATGTTGACTTAAACTTAGACTTAAAACTTAATACGTTTCCTTCGCGCATCCACTATAACTACACCATACATGTATGTACTACGCATTGATCTATCAACTCTAGAGATACTTAGGATTCTCATATTAGCATTACCTAGACGTCAAGACCTATACATACACTCATCCCCTTTACTAGAAGTAGTAGCGAATGGAACAGTGGGCTCCGCCTGGATCACGGACATCAAATCTCACAGACTCACATTACCTGGCTTCGCCCCGCGAGGCCATAGCAGCACTATCTCCATATGCACCCCAGCAGGCAGCCACTTCTACCTCAATCACTCAACGAGGCTAGAATAAACATCCCTCTCTCCATGTTCTGGCCTTCTTCGCGAGAACCCATGCGGAATCCGTCAGAACCCCATCTTGGTGGATACTAGGATACCCCCGAAAGAAAAATACCATTCCTCGTGCCGTCTCTAGATCCCTCAGCTGAGCGGGATCTATATCGACCCGATGTTCTGGTTCCTCTGCGGTTTGCCTACTACCACGGAGGAAAACTGAGTCCTTGGCAGTATAAAATTGTATCACTTACTCTCCTAAGATCTGAGGTTATATACCTCAGAGCAGCATTTGACGGACACGTTGCGTTGGAGGTTTTACATATGGATATCTTCTCGCTTCTCTGGCGCCTCGAACGGAGAGCTCTTTACGATCCGAGATGCTTGGAGTGTCTATATCACCGGGAGTGGACATTTATAGATCCAAAAGATCAAGCAATGACCACGTACGAGCCAATAGGCTTCGCAACTGCGTGCGCAGCGTACAAAAAGCGCACCCGGAACGGAGATCTACACGACAGTTTCGCATATGAATCGCCAAGAGCGGACGACGTCAAAATAAATGATGCCAACTTGGACGAAAAAATAAAGAGCTTTCTCGACGGGCTACATATGGCAAGCGTAGACCCAGAGGAGGTAAATGGAACACGGGTAGACGAGACCGGAGAGTCGTCAAGGAGACGGAATTCGACATGACACCACGTGCATCCGGTTCGTGAAAGAGGAGCCGAGAAAGTACGGTCTTTTTAGCAGCTTGAAATTTAATATTCAGCGTCATGGCCCTAAGAGGTATTAAAAACTTAGAACAACCTTGTGTAGAGCCACTTACTGTTGAAATATCGATTATGGAAAGGGTTTAAGATTAATCCGAGCAGCGTTGACAAAATAGACTTAGATAGGTACCTAACTAATAATTAATATAGTTTTTTACTTTAATATGATGGTCATTATGCTTATAGTTTGGCGTTGGGAATGTGGATATGTTCTACTATTCGGGGATTTAGACGAGGCTATCCGAGTCAACCAAGGATTACAGAGTCTGATCTAATGGGGGTGCAATCAGGTTCAACATTTGGATACCGGTCGAGTAATAATTGAATCTAGTAAATTATGTAGTACCTGTCTAAATTCTATCCTACGAAATCCAAGAAGCCACCGCCGAAGAAGTCTTCCATCCTGGGGAATATCGCATGCTCTGACATGTCGAATGATGGGAAAATCGGCTCAGATTCAAGTTGCTGAGCTTCTGGTGAGCATACTTCCCCCGTGTGGTATCCCATCGTCTCATGATGATTGGGGCCATGACTATTGACCCCGACCGGTGTGGCTATTTCGTCTTGCTCACCGTCCTGATTCCGAGGATGTGTTCTTGTTAGCGTCTGATGGTCGCTCATCGAGCCTGAATCGCCGCTAGTTCGGGATTCCATTTTGTGCTTGGCAAGCGCCCCGTACTTGAAAGACCAAGCTTTGCCAGGGGACGTCCTGATCCATTGGTCGACTTGTATGATCAAATCTCGACTAACTTGATCTGAGATCTTTGACTGCGATTCGTCGTAATGTGCGAGGAGTAGGGCGCAGTACCCGATGCACAGGCAGAGGCACGTAGGGATCGCATCCATGAGGAAGGGCGGCATTTCCAGGAATGTTTTCAAAACGAGCATGGCATACTTACACGTATTAATTCGCAAGGTGTTGCCATCATCGCTTTTGTTTCGTTGTGGTTGCGTCGGAGCATGGCCTTCATTGTCACTTCCATCTTCACCATCCATCTCTGAGAGGAACGTCCGAGGCCTCAGTCCTTGCCCGACCTCCTCCAGCGACCGAACAGCCAGGATGAGGCAGGCAGCGTGATATCCGATTTTCAGCATTGACGATGTCGGGAGGCCTTGATGGCTTAGCAGGTGTGCTCAATAGCCTACTAGGTCAGACATAAAACTCACCGAGAAGATGATTCCATTTCTCTTTCCACGATAAAAATTCTTTACATTCGCCTCCATCGCCAAGATACGACTGATGTGTGAGCTTCTGATGTAGAGTTGAATACAGCAATATCTCAGCAACAAGCATCCCATCTTGCATAGTAGCTTGGTAGAAGTTGAGCAAAATGTTGCATTGGTTGATGTAAGAAGCTGGTATGATGGATGGCCTGCCTGTCGTCGCAGCCCAACTATAGGACAAGCGATGTATTAGTTACCAAAATGAACCACGAATATTAATACTTACTGGAGATGATGGAGGCAAATTTTAGACCATAAGTGTATGGCTTTATGATCCTCGCTCGTTAAACTCCCTTGTCTTATGCTGTTTATTATCTTGGAGAAGCTGATACTGAGCATAGCTTGCTTAGCACAGTAACCGGTCAATAACCAGCTGTCGACATAGTCGACTCCGTTCTATTTGAAGTCAGAGAGAGGTTATCATGTTATCATGGATATCAACCAAGATCACAGCCACATACACCACCTGGGCTATTTGCATTGTTGCTCATTATCAACACAGCATTAATCTCTTCGAGATTCAGGGGGCTCGATAGGAGAGCTTGTCCTAGTGTGATTCGAACCTGTTCGTATATCTGCCTATGCATCGATGACCCGCATATATCGCTACGGTAGACAATGCCCATTAGACAGCAGACGCTGTGCAAGAAAGCGGATACTCTACGAGTGTCGCTACTTGCAGTCAAGTCATCTACGCCACAGACGAGGAGGTTGTGACTTTGATAGCGGAAGAAACTTCATCTCATGTCAATAAGCACACTGCTACCTGAGGTGGGCATTCGCTATCAAAGCAGGTTTCAGGCTCACAGGTGGATTAACTCATTTGCAGTCTGTTCGTCAAGAAGCTGGAGCTGCACAAGATCAACATTAATATGTTCCAGCAACCTCCTGTAGCCTCTAGTAATTTTCTGCGATATTGATCTAAGCACGACGATCGGTGCAGACTGAGCCCCTTTATCGGCTGGGGCCGAAAAATACTCGGGAATCTGGTTTTCGTGTTCTGAGCGTAATATGTGGCCGTCACCAACACTAGAAGAACTCTTACTAGCCAATGCTCGACCATTTTGGGATTGAGCACCCGAAGTCAGGTCTTTGAGCATTGACTTAATCTCTTGCAATTCACCTTCATACCGTTGAAGCCTAATATGCGTGTAAGCCTACTACAGAAAGCTGGGGATAATGGTCCAGAGCCACTCCTAAACCTAAGGATTACAAGTATACCTTTCTTCGATGTTCGAAGCAGCTGGCTCGGGGTTGGAATTGGATGAAGATACTACGTTTTCTCCACGGAGAGAACATTCAATTCTTTACACAGACTATTAGTTAGCGCTTTTAACATTCGCCGTGCAAGAATAGGTACATAGGGTATGCGTAGATGCGCCAAGGATATTATTTCTGCGAACCTCAATGTCTGGCACCGATGGCAACCCTGCGCACCAGGATCATATTCGCATCTGCACTTCAGCTTCTGGCATGACAGGCAAGAGAATGCCCGGCGCCGTCGCTTCTGCGGTTCTCCGGTCGGCTTGTTCTCCGCGCCGCGACGTTTTGCAGATTTGGGAGACGGAGATGGTAACGTCTCCTCATGCTCAAGGTTATTGATGCGCAAGCCGTTGGTAGGTTTCATTCTATGCACGGTTGAGTGGCCTATTGAAATTATACAGAAATTAAATCATTACACATCGCCGACGGAAATCGAAGGCGGATTACGAAAGTATTTGTTGGACGGTAGCGACAACGCGGTAGCGATGCGCGCTATCGGAAGACCCACCGATACCTTCCTTCCGGATTGAAAATGCCCGTCGGGTATCGGCGGAACTTCTGGCCTAACCTTTTGGATATCCACTTTTTAAGGGGTCACTCCTTTATTTATATCCTTCATTCAATCCAAACGCGAGCCATATATGTCAATATATAGTAGTTCTTATATTCTAGTGCTTGAGATGCAGGTACGGCATATACGAGGTTTATCTACCCGGGGCTCTATGCTAGCAGATTAGGTATATGTAGCCTAGTACCTACCTACAGCAATCTGGTGAAAGATTCCAAGAGCTACGTCTTTCATTTAGAAGCATTGCTGTTCATAGAGATTATCATTATGCCAAAAGGCAAACAAACCAGTTCCAAGGTATAAGATGCACTTGTTTGCTATGTTTGTGTGCGTTATATGTCTTTTAAGGTCATTGCACACCCTGGTTTATAGAAACTATGTCCAAGGAAATATATAAATCCAAAGAAGCCAGGCCAAATGAACATTTTTAAATAAGAATATTTTCTATAATGAAGTAGCTGGCTTCTTATCTCTGATAAATGAATTGTTGCCTAGAATTGCACTTTTATGTTTTATAGTAGATAATAAATGTTATTATAAGGGCCAATCTACTAACGGGTTGCTTTTTTCTAAAAGTATTCATGTGCCTAATTCACAACTCTTCACTACTTAAAGAGAAAGCTATAATACTAAAGCTTAATAATGGAATAATCATTACTACTTCCATATTCAAACTACTGTAAGACAGCATTGTTCTCTCAATTTTTATGGTTACTTCTACTTACACGCAGTCCTTCTGTGTCGTATTTTACTCTCCTAGTTCAACTTCTATCTCTACTCTATGATATTTCGAGTGCGTGAATCTACCCATATCCACTTTTTTCCTAGTCTTCAACCGTAGTTTCCTGTTCATCCTGTATCCTCCGCTATGATTGGCGCAAATACATCTTGCTTGGATATACGGATATACGGTCTGGAATACCAATCGATTCTATCTGCGTTCCTTCCAAGGTCGACGAAGGACATCATACGCCTTCCTTCTGACTTCAATTATTACTGGCTATATCTGCCTAATTCACTAATTCATTTGTCCTCGGACTGCTACCCTATTCCTTCCCAACCGGCCCTCCATAGTATCTTCAAGAACGGCCCGTGGTATAAGCAAGGTAGGCACCTACTTGCCGAGGCAACTTCTCCTTATCTTGTCCTTTCACCCTACTAGATATTTGTATTCCAACTGATTCTATTATTTCACCTCGTCCTGGTTGGAAAATCACCATGGCTAAACGGATATAGGCTCCAGTCACAGCAGCCTCCCTCTTCTTGTCTTCATAAACATCATCATCCCTCCTCAAAAGATAAGGAAACACGTTCTACGGTAAGAATATGACTCTCCACCATTATGACCTCTCGATGCCCATTCTTCATACCTACCATCTACCTCAATCTATCGTGTTAGTGCTATACCTTCCCTCGCCGATATAGCCACAACTGGTTCGACCCTTCTTCCTTTCTTCATATTGTCTCACCAACGTTGACATCCTACCAAATCAGTAACCTAATACTGCCATCTAAGTCACAAGTGATAGGCAAGTCAGTCCTCCTACTGTCCTGTCATCTATCCCACCTTATAGTCCATTTAGCTTGACACTACACTACCAAGTACTCACCAGATTCAGACGAACTAAGCTACTGACATTATAATCATAGTTGACACTTAAACGACCATGGGTCCTGATATTGATTCACTGCCCGGCTCTTGGGGGTGCCGCCGGCTTAGTCCACGGGGAGGGTCGGAGGAGGAGCGCCCACGAGACAGCATTCAAGCTGATATTGAACGTCGCTTTCGAGAAATGCCATCACACGTTGGTCGTAGCACTATTAACAACGATGAAGCAGACCAGCACGAAGAGGACGAGGCATTGGCAGAGGATATTGCTCAGGTGATCGAGGTGATTGATCTAACCGTGCCTAAGCCGCCCACAGCCGCAGCAAGAGCACCACGAAGACCTCGAGAGAAACCTGCAAAACGTAACCCAGAAATAGTCCCCAGTCAGCATCTAAAAATATATGACTACGGGAACCGAATACTAAAGCGTGGTGTTCTTATTGAGATGGAAGCAGTTCCAGCGCTACGACAAGCGTCATTCCTACTTATCCAGGATATGATGCTCACTGGGAATGGCATCGTCCTCCGAGGGCTCCCTTTAACGCGCGCAAGAAACTTAAGAGGACAATTACCGCGACTCCGGAATGAACTTATCTTTATGCTTGAGATTGACCAAGACGACTACCGACCTGATGAGGAACAGGCGGCGATTGAAATACCTTTAACCAAGGTTAGAGGGGTTCGGAACTTTCTCATTACCAATAAGGACTTTCCCGAACACCGGTTTCCTAACGGAATATATAAGGATACTCAAGAGATAGAAGAGAGGGGAGTCCTCATATGCCGTTGGAAGTGCAGGACCATCTGGAGTGATGCTATGAAGCGGTGTAATGGTAAGCCTCCTATCGAATTCGAGGTATCGCGTATGACCTACGAGGAGGTGCCAAAGGAAAGATACCGCACTCCTGGTTCCTGCTTGACAAACAAGTGGCGTGGCGGGATAGTCCGCGGCGGCTCGTTCGTCCCGGGCCGGACAAATGACTCGCAGATGATGGTAGATGTTGATGACACTGAGGACCAATCTGGTGCATTTCCTGATGAATGGATTCCGAGGAAGCCAGGGCAGCAATATACTTTTGGTGATATGTTCTGCGGAGCCGGAGGAACATCATGTGGTGCTAGGGCTGCTGGCTTTCGTATCACGGTGGCTTGCGATTATGCAAAAGGGGCCTGCAATACTTACCGTGAAGAGTTTAGAGAAGCAGAATTGCATGAAGATGATATGTATAACTTTATCGTATCAAGGCAAACTTCCACTAACCATATTGATGTGCTTCACCTATCACCGCCGTGTCAGTACTGGTCGCCGGCCCACACTACTCCTGGCGCGGGTGACGAGGCGAATATCGCAATCCTGTTTGCCTGTCATGAACTGGTCAAGATCTTCCGTCCACGAATTTTCACGGTAGAACAAACATATGGTATTCTCCACTCGAGATTCGAATACTATTTTAATGCTCTAATTCACGGCTTCACTCGGTACGGCTATTCCGTACGATGGAGAGTGGCTAACCTACTTCAATGGGGAGCGGCTTCGCAACGACAGCGGCTGATTATATTCGGCTCCTGTCCAGGTGAAGAATTACCACCATTTCCGCCAGCTACGCACTCAAAAGATCCAAATCCAGACCAGGGGACCAAACCTTACAAGACAGTCAGGCAGATTCTGAGTAAGATTCCCCGAGATGCATTACTCTATGACCCCCTCCACAGCACCCGCAAGCTTAAAGAGTTAAGAAATAAGCGGTGGAACCCCGATGTACCGCTTGCCCGTACTATTACCTGCGGTGGTGGCGTAGGAAACTATCACTACAGTGGGAAGCGTGACTTCACGCTTCGAGAATACGCAGTACTTCAAGGGTTTCCCGTGAACTATAATTTTCAGCAACCGGAGCAGAAGCGGCAAATCGGCAATGCTTTCCCACCTCTTGTAGTCCGGACGCTTTACAAGCACCTCCGCAGGTGGCTGGACCAGCAGGACCGAGTGTATGTCGATGGTGAACTCTCGGAGTCTGAGGATAGCGATAGTGGCGACGATGATGGTATGCTAGAAGAGGTGGAAGACCCTGCCGATGATAGCGAGGTGGAATATCTCGGAGGGCTAGTAATCGACCGAAACGATAGCGTACAATACCTAGGGGGACGATATTTACATCAGCAAGGTAGTGAGCCACTCATGATCGACGACTCGGAGCCAGATATCATGGAAATAGATGCCATGAGCGAAGATGTTCACAGTCCTGACATTTGTATCGACGCGGTTCAGGCGGTAGGAAATGATCCTTTTCATCCAATCCAGATTAAGTGAACGGAATGGACGCTGGTCATATCATTTACGCAAGAGCATTGAGATTTACAGTACGACTTTGGAGGAATTTCATCGGATTTGCAGTTAGACTTAGAGGATATAAGCACGGGTTCTAGCACTGCTACTGAACCTCCGAACACGAGTCGCGCTACTGTGCTCTCTATGAAAGGGGATAGACTACCCAGGCATCGACCAATGCAATTTAGACAGACGAGATAGATCAGATCACATCTGCTACTACTAAGTTTACGGATACTCGATCGTAAGCTTATAGACATAATGGAATTATTCCCACTCCCCGAATAACAAACAGTGTAGCGTTGGTTTCGACGTTTCTATTTTCCACGACAAATTCTTAACCCCCGAGTTATTTTCATTTCCAGGTCGTACGTATGTGATGTAGAAGAACTAGACCGACCATTCTCATTGACTTAGAACGGTTAGCCTTGAGACAGCTGTGAGCTTATATGCATGAAAATACACGCGAATCGTAAGATCCGGGGATATTAACTATGGTAGTATTTTATTTCTATGATGAAGTTGGTCACTATCGAGCCTGGGTAAGGTTTGGCAGCTGTAAGCGATACTCCCGAGAATCATAGTATGCTGAGTAGCTATTTTAGGCGGCGGATAGCCCATTACAAACCAAAGCCTGTATCAACACACAGTGTTCGCTTGTAGAGCATTAAGGGGTCCGTCCAGCGGCTTAGAAGCTGTGGGTTATGTTCTCGAGCACGACGATGAGGCTGCTAGCGAGGTGAGCTTGTCGAATCGGGTCGCGGAGCCTACGACAACTCACTCGCCTCACGAGCAGGGGCGAAAGTCTAGAACGTTAGAGCTGCGCCATTGGCCCAGACTAGTCGAATATGGGAATGCTGTTGAAGTTATTATTGTTCCGCGAGTGCGAGGACGAATCGGGGATGGCTTGGGAAAAGCACGTCAAAGGGGCAATGCTACGTATATTCGCAAGACATAGAATTACAAGCATATCAAATCGTCGGTAGCTAGTATTTCATTAAATTTAGGGTATTCATATTAGAGGTAGCTATCCGGCTCGTCCTAATCTAGCAGTGCCTTTGAGGCTTGAAGGAGCCTTGTTGTACGTTATTCCCGTGGCTGTTGGCGACTGTCGGTATTGAAATTGTTGGCACCATTGGCAGCCTTTCTCCAGCCTCTCTACACAGTACTCAACTAGCCGTCCACAATAGTACGTGTTCGACTTCCGAGGCTTAAGTTTGGTAAATAGTACGAATCCGAGATAGAAGCCAAGAGACAAGAGGGGCCGCCATGCAGCCAGAGTCCACAACGGAAGAGACTGTCTGCAGAAGCGGACTTCGCTAGCTGAATGCAACGGATCCGAATCCCTAAAGAAAGCAGCCGACCTACTGAATGGAAACTTACACTGTAACTCGACATGGCTTTGGGCTAAGTTACTATGTAGATTTAGGAGTAAATACACTGCGCCACTGCGTGCTAAGTCTTTGCTTTACCGGACTTATGTATTACTTTTTAAAAAGCCTAGAAACTAAAGAGTGATATAGTAGGTATCTTCGGCTTTGGCGGCCCTTACTGGCGTTTGCAATGGAAGAAGCAGTTTTATGTACCTAGATGCTTAAGTCCTGCCAAAACCCGGCTTACTATGTACACAAATAGCAACAAACAGCGACGTGAATTCTCGGGACGCTCGGCATTCGCAACTATCCCTGTAACAAATAAAGAAATGGCGAGGAAATCTGATGATTCTTTAGTATACGGTAGTTAGTGTATATTGAAAACTCTGCTTTTGTCAGCAAGGCAAGTTACATACGTGTTGAGAGCCAGGATCCAATTTTGGATTCAAGATCTATGGGGATGATGTTGTAATGCGGCTGCACAGCTCGTCACTTAGATGCTCCATCTAAGACATGAATACGAATGTACGACGTTGGAGACCCAAGATTGGAGAGTTCTAGACCGTCGAGGTCGTCAAGTCGTCGCCACGGATTTAAACTTGTAAGATGGCTTTGGGCTGATGCACCGGACGGACGGTAGCTTTTCAAATTAGAATTGGAAGAGCTTACACAGTAGCCGAGATATATCAACCGGTTAAAAGTTGCAGGGTTTAGGTACTACATGCATATACACCACATCTGTACCTGGCATACGGATTATAGCGGATGGATCCGATCTCTTTTTTTGGAGTACATACATGTATGATAGGGCAGACTGGAGAGAGGACATCCAATTTCAACGTGCAGCCGGTCGAGATGCAGTAGCTGGACATACATACGTACTGCATCATGTAAGGATCCTAAGGGAAGTTGTATTATCATAGATCGATGTGTTGGTAAATAGCTGAAGTAGACTTTGCATAATAAGATGAATTATTATCATGCATATTTGTGGTTATGCAACTCAATTCAATTCCTATGCGTGTTGTTCTCAATCTCCAAAATCATGAAATCGTTTCCACTGCCGAGCTTTTCATCCCAGCACCAACATCAAAGAGAAATTCGGAGTGACGTACCACCCTTGCGTTACGACTGGCATGCCTCATCATGCCTCATCATGATTCGTCATGAAAGAAAGAAATATTTACTGTGGGAAAATCCGTGCGAAGAGACTAAATCAACATCAGATGAACGGGAGATTATTACCATACCTATTAGCTAGGGTGCGAATTCGACCATCTCGATTAGGTATCCATGTTTTTTAATATGTATCTTATTATTTTCGATCTATCAGATCTCGGCAACTGGGTTTGTTTGTGCAAGGAGGCTAGGCTAAGTACATATGTAGAGACCCCCTTCTAAATTCTATAATAGAATGTAAGATTTCGCGAGCTGGATGTGAAGGTCGAGACTTGGATCCATTGAACTAATATAATATTTATAATATAGTAGAAATGAAGAGTCTGTAGCGTAGTAATATAGATTTCAACGTATTGCTAGCCAAGAGCAGTAAGCTTAACCATTAAACATCGACGATTCGTGGTTCCTATTTCGTAGCCTGATCTCCGAAATAAGGCTGCTCAACAGCCATTGGAAGCCTCTTCCAGTAGGTATACGGTGTGGTGTTACTGGCGTCGTTGTGATAGTGACTGCATTCTGTTCCTGACTAGTCATGGTCACCCCTTAATTAGCCATGCAGGACCCTGGGTTTGCCAAGCCAACCTGTGCCGATCGTCATTTTAAAGGCCTGTCAACTACTCCTAATGCTTACCTCTGCTCTAGCTTCACGATACATGTAATACGCGTATAATCACAGTAGCAAATAGAAGTACACAAGAATTTAGGCTTTTTAGCTACCTGGTCGATACTACGCACATGGTACAAGAACCGAAAAGCTATGCGAGTAAACGTCATCCCGACGCACAGAAACGTTCGGCAGAGGGAGGGACAAGAAGATCAACATAATCCTCAGTGGCTTGAAAACGTTAATCAAACCATGTACTATGCGTATAAGCGTCTTAACCGATAGATATTACCTAACGGACTTTACATTACATACTGCGAGCTATACATTAGGGACGTAGGACGTTATACTTCTTACCTTAGGTACCTGGTAGCCAATAGTGACACGCGATATCTCATTTTTAGACGCGTTCAAACTTACGATACACTGATGTACTTTTTGCATGTCCAATCAGACCGGTAATATTCGTTAGTTTGTACAAGACGAAGGAAGAATGAATGTAGTATGGAGTAACTCTCCTTTTCCCAATCTGCCACTCAGCCCCCTTTCTCTCTTGGCTTTTACACTATTCTTGGTATCTTAACAGGCCGCCCGTGCGCGTCCGCTCAAAAAACCCCACAAACTAGCGAACGTTGCCAGGGATGTAGAAAAGAAAAGGACCCTGTCGACAGGCCTGGAAGCTCCACAAGCGACGATATACCGAAAGGAGGTGAGACAATTCAGGCGAGCCTCGCCATTGGGACGCCGGGTCACTTAGGGCAGAACTCGACGATCTGAATTAGGCCAGTAATAGTATGTACTGACCGCTATACTGCTAGGCGAAGAAATACTCCGAATTCATTGCATCGCCTAGTACTAGCCAAATCACGGGTGGCCGGGTAGCGATGGAAGCCCATGTACTCCCCTTGGCCAATGTGTAGATGCTAATTTCAGACGAAGGCATAGAAAAGAGAGCCTATGCCGTCTCTTACAATGCCTCTTTTTCCTCTTTCACTCCCATCAAGCTTCGGCCAAGATAGTCACTCTTTTGTGCTTTCGGCATCATCATTCTTTTTTGGAATATTTACTATTCCAGTCCATTCTTTAAGCAGTTGCTGTTTTTTGCGAAGTTTGATAAAAAATGCGTTTCTCTACCCACGGCTCCGCGGCCGTGGCCATGGCGGCCCTCGCCAGCGCCACTGCCCCGGTCTCTGAGCGCCATCTCCTTGACCTCGACGTTTCCAAGGACCTGAGCCAGCCCATCTCTGCTAACGTCGATTTGGGTGTGGACTTGAGCGGTACTACTCTCGTCGCCGGTGTTGTTGCCGGTGTGGCCGTTCCCCCTCTAGTTGGTGTTGGTGCCGATGTCGAGGTTGCTGTTGTTTGTGACACTTGCTACACCAAGGGTAACATTAACGCCAGCATCTCCCTGGACAACGTTGTCCCTGCTCTCAGCCTGACTCTCAAGGACATCGAGGCCAAGCTCGACCTCGACATCAGCATTGGCGCTGCCGCCGTCATCGCTGTTAACCTGTTCACCCCTCCCGCCCCTATCTCTCTCCCCCTCCCTGGTCTTAAGGTTGATGCTCTTATCTCCCTTGACCTTGTCCTCGGTGTTGATACTGCTATCGACCTGTCCGCTGGTATCGACCTGAAGCTCGTGGAGGATGCTACGATCGAGACCGACATCTTGGCCGGAAAGATCCTGGATGCTGCTTTCTCTGGACTGTCCGTCCAGGTCCTACCCATTGAGGTCCGAATCGGCTGCACCAAGCTGTTGGCTGATCTCCGTCTCCGTGTTGAACTTGGTGTTGCTGCCGAAGTCGACATTGACGACATCATCCCCATCCTTGACCTCCCTGAGATCGGTGCCGGTCTCGAGGTTGCCGTCTTCGCCAACTTGCTTGAGTACGTCGGTTTCTTCTGCGCTACCCCGTCGTGCCCTCTCTCCAAGGAGTCGTATGGCCTGAACGTTGGTGCTGCTGTGGAGCTCGATGTGTCTGTGGAGGACCTCCTTTCCATCCATCTTGCTCCTACCATCTCCACTGCTCTCCTCAGCTACCCTACGACTACTCTCTGCGAGCATCCCTCGTACACCCTGTCGGTCCCGACTCTTACCGCTACCTCGGCTTCCGCCTCCATCACTGGCACTGCTTCTGCTTCTGAGTCCGGATCCGGCTCTGCCTCTATCACTGCTACTGGCTCCGGCTCTGCTTCCGCTTCCGGCTCTGCCAGTGCTCCCGGATCTGGTTCCGCTAGCGGCTCTGGTTCTGCCACTGCCCCCGGCTCTGAATCTGGAAGCGCCACTGGTTCCGGCTCCGAGTCCGCTACTGCCACCGCTCCTGGTTTCCCCATTGGTACTGGCTCTGTCACTTCTGCTACCTCTGCTACCCTACCGGTCTCTTCTGCCATCCCTACCGATGGCTCTATCACCTCGACCGTCACCAACACCCAGACTTTCACCATCACTCAGTGTGCTGCTTCCGTGCCTAACTGCCCCGCTGGTTACGCTACCACTGCTACTCTCATCCACACTACCGTCTACACGACCGTGTGTCCTGCTACCCAGACTGGTGCTATCACTGCTCCCCCGCCGAAGCCCACTCACAGCAAGTCTGCCACTCCTGTGACCTTCACCAAGACTATCGTGACTCTTGTCCCTTGCTCCGAGGCCTCGACTTTCACTCCCCCCACCAACATCCCTACTGCTCCTTACCCCACCGGTGGCAAGGCTGTTCCCAGCACTACCCCCGCTGGCACCCCTTCCGCTAGCCACCCTGCCGGAGTTCCTTCCGTCTCGAACCCTGTTGGCACTCCTTCTGTGACTGGTCCTATCGTTCCTTCTCAGAGCGGTTCCGCCGGCATTCCCTCTGTCACCGGCCCCGCTGGTAACCCCTCTGTCACTGGCCCTGTCGGTCCTTCCCAGAGTGGTCCCGCTGGTGCTCCTTCTGCCAGCTTCCCTGCCGGAACTCCTTCCGTCTCGAACCCTGCTGGTGCCCCCTCTGTCACTGGTCCCAGCGGTCCTTCTCAGAGCAGCCCTGCTGGTGCTCCTTCTGCCAGCTACCCCGCTAGCTCCGGCTTTGGCTCCGTTACCGTCCCCGGTGGCAAGCCCCCCGGAACCTACCCTCCCGGTGGTAACTCTAACACTGTCCCTACTGGTACTGCCAGCAGTGTTCCCGGTGGCCCTGTTTACCCTACTGGTGGCTCACCTTCTGGCCCGGCTTTCCCCACCGGCGGCTCGCCTTCTGGCCCTGCTTTCCCTACTGGTGGATCGCCTTCCAGCCCCGCCACCCCGACCGTTGTGCCTCCTTACCCCACTGGCCCCATCGGCGGTGGTTCCAACAACACTGTGCCCGCCGTTGCTCCTACGTCTCCCCAGACTTTCAGCACCTATGTGCCCACCTACGCGCCCAGCGCCAGCCCGGTCAACCCGGCGTCCTCTGGATACCCCACCATTCCGGGTGAGACCCCCATCCCGACTGCCGGTGCCGCCAAGGTTGGCAGCGGTATCGCTCTCGCCGCCGCCGGTGCTTTCTTCGCCCTTCTATAAGGGATGAAGTAAAATATATATATAAGGATGTAGTTAGAATAAGGGGAAGGTCTTCTAATATGTAATGTTTCATTGGAAAGCAAGCGTTAAACGTGTTATCATAGCTTGGGTATATATACATTGTACCATTTATGTTCATGACAGCTTGTAGATTTAAAGAATCTTGGCCGTTTACTGTTTTTGTGTTACTGCGTGATATGATCTGTGTTAATATTTATCTATCTACTTGGTGCTTATGTCGTGATGAGTGGTTATTAAGGCGACTTATATCAATGTGCTTATGATTGGCCATGTGCTAGATTCCTTCGTATATGTTAAATATGACATTGTGCTTTTTACTGTCACTGGAACTATTGTTGCTACATTAATGTCAACATATACTTAAAGAACATTACTCATTAATATTAATTATCACGTTTTATATTTACAATGCTCCGTTATATCCTTTCATCTGATTCTCATTCATCTCAAGTTTGGAAAATATTTAAATATTTCCGAATAGCTTGAGCTTAACACATTCTATCGCCTTTCCTCTTGAATTCTCATCGGACTTATTACTTGATCCATTTAGTGTGGTTTTGGACCCTGATCAAGTGGTCACGTGGACCCCCGATTTATGACATGCTGTGATGTAACACTGTGGTAAAGCTGCAACTATTCCTATATCTCTCGCCTATCAAGCCCTTTTCAATAATAATCCTAAGGGATTTTACGTAGCTAAATTTAAATCCCACAATTTCTCAATATTCAACTGCCGCTGACCGCCGGATCAACTTGGCTTACACGAGAAGTTAGGTCCCGACTAATATATTAGTTTGGGTCCAGCGGTTGCGAATCCCTCGTTAAATCCGACGCTTCTGTCCTACCAGAACGTTTCTAACCTAGCTAGTTAATCGTTTTGATAGCTTCGGCCGGTTCGGTCTCCGCTCTGCTTGGTCTGTTGCACCAAAGGCATGGGCTACACCGGGCGATCTCACGTTCTTCCCCGCACCTCATCCTGCACTAGGGATTCCTAGGATTATTATTATGCCAATTATGAACTAAGGGTCGGAGACGCCTGCTTACTTTAAGATGATTGCTGAAAATTTCCCGTTCAGCTTTATACAAAAGGAGTTTTATAGCCGATCCTCTTGGTGAGTGAATTAAAGTAGTAGTTATATCTGAGTCTTCTCGTCGTCCATCTGCCGGTCAAGTCAATTGGTTTCTCACGTCTCTTCTATTTACGTAGTATATTCACCATTAGAAATCCGGAATAAAGAGGTTTGAATACCGGAATATTACGTACCCTACACTTTTATCATTTTAAAATGGCCCCTCCGTTCCGTGCCGAGCACTTAGGTTCGCTGCTGCGACCCGAAGAGCTGCTAAACGTGCGTGAAACTATCCGGGACAAGGGTGTCTCGGCAGAGGAGGCAGGGCTACGGGCAGTTGAGAAGAAGGCTATTGGCGACGTAGTTAAGCTGCAGCAGGACTTAGGCCTGAAGGCTGTCAACTCGGGCGAATACAACCGTACGCGGTTCTGGGGTCTCTTTTGGGATGAGATCGAGGGTACCATCCGCCTCCAAGATGCCGACGCTAGCATGTTCCGGTTGTATCATCCGGATGTTGTTAGTCTGATCGAAACAGGCAGGAAGGTTATGCCCGGAGAGTCTGTTATTGCTGGAAGCAAGCTATCGCACAACCCTGCCAAAGCGGTGTCCAATTTGTCTGAACTTCAGGTGGTGCAGGCATTCGTTCCGGAGAGCGATTGGGGCAACATTAAGCTTACTATGATTGCACCGTCCTGGTTCCACATGAGGTACAAGCAGGGCCAGGCCTATACCAAAGAAGCCTATGCCAACGACGCCGAGTACTTTGCAGACGTCGCTAAGGTTTACCATGCCGAATTAGAAACGTTATACAAGGCCGGGTTACGAAATGTCCAATTTGACGACCCTGGCATGGCTTGTAAGTCTACTTTAAAATCTTCTTACAACAGTCTCCAGGCACGTCGCTGACAAGAAAATAGACTTCTGCTCCAAGGACTTCCGGAAGGGTTGGGAAGAGGACAAGGACAACATTGGGACATGGGAGGACCTTCTTGACGCCTACATCAAACTATACAACGACTCCCTTGCCGGCTTACCAGCAGACTTCCACTCAGGTATCCACCTGTGCCGAGGTAACTTCATCGGCGGAAGGCACTTTTCCGAGGGAGCGTACGATATAATTGCGAAGAAGCTATTCGAGAACCTGAACGTAAACACATTCTACCTCGAGTATGATACTGAGCGAGCAGGCGGCTTTGAGCCTCTGCAGTTCCTCCCTAAGGACAAAAACGTCGTGGTTGGTGTCATCAGTACAAAGGTAAGACAGCTAGAGGATAAGGAGGAGACAAAGGAGCAGATCTACAGGGCGGCAGACTTCGTAGCGAAGGGAAGTGGCCAGACCCGTGAGGAGGCCCTGAAGAGAATTTCCATCAGCCCCCAGTGCGGTTTTAGCACCCACGAAACTGGATACCCCTTAACAGTTGACGACGAGAAGAAGAAGCTGTCGCTCGTGAGACAGATAGCTGACGAAATCTGGGGCGAGCCCTAGATGTATATCTATAGATGTGTACATGACATAGGAATTATTGGTCGGGAGATGATTAGTTATGGCTTGTAGAGGTTTAGCGGCGCGCTCTTGGCTACTTCAACAGTCCAAAATTTTGGGTTAGACGGACAAAGATGGGGAGCCGCAGGTGCGGCGGCGGGCAGGCGCATGTTTTTGGTATACCCATAGAGAATCAACTTCTAAGACGTATATGATGGGGACTCAGTCTACTAGAGACACGAGGAAATTTTGAAAATAGCCGATACCACACATGATCTACCCGTTATATAAGGGGTACGATCGTAACGTCAAGTAGGCGTTACAGCTGCGACCGGCGTATCCCGCTTGGCCTCATACGCTTTCATAATAGAAACCGATGGTCTAAAACTTTGGAACCCGGTGAGGAGCGGGCTACCTACCTCTTATAGAAGTATCATGAACTTCAAAGTGATATGATTGCGTGGTATATCCATAAACTAAGACGTACCGCTGCCGCGTCGTAATTTGAGATAGGCGTAAGTTATTGAGAAAAAACCATCATCTTCGGTATATTCTCTTAAATATTTGGGTATGTGGCTACTATAATCTCGTAGCGAGTTTGAGCCTTGGTTGTACTTCGTAGACCTTAGGGAATTGATGAGATGCGCTTCAAGGTTTCGTCTTTGTCAAGATAAAACCGTGATAGCCGAAACCAGAACCATCACCGAGAACCTCCATTTCGATTTCCCAACTAGTTCCATCGCAATTCAACAGAGGTCTTATGAAATGCGGTTGTCGGTATGTCACGTAGAGGAATACCCCATCATCCTTGAGGACTCGATTTACCTGTATAGTGTTAGTAGGCGTCCTGCATGAACCACATACAGGATAAAGCGAGGCGCAAACAAGATAACTACGTAGGGAGGTATGCTTAGAGCAGCATATAAGTAGTTGAGGCCTACCTCGCGGATGTATTGACCAGTGTTCTGTTTTACATCGTCGGGTGGACTCCAGGGACTGCCATGGATCATGGCATCTAAGGTTCCCTTATCAAAGGCGACATCTATCGACTTTTCAGGGATTTCATCTAAATGGCGGACATCGCCATGCTTCCATTCGATACCCTCCATAGCGGAGTGTCGTTTAGACATGAGATCCACGACGACCGTCGAAAAGTCGACGCAGAGCTGATTCTTATACCCCCTTTCCCATAACCCCACTGGCACGTCCTGCGATATACGTTAACCATGTTAATCGTTTCTTATTTCTTATACGAAGAAGATTATTTATTTGCTGGGAAAACATACACTATCACCCGACCCCAAATGTAAAATTCGGGGATTCGTGTTGGGACTACGGGTTTGAAAGAGTCTTCGATCAAGAAAAGCCTCGAGTTCGGCGAAATTCCTAAACCACTCATGAGTTGGCCGATCTCCTTCGGCTTGGGCATAACGCTGATCCCAAAAGCTGGGATGCGCAAGGCGCTCATTTTCTTCGTCTGATGACCCCATTCCGGAAACTCTTGACTATTTTCAGCTTCAATTTTTATCGCAGGCCAAACAACATGTATTTCTTCGACGCCTCAAACCGTTTACAAGGATATTGTGGAATATCCACGTGATATGTACCTAGGTATTTATATGTACAAGGCGGAGAAACCTTATTCCTATCCATCTGCACCTACGGGATCCATGACGACTACTATTTTTATCTAAGTTACCCACTATGCACATGCCGATCGAGGCTTTATCGAGCTACCTAGGTACAGTTTTGCGGTTCCATAGATTCGCTTATGCAGGTACGGGGCTTGTCAAGATACCCAATCAGCCAATCACTATCATGTGTACTTTATTCGGAGCACATTACCATTCTCTAATTACAACAATTACAACAACAACAAGATGTTTTTGTGATACTGCATTTTATATTTATCGCCAAAAAGAACTGGTAGGGCTGATAGGTAGGTACCTACTATTAAACTTTGAAGGCTGGGTGCTTTAGGTTAGACAGATTTCTAATGTAATACATAAGCGATTTTGTCATGAACATTGTCATTGCGTCACTTACATGGGCGAAGTATCCATGATTCCATTATTTATAATACGTCATCGTCTTCCTCCTACAAACATGTATCGAACCAAACGACTATAACTCAGAATAGTTAATAGAATTCTTAAACCAAAACTTGCCCAAACAAAGGTATCAAATCTAGTGGAGTCAATCATCTAAGAAATAGATATCAAAGAAATACAATGGCGGAAGTCGCAGCTGGGTTATTGGCAGCAGAACAAGCCATCTCCGCGAGCATCTATACCGGAGCGGCTGCTTATGCCGTTGCAAGACCAACTATGCCTCTGAAGGCAACATTTTCACGGTTTGGATCTGCATCAGATGATGGTATTTCAAGGTACGTGTACTTTTTATGAGATCCATCTTCCCGTGCTCGTATTATACTAATTCGCAGAAGGTCTTCACTCACCAGATCTCATCATACACTCACCGTAGTGGGTAACAAAGCTTATATTTTCGGAGGCCAGATGAGCCAAGGAGAACTTGCCATTAATTGTATCCACTACATAGCACTGCCGAAAGCCAGTACTGCTGTAGCTGAGTTTCAGGTACTGCCGGCCATTTCTTCGAAGAAAGGCGGGCTTGTGCCAAAGCCAAGGACCAAGCATTCTGCTTGCGCGTTGAATAACCGCGTCGCTATCTATGGGGGTTGCGATGAAGCTGGAAATGTCTTAGATGAAGGCCCTATAATTTGGTTATTCGATGTCGAGAGACTCACATGGAGTACTCTTAAATCTTCTAACCATCCGGAGAGAACACCGCCCCCAAGAAGCGAAGCACGTTTGCTCGCGCACGATGGCAACCTCATCCTCGTCGGTGGGATAAATTCGAGTGGCGAAGCTCTAGCGGATGTTTGGCATTATAATTGCTCTACGGAAATTTGGAATCAGCTGCCGCACACCCCGGCCGTCGTCACGAGTGCAGCAATTTCGGGAGACACATTATACGCAATCTCTAACTCTGATACGCTTGGTAGTGAAGTACATTACCTAGAAATCCAACCCTGCACCGAACCAGCTTCAACCTGGCGGACTATCTCATTTCCCATGAACCCTTTAAGACCGGGACCTAGGCCGAGGTCGCATGGTGGATTGATCCCCATCACGACGGGGTACGGTCGGAACTATCTCCTCTACTTCTTCGGCGATCGTAAAGGAGAAGCAGAGAAAAGAGATCTACTGCAGTGGAGCGATCTCTGGACCTTCCAACTTCCATCTAGTGATTTAGAAGCCAAAGCGACTACCCCCGTGAAGGAGGCAATCAAGCCGGCTAAGATCAAAGATCAGATACGCTCAAAACTCGGTGCCGATACGGGCGCGTCTAGCTGGACTGAAGTTGAAGTACAGCCCCCCGGTGACCTTAAGGCACATGAGGGTAAGGTACATCCTGGTCCGCGAAGTTCGTTCGGATACGATATAACAGCTGATGGACGGAGTGTCGTACTATGGGGTGGTTGTAATGCAACCGGAGGGTCGGAGGGTGACGGATGGATTATTGAATTCTCATAGAGCTGCCGTTCCGTGACACGACAGGTCTCTATTGTCGGAGATCTAATCAAAATAAGGAAAGCCAGATAGGGTACGAAATAAAATGGGAAATTGTTTTTTTCAATGGAACTCGCATTTCTCTTCTCTAAGAAAACATAAAAGGATTCAACAATAGGCATGTTCGCCTTTCTGATTATGCTTTGTTAACATAGGGTAATAAAAGGCGCCTTTGGCTCAAGTAGTAGATAAAGGGTTTCCCTAATAGGAGAACCTTCATATTAAACTTGAATTCGCAACGTAGTGAAAGGGTTTTGACGCCTTATACACTATTTGAATTTCTATTTTATCTCAAACTCACAATACGTCCACAATATGGGTAGATGTGACAGCATTGCTTCGGCCTACGATACCACGCCGTATCACGCCTACTGTCTATCTGAAGGAGGGGATGAAGATGACGATGTCTGCGTATGGGATGAAGGTCCACAGCTTTACGATTTATATGATAGCGAAGATGAGCGGATAGTCGCCGAGATTCATAGTTCTATCCCCGAGTGTGATTGGGTATTCCGCAGCAGAGCACGAAATGATGATACCCCAACAACGATACGGCCCGCAGGAGCAAAGAGGAGAGACAGCACCATCACAATACTAGAAAATCCCTCCAAAGATCCCGAGAAACTAACCGACGACGAGTTCCAAGAGCGACAGATCGCCTATGCACTGTCGACCACCCGGAGGAATCTAACTAGGATGTCGCAATTCATGTTAAAGTTGGAGTGCCGCGCAGGGAAGGTTACGAAGGAAGGCATCAAGCACACCCTTGATGCTACTGTCGCCGACAGTACTGACGCGGCCAATAAATATCCTACCTACCAGGACGATCTCGAGGAAATCAAACACCTGAGCGATAATGTATGGCAGCGCTTATATCTCATCGACCGACACTGGCGACAGCAGAGTCGCAGGGACCGCGATGCTAAGGGCCACAGTCCCCCTATCGAACTTGAGAGCGAACCAGCCGTGAAGGCATTTCTAAAAGAAGAACGACAGACTAACCATCTCACGAGTAGGGATTCGTGCTACTATACAGCCGCGGACCTAGCGAGCGGGAGGAGATTTGAAGACTGGATTATGTATCTGAAGAACTTCTGCGAGTTCAAGGACGACCCGGCCGAAGAGACTAAGCTTGTGCATCTAGCCTGGCGGTTCCTCGACCGCGAATTGCGCGGGCCGAGGCCGACTAACCCCGCGTGTATTGCGAATTTCCTGGCGGAGCTTAATGGGCAGTATCAAAATGGCGCTTTTGACGAGGCGATTAAGAATCCCGAGAAGCGGGAGAAAGATGATGATAAGGCGTGGGGGGCTATTAAGAAGTTTTGGTTTTCGAGGTTTCAATATTAGTGCTAAAGTGATTAGAGTTAGTTAATATATGGATTTATTATTTATTACGTTGATTAGAGTATGTTCTTTGGTTGACATAGGGGATGGAGCTGTGAAGTGTTTAATGTCTTTGGGTAGATGTGTACCTAGTATTCCCCCTATTAAATAATACATGCAGTTTTTTATGAGCTTATATTTCGGAAAATTTCTACATTTCCAGGATAAACAATCCGAAGCTGGCACTATGTACTGGAGATCTATTTTAAGCGTCGCTGGGAGGATGTGATCGGCATTTCGAAGCGTGAGTAGGTAGGTATAGGGGCGTACTTATGTCACCCTCAATATCCTAATACTCCTAGCAAGAAAGTTCTTCTCGCACGAAGGTAAGTTCGAGACTACATTAAGTGTCATGCCATATTTCATTCCTTGTGTCTATGATACGAAGCTACTTCGATTTACATTAGTTATTATTTAGATATCTTTGTATTACGTAGGCTGGTAATTCCAATGCAATAGCTCGCCGTGAATAGCCATTGGTTCCGTTATAGCCATTCAATACATGACAGTCGCACCCTTTCAAGGCTTGCGAACAATGCTTTGTACCTGCTAATCATCTCAAAGGTATCTTTAGAAACCTCGTCGAGGCTTTATCTTTCGGACAAGGCATTATCATTAGTATTGTGGTTATGGTATCAATGACAATGCAAAGAGTGACTATGGAAATGTAACATAAGAGCTGAGCTAAGCCTGCTCCCTAGTAACGAAACGTAACAATTCTAAATCCTCGCTTTCATGTAAGCTGCGTGGGCAATAGGATCCTCGCGGGAAGCTAGCAGCTACGTTTACCCCTTTTTATTATACCAGCCACCAAGTTCCTTCGCTCTCATGTCGTACACTCAACGGACTCCTCTATTGGGGTCTTCAAAAGATATTAACTATGCCACCGTTAAGCCTATGTTAAGCAATGATACTTTTGTAAAGAAGCAGCTAGCTGAAATTTCGGACAGTGAGGATCACGTTATTGATATCGAGAGAATAGCCAAATTGCAGGAGAGAATTTCGCCTACTACGACGTGTTCTTACGGTAGCAATTGCGGTGTATATTTCTGCGATTATTGTGCGCGGAACGGATTGGAGCACTCCCCAGACCCAGAAGTGGATGAGCGTAACCTTTGGGTAAGATGTGTGGAAAGCGAGGGGTCGCTGGCGGTCCTTGAAACGATGATTACCTTTCAGATGCGCCTCCTTAGCGTGTTAGTGCCGGCGGTCCTATTACTCGTTCTGAGGATATATATAGCGGCATTGTTTTAAGATATATATAGGTACCTAGGTAGCTACTCAGGTAGGAATGCTCGGTGTAATATACTTGTTTGTTTGCTTGCTTCTTCATGACCGGCGTAACTTCCCTCCTCGTACTTCCTTCTCTAAATGAATATTCTACGTCGAATATACGACCCTACTTACCTCTGTCCCCTTCCATCTACCTCTTCCTACCTTTACCTACCAACTACAAGCTAAACAATTCAACACCCTACCACACACCAAGCAACTTATCCACACTAATACCCAGTCTTCTTAATATAGTCTTACTCTTACAGACTGGAGATAGCTCACGGCTCTCGACTACCACTAGTCTACCTATCCTCAAACCACCTACGACTCTCATCACCACATCTATTTTTCTCTACTCAAGACCTCGTTCGTATTCAGTACCCTAGTTACAATAGAGGTAGTTACTCCTCCAATACCTCTCACTTCCAACTTTACACACGACGTTGAGCGGCTTCCTCACTTCTCTCTCACGATAAATCGTCCCGGCGAGGAGTTTTTTCTGTCCGTTCCAACCCCCTCGTAACATCCTTACTGCCAGCACTATTGCGTATCCCCCTGCGCTTCACGATCTCGTATTACTTACACCAGTGGAAAAATCTACCCAGCGTGTTCCTATCCATTTAGTTTTTGAAGTAATCTACTACCATCCTTTTACCTTCCTTGAACAAGGATGAACAAGAATACTTCGGCTCGTGGCTTTCCATACCAGCGCCAACCAGTACCAAGCTTCTCAATCAACGCCTTTCCTTGACATTTACCTTTCTATTTACCCCCACTTCCTTAAGCAATTATTATTCTTATCAGTTTCTAGTAATATCTTCTCACTTACACACCTTACTCTACAGCCTACCTACGTGAGACCTTGGTATCACAACTACTTCTCAGTCTACAATCTCTTACCATATCGCCAGTCGCACTGGTCGAAAGAAATGCCCGACCTCGATACCAGTGATAGCATGGCAGCGGAGTGCCTGGTTCCTGCTGCTAGCACGGCGGCGCAGCAGCAGCAGCAGCAGCCGGACTCTTTCGCATGGAACTCATGCGGTCACTATGATGACCAGAAAAGAATTGAAATTAGAGAGGAAGCACTCGAAGTCGGCCTCTTGCAATGCAAGCTGCTAATCAATCAATTCGAGGTCTTTCTCGATAATGCTCGCTTGGATAGCGAATTAGCTTCGAACATGCTAGGGCTTGAATCCCTTGAGAAATGGATTCAAGACTGCAGTACGTATTCTATAATTTAAGAAGACGCTATGCTGATATTTGGCTTAGAGGATCTGATGAAGCTTCACAAGAAATTCCAAGTACTCGTCGGTGTCGCAGGACCAACTGGCAGCGGGAAGACGTCGGCTCTTAATGCTCTTCTCGGATACAATGAGCTCCTACCAACTAATAACCAAGAAGCTGCTACTGCCGTACCTTGCAAGGTATCCTATAATCATGACGATAAACCTAGCATGAAATTTAGGGCATGTGTCACTTTTCGTACTAAGACAGCCCTGGTGAAGCAGCTGGACCGGTTCTTCGAGGACCTGAAGGGTAGGAATGAATTACGAGCGATAAATAACAAGTCACCTGAGGACCACGAAGAACTTCGAAATGCGAACTCCAATCTAAAGCCGACCCTGGAGATGATCAGAACGGTCTTTGGTATCGAGGAGCGCGATGTCACTAATATGACAACCCAGGACCTTCTTGAGCTGAATAAGAGCGTCCCCAAACTCCTTGGTTCAACTAAGAAATTCCACAGTGGCCATGAAGACCAGCTGGCAGATCAGATAAAACCATATATGGACTCGACTACGGCTAAACATACGAAGTTGGGTTCGGAGTTCGCGGCTTGGCCGCTAATAGATGAAGTAGAATTATACGTTAAGTCCGACATCCTCAAAAACGGTGTCGTTTTAGTCGATCTCCCTGGAGTCGCCGACTCGGTAGAGAGTCGGGCTGCTATCGCTGAGGCATATTTCCCCAAGTTGGTTGCTACTCTCATCGTGTCTCCCGCTCGCAGGGCAGCGGATGAGTCTACCGCGGTGAAGCTGATGTCGGATCATCAGCAATTACGCTTGAAGATGGATGGTAAATTCAATAAGCGCAGCTTCTGTATCGCGGTTTCGCAGACAGACCATATTGACCGCAGATCAGCCGTCAGAAGTCGAGAGGCTAGGTCAAATCCTAAATTGCAAGATCTCATCAAGGTAGAGAATAGTACGAAGCTAAAGAAGCAAGAAAAAGAGAACCAGTTGAAGGAAGCTCGTAAGCTGCTCCGTGCTGCTGAGAGAGCCACAGCATCAAAGAAATCCCAAGTGTCAAAGAAATCCCAAGCGTCAAAGAAATCCCAAGCACCAAAGAAATCCCAAGCACCAAAGAAATCCCAAAATATTGCCCGCAGTACGTTGAGACGCAATGAATTTCCTGCTTCATGTGCTAACTCTTCTTAGGGACGTTGAATAAACCCCAGGTATCGAAGTATAGCGATCAGACAAAAAAACAGATAGGGAATAGTGCAGTACTCAAAAAGGAGATTGGTGAATTGGCAGAGAAGCTGGACGACTTAGATGGCCATATTACTTTCCTCTGTGTCCGAAGCAGAAACAAGTTCCTCGAGAATCGTATACAGCATGATTTCCGAAGAAGACAGGCGGGCACTGTTAACGGTGAACAGAAAGTTGCCAAGGATATATGCGATGGTAGAGTTTCCGTTTGCCCGATCAGTGCGAAGGCATTTTGGGAGTGCAAGTTGAGCGACAAGCCTATAGCCGGATTTCCGGATGAGCACTACTCGGGAATCCCAAGCCTTAATCAATGGATTAGAAAGGCCACCGTCAAAGAACGAGAGAGTCACGCCAACAGCATCCTGTATGACCTACTTAACCACTTCAATGTGATTCAGACCTGGGCAAGGGAAGAATGGGGTCATGATCGACTTCAAATTGATAGGGAATGGCTGGAAAACGATGTATTCCCAAATCTTTATAACGTCATGAAAGAGGTATTTATTAGCTAAACCCACGTCCATTTATGAGAGCTTCAAGACTAACAAGTTATGATATAGGAGCTGAATAAATATTGGGTAGAGCTAAACAAATCCGTCAAGAAATATAATCCGCTCCACGATAGAAAGAAGTCACTTGAAAACTGCACAGGGGAATGTCGCAATGTTGTACAGAACTGGTCATTCAAGGATCCCAGCGATGATGCCGCGACAGCCAAGATACATTGGCTCACATATCAGGCCAATATTAGCAGAGAAGGGGGTAACTTTGTGAGCAAGTCCGGCGATGAAAGTATTAGCTACAACTGGATGGAAGATATGTAAGAGCTCCATTAGGTATCTTTTGCTATATAATTTCGGAATGGCTAACTTTAATGTCAGCTCGGATGTCTTGCTTAGGACCATTGTGGCCGACTGGAACCAAGCTCTGAACCATGATATTCCTGCACTTTATGAACCAGCTTGCAAGATTATCAACCTCACATGGGAGCGCTTCCTGGCACAATTGCGGTTTGGCGTTAAGGAGGTCGCCCCTGAACTTTCGCCGTTCCTTGATAAGATCATGTCAGATATTGACATAATAAAGGAGCAAATTAAGGATAGGGTACGACAGGCTCTAACGAGCATTTCGAAGGATGCGTCTGAAGTTCATCCAGACATGGTCAAATTGATCCAGAAAAAATGGCATGACACTTTCAGAAAAGCGGCGAAAGAAAAAGGCAAGTTAGACAAAAATTTGATCTTCCGATTATTTCTAATTTGAAGATAGGGAAGGGCTCTTTCAATGCGCGACAGGGACTTCTGCTTGAATTTGCGGACAAGAGTGGTACCAAGATGTTCAACGCTGCCTTCGAAGACACGAAGAAAAAGCTTACGGAGAACTTTGATCGACTCCCAAGCAACCTCAACAATATATCCACGTTCGCGGTCCAATCAGTCCAAGATCATATCAAGGCGCTCTTGGATAGTGTCGCCTTACCCGACGTAAAGGTAGAGGAGGCATTTAAAGAGAAGGCTGAACTGCAGCGGTTCGTGCGCAGCACTCTCATGCAGTGGGATCTTAAATGGAAGCTTCCCGGAACGATTCGGAACCTCCATATGAATGACGAGGAAGTTTCTATTCCTGATGAGTACTGCACTAAAGAAGGTGAAGTTGAAGATGATACGGGAGATGAGGACGAGATGGATATAGATGAGCCGCTTGTTAGATGAAGACTAACTAACCTCCTTACCATTCTCCAGAACAACAATCCCCAAAGGTTTGACGGTGATCGGTTGATTGGCTCATATTGACTCTGCTCTTGATTTGGCTCGACGCTGCGTTACGTTGAAAATAATATGCGATAGGAGGATCAATATCTACAGACATCTAGCACACCAGGCCTACTATATTCGCGATGATTCCTCCGCATTTGAAATGAATCGCCGGGATTCAATGCTTGCTCTGCCATACTCGTGAGGCTTCACGGATGATACAATGCGATGATTTTCTCTTTCCATAATGCGCATGTCTTTACATAAACTAAATAGCAAATAAATCGTGTGGATTCCAATTTTAGCTTTACGAGAACCCACTTCCGACGTACGGTGCTACATTAGTGCAAAACCGACAAAACTAAAATTGAAAATCAGAAAATCAAAAATCAGAAAATCAAAAAATCAAAATTCGTCCGACTTGGCACATGCACATGCACATGCACTATAATTTACAGCACCTACATGCGCTAAAGCCCCTTATAAATACAGGGCATTACAGTGATGCATGCGCTAAAATATGCCTAAGGTTTACCTTAAGATGTTGTGTTGAATGCGAGTAAACATTTCCTATTTGAATGGGACACATGCCTTGCTACCTTACAGATAATTTTCCTGCCTTATAGAAGCAGTAAAAGGTGAAAGGAATCAGTCTGCATATGCATATGCTTAAGGCTTCGTTATTACTCAGGTCTTGAGGGAACTGGAAGTATTGTCCAGCCGTATAATAGCAGTAAACCCGGGCTATCGTAAGGGTGCCTTCTAGTTTAATAAGGGGTAACTAGGTCACTAATATGTAATAAAAATAAAAATAGCATAGAAACATGGTGAGGTGTAAACCTTAGGCTTTTGTATAGCCCAGGGGGTATTATATCTAGTCTTTTCCTCAGTCTTTTGCTTAGTCTTTTGCTGAGCTCTTTGCTGAATTATCGCAGTTGTAAGAGACGAGAGGCTGCTACTGTCGTTCTCATCCCGCGAGGCATCTTTTGAGGCCTCACTTGGGGCGACCCCTACCTCGTCCTCTGGGGCGACCCCTACCTCGTTCTCTGGGCTGGTTTCTCTGTTGATGTCGTCTTCGGTTAGACGACCTCGTTTGTTTGCACGAGAGCTTTGATCTGATATAGCCCTTGGTCGCTTAGGCGTGGGAGTAATCTGAGGAGATATAGTAGATCTGAAGCTGTCCCTCTCGTACGGCGACGAAGGATCGATAAAATTCTTGTTAGTGATAAGTAAGGGTTCGTCAATCGGTTCCGCCTTCACGGGAACAGTATCCGCGCTTGACTCCCTGTTCGTGCGAGTATTGGCCCCCCCTTTCCTCCGAGGAGTGCGCCCCTTTTTCACCGGAGTGACATCCTCTTCTATCTCCTCAAGAGGTGCGTAGAAACACACGTAAATATTAACAGGCTTATACCCGTCGGGCTGAAAGAGTGGTGTGGGGGGGTGAAATAGGTCACGGATTGTACGAACAGGACCTTTTGGAAAAGGGAGACTAATCGGCCCCTTCTTCGTACAGCTCTTCGCTAACTCCATCTTCCAGCCTTCTTTAAATGCTTGGAAGAAGGTGGGATTTGTGAGGTGCGGTCGTACAAAATGTCGTATCCAATCTTCCTCGGTTTGGTCCGGCGAATCTCGAGAGTAAAAGGGAACAAGCTCAACCGTTTCTAATAAAATGATTAGCTATAGTTTTATTAAAAGGTCAAATAGCTTACGAATTTCCTTAGCTATGGCGACACACTCTACGCCTCTGTAAAGGTGAGACCATACCATCCAAGCGTGTATATTCGGGACGACGGTATAGTTGTCCGTATACCCCTTCTTCCCGTTCCTTTGGCCTGCTCTGCCTACCTCCTGCGAAGAGTGCTTCATATTGTTCGATATCGACCGAGTAAGATTACTTAATCTATCTTTGTTATGAGGGATAGCTGTACGAGACGAGGCAATAATATGTGAGGGATTATCCCCAGTGTGACGACGATCAATAGAAATCAATTGGGCTGGCGTTTCTGATTTCGTGCGAGAGGTAGATTGGGAAGTTGTAGATTGTGAAGACGTGTTATCCGTAAACGGATCGTCGTCGTTGTCGTCGTCAATAATGATAGATTTTGGCCAAGGACATTTACAAAAGGGGCATGTTGTACCGCCCATTAGGTTTCGGATATCGGTATGAGTGCGAGCAATTCGGCCGTCTTCGTCGGAACGAGGGCATTACCTTTTCTTGAATATAAGTAGGCATTGTAGGCTTGTAATAGGTGAAATTGATGGAAGATGTAGATATGATGGTATTCGCACGAAAGGGATATATGATTTTGTGAGGAAAAAATGAGAAAAAGGAAATAGAGTCCGTCTCATCCCCGAGATATTGGCCAAAGCGTATACACACGAGCCAACAGTTGACGTAACAATACGGTAGAAGTAGTCGATTAGATAAGCATCAAATAAGGTTAGAAGCCGCGACGCTATGATTGACGATCATTTAGCTATGATTGAAGATATCGCAGGTATAAGGCAGGCGTTAATAGTATCCCAAAAAAAAAATATGCCATATAAGCTACCAACCAGCTACCTAGGTAGTCACTTGTCACTCCGTAGTGGTCACATACCAAAGGCGGCTCCTAACATTGATATAGGACCTTTATAAAATCCGTACGGCTATAATAGACAGGTACGTAATGATATCTTATAATAGACCTTTGCAACATTGAAGGCCAAGCTATATTAACGCCTTTCTTATTGCCAGTCGTGGTGTTGCCATTCCGGTGCCGTGCGAGGCTTGACGATATCCAGACAATTATAGCAAAAGTTTCGGGATCACGCTGCTAAATGCAGCATATAGGTTATAGGACAGTGAATCGGACGACGAGAATAACCACCAGGCCCTACTCTTTCTTGCTAACGCCCGCCTCCCAACCCAGCGCTTGCGTCTTATTTCCGAAATGCCAGGCTCTTGATTAAATCTAATTAATTTGTATTAATTCCAGTAAGGGTTTTTTTTTTGTACGACCGTAGATAGGTACATGGGACCAAAGAAGCTAGATATTAAGTAAATCTAATAAAGGCGTTGCTGTTGGAAGTCCGCAATAGTCTAAGACGATTACCGTATACCTTTTCGTGATGCCTTAGATACATAAGTAAACGTATCGTACGAAAATGAGGTGAAATTAAAATATAGTGTCTTATAGCTAATAGATATTTATTTATTTATTTTATTTAATAATATTGTATGTAGTTGTAGTTATGTATAATTGATTAGATTGTTTTAGTCAATTGGACGAATTTTGATTTTTGATTTTCTGATTTTTGATTTTGCGATTTTCAATTTTAGTTTTGTCGGTTTTGCACTAATGGAGCACCATGCCGATGACCTACCCAGTCCCACCAGGTATATTCCAGCCTCTACACTACACACGTGGGACCACCTTATATTCTGGAGGGTTAAACTTGAACATAATCTCGTGGGCTATGTTCCTTAGAAATGCCGGGCTGGCGTCACCCCAGCTTTCGTGAAGCCGTACGATACCATCGTCGAGCTGCCGACACAATGATGGGAAGTAAGCGAGGCCGGCCACTAAGAGTATAGTGTGAACCCATATGCCCTTTCCGCTCCAGAGTTTGATGTCCTCCCTCGTGTACTGCGGCTTCATGGGCTGGCAGTACCGCCACCCTGCGTGTAGCCACAAAGACCAGACCATCACCCACGCGCACGCGGCTATCCGACTGTCGCTAGCAGCGAAAGACGCAGCTAGGACGAACAAAGACACGATCAAGGTGGTAATGTAGCACGACAACGCGAGAACGTTGTCGTATGAGTAGGGGTCTATAAGCCTGCATAGCGTTACGCTCCAGGGCTCGGGGTTGCGACGGGTTTCGGTGCTGGTAAGGGAACGGAAGAGGCTGACGAAGACGGACTGCCAGATTACGAAAAACGCGAAGATGGCGAACACGCAGATGCTGACGTAGAATAGGGTGTGGAAGACCAAGGAGAGGAACGAGGCGTGGGGTACAGGCAGCTCAAGTAGACGCAGAATTGCGATGATGTCGGCAACGGCGTCGTCGATGAGATCCGGGGGGTTGGGAGAGGGGTCTCCGCCGTATGGCCAGTCTGCGATCATTGGGGATATTGGTTTGGGGCCGGGGAGATGATGGGTTAATGGGTAGGTGAGCAGTGAGACTTGGTAAAGGAAACCCTGTTTGTTTCGAGAGGCTTGATTCACACGTGGGGTAGCTGTCTCGTTGGTTATCAGCGGAGAAGACTCTGAGTCAGGTAGATATAGGCAAGTAATGAAATGACGGTCTTTGAGGTCGAGTTACAGTTGTCTGAATCAGCTTTGTATGTCTAACTCTGCCTTTTTTATATCTGTCGTACGAACAGAACAATCTATATTGTTTACACACAAAGAGATCACCTCAGTGAACATGCTATGTGAGATAGAATCCTTTGAAGATAAGGGGCTTCTATGATATAATCCTCGAATAATAGACATTTAAAGTATACCAGCCGTTCCCCTAACCCGACTACCAACTCTCAGCTTTAGTAAAAACCGCTACGATCTGGTGAAAAGGCTACCTCTCATCTATCCTGTCCGGTATCTAGATTCTAAGAGTAATGCCCAGTATCTCCACCACCAATGTAAAGCTAGGATTATACACCCAATCCAGCCACCCGAGGTTAACCAGCCCATGATCCATCAACATGCGCAGCCCAGGGGATCCCCACGCCGCCGCGAGAAGCGCAAAAGAAGCAAGGGACAGATATTTTTCTGAGACAACACTGACGCAGACTATCGCGTACCAGATAATGAAGCCCCAGAAGACGGTGATGCGCCCCGGATAGTTGCTCATGGTCTCGGGGTCGATGGAGTTGAATCCTGCCACTACCGCCCTCATGCCTAGTAGCCCGAATACTAGCATCCAGATATTAGTCGCCCAGCGCCCGGTGCGGACGAGTAGTTCAGGGTATCGCGATAGCCAAAAGCTGAAGACCATCAACCATGTGACTTTAGAAGAGATAGTCAGCAGCTTGCTCCTTGGAGTAAGGGAAAGGAAAGTAACGTAAGTAATATAAGGTATTCGGATCCGTTTGAACTTGGGCGGACGATAGCTTAACCTTTACGTTGAAATAGATAAGAGAGAATAATAACTGGCTAGAGAGGATATGAAAAGGTAAGAAATTCTTGATAATACATACTGGCGGCAGAAATCGCGACAAAATAATACATTTAGACTTGTTTCATTCCTCCCATATAGGAGGGTATAACTATCAGATCGAATATGCACACGAAGTATACTATAATCACGGATTCTTGAGAGGTTTCTAAAATAACGTGGATATATCAAATGGTTCGCTTGGACAACGGGGGTTGGTCTTTAGCTGGTTACGGTATAACAATTAGAAAAACCCATCAACCATCTCCTTGTGCGTGCTCGCGGTCCAAGCCGAAAGCAGTCTCGAGGACGAATGACAAAAGACCCCAATGCGTATTTTGCTCTTTTCCCCCTCTTCATCTATCTTTATTGTACCAGATCGTTCACATAGTCTTTGTCAACAAATCGCGTACCTCGAAGTAATCCACAGCCCAAACGCCGAGACAAAGAATGAATGGACCAAGACAATCGTAGTATGAACATCTCGACTTGCTTGTATGTACAGTATTCGGTTTATTCCCTGACGAACAAGCCAGCCATACCCATCCCGGTACCCACGCACATACTCACCACACCCACCTGTCCCCCGGTCCGTCCCAAGCCATGCAACAGCGTAGCCGTCATCCTTGCCCCCGTAGCACCAAGCGGGTGGCCTAGAGCAATAGCACCTCCGTTAGGGTTAACCTTGTCCTGCGCCCATGCCTCCTGCAAACCAAGCTCTCTTAAGCAGTAGACGGACTGGCTGGCGAAAGCCTCGTTGATCTCCCACCGGTCCACATTCTTTAACTTGATATCGAGCTGGTTTAGGAGCTTCGGGATAGCTAGCGCGGGGCCGATGCCCATCTCGTCCGGGGCGCAACCTACCGTAGTAGCAGCTACGAACTTCCCCATGATACTCGACGTCAGCCCGAGCTCTGTCGCGGTGCTTCGCCTCATCAAAAGCGAGGCAGCCGCGCCGTCGCTGACTTGACTCGAGTTACCCGCCGTGCTCGTGCCGGATTCGCCAAGTACAGGCTTGAGCTTAGCGAGGCCCTCGAGCGTTACCCCCGGCCTTATGCCATCATCCTTTGTTACGGTAATCTGTTTCGGCTCCCCAACTTCTTTCCCTTGTTTGTCAGTTTCCTGGAAGACGGTAGAAACAGGCACGATCTCTTGGTCGAATAAGCCCTCGGCCTGAGCCTTCGCCGCGCGCCGCTGGGACTCAAAGGCAAACTCGTCTTGCTCCTCGCGCGAAACCTTGTACCTCTTCGCAACGTTCTCGCTGGTAGCAAGCATAGGCATAATGCAATCGCGGGCATCTTTAACGGGACTCTCGGCTAACACGGGCCACCTATCTACAGGTATAGCCTTACTAGCGTAATTCCTCGTCATGCTCTCCATGCCCGCGGCGATACCTACGCTAATCATGTCGACGCGGATCTGGGCGGCGATGGTAGCCAGACCCTGCAGACTGCTGCCGCATGCGCGGTTGACGGTATACAAGGATGTGGTATTAGGGAACCCGACATGATTCATAGCCATGCGGGAAGCCTTGCTACCGCCGAGTTCGGAGAGGACGACGCCGACGGCGACATCTTCTATCTTATTCGGCGGGAGATTCGGGTTGGCGTCAAGCGTGGCGCGTAGTACGACGGAGAGCAGCTCTTCAGGGTAGGCATTCTTTAGTTGGCCGCGACCCGAGCGACAAATAGGAGTGCGTAGCGAGGAGAGGATGACGGTGTCGGAAGGTGATTTAGCTAATACAGCAGAAAGTCCTCTAGGGAGTATCATATTTATTATACGTGAAGACGGTGAAATCCAATGTTAAGCTTGCTATATACAATATATACACAATGGATATAAAAGAGGTAAATAATAAATAAACTAGTAGGAGAAATACATATACAGTATACAGAGAATTAAGAAGGAAGGAAATCCAACTAGATGATATAGCCCCCCAAGCGGGACAGGGGAAAATAGAGTCGTAAAAGATAAAAGACGGCAGAGGGCCGTTGATTGTTCAAGAAGCAATAATTAAACTGCCGGTTGCCAGTTCCGCAGGTGGGGTTTATACGGTTGACCAGAGCGTTGACTGTAGCAAAACCCAAAAATCAATACGTATACCGTGGGGGGTAGGTTTAAACATATTTATTAATAATTTAATTAAATTAAACCCTTATATATTATATAAGCAGGGGGGTACTTACTTAAATGAAAATTTTTTTTATTAAATTATTTTAATTTTATTTTACCCCGTAATAATTCCGGTAAATAAATTTTAATTAAATGCTTTAAATTTATAATACGTTTTATGTTTTAAATATTAACTTTAATTATATTAAAATTTATAAATTTTATTAATTATAATAATACCATTTTTATTAAAAATTAAAAAAATATAATTATTTAAAATTAAAGTTAATTTTAAATAAATATATATAAATTTAATTAAATGTTAACGTATATATATAAATAATGTTAATTTTATATAAATAATATTATTTAAATATATTAATTTATTAATTTAAAATTAAAAAAAAAAAGTTATTTTAACTTTAATTAAATTTATTAATAAAAAAAATAAAAAATAATTTACTTAAAATATTTTTAATTAATTTTATAAAAATATTTTTAATAACGTATATAATTTAATTAAAAAGTAATTTATGAATTTTAATTTAATTTAATAATATAAATATTTATGTTAATTTATATTAATTAATATTAAAAAATTTAATGTTTAATTAAATTAAAAAAAATCCGTAAAAAAAGTAAAATTATTTACTTTAACTTTAATTTTAACCGTTAATAAAAAATGTTAATTATTATAATTTATTTTATAATTAAAAAAGTTAATTTAAACCCGTATAATTAATGTTAATATGTAAAATCACGTAATTTTTACGCGAAATACGTTATAAAATCCCGCATTTTTTTTTTAAAACATGTATAAATTATTAATATTTAAATATAACTTTTAATTATTTATTTTATTAAAATATAATTTAATTAAATATATATAAAATTAAATAATATTAATAATAATAAAAATAATTAAAAAAAATAAAAAATAAAGTTAATTAAGTTTAAATAATAACGATATTAAATAAAGTAAATTTATATTTAATAAAAATACTTTAAACGATTTAATTATATAAAAGCTTAAAAAATATCGATTTATAATTAACGTAAAATTAACTTATTATTAATATAATTATATATTTTTAAAATAATAACGCCATTAATTAAATACGTATAAATAACTTTAAAAAATAATCATTATATATTATTAATTTATTAATAATAAAAAAAATTATCGGTTTAAAAATAAAAATATAATAAATTAATATAATTCGGAAAAAAATAACTTAATTTAATATATATTAAAATAAACTTAAATTATTTAAAAACTTTTTAATTTTATTAAATTTAAATGCGTTAAATTAATGTTAACTTAATTAAAAATTTAAAAAAAAATTAAAAAATTAAAAAATTAAAAAATTAAAAAATTAAATAAAATATTTAAAATTAAATAATTAAAAAATTAAAAAATAAATATTTAATAAAATTTAATTTAATTTAATAAAATAAAATAAAATTTAAATTTAAAAATTAATAAATTAATAAATTAATAAATTAATAAATAAATAAATAAAATAAATAAAATAAATAAAATAAATTAAAATAAAATTAATAAAAATAATTAAAATTAATAAAATTAATAAAAATAATAAAATTAATAAAAATTAATAAAATTAATAAAATTAATAAAATTAAATAAAATTAATAAAATTAATAAAATTAATAAAATTAATAAAATTAAATAAAATTAATAAAATTAATAAAATTAAATAATTATTAATAATAAATAATTAATAAAAAATTATTTAATTTTTTAAAAATAATAAAATTAATATATAAATTTATATAAATTTATTTTTATAATCTTATATTAATATTAATAAAAAAAATTTTATTTTTTTTTATTTTTTTTTTATTTAAATTATTCGAAATATTTTAACTTTTAATTAATTTAAAACTTTATTAAGTTTTTATTATTAAATATTATTTAAATAAATTTAATATTAAATATATTTTAAATTTATTAAATATAACTTATAATATTTAAATTTTACGTTTTACTTTTTATTATTATTTTAAAAAATGAAAAATTAAATTTAATTAAATTTAAATTATTTATATTAAATCTTTTAAAACTTATATACGTAAATTATTTTTCGAATATAATTTAAATAATGATTAATTAATTTTATTTTTTATTTAAAAAAATTATATTATATTATATTAAAATATTATAATTATTTATAAATTTTTAATAATTTTTTAATAATTTAACCTTAAAAGATTAAAATTACGCATAAATAAATTATGTAATTTTTTTAAAAATAAATAATATATATAAAATATTATAAAAAAAATGGATTATTAAATATTATACGTATATATTAAATAATAATAATTTAACATTTTTTAATATATTATTTTTAAGGTTTATATTAAATTTCACATAAATAAAATCGTATAACGTAATATAAAAATATAATAACGTTATAATAATTAAATAATGTTAAACTTAAATTATATTTAATTTATAAATATATATTATAAATTAAAAGCATATAATATTAAAGTTTACGTAATTATTAATATATATTTTTAATATATTTTTTAATTTTATTATAATATATTAATTTATATAACCCGTTTAATATTTATATAATATATTTAAATTATTAATTAATTTAATTATACACCTTTTATTATTTATTTAAATAAAAGTAATAAATTATTAATCATTATTACATTTTATTATTATTTATTATAAAATATTAAAAATATACGTTTTTTATATCGTTTTATATTTTATTAATATAAATTTAAATAAATTAATATTAATTTAAAATAATTAACACGTTTTAAAATTTTAATTAAAAATCTTTATATTTTTATTAATAATATTTACTTTACTTTTTAATAATTAAAATATATTAATATAAATATTATTTTAAATAAACTTTTTCGTTTTTATAATTGTTTTTTTTTTAAATAAAACATAATTAATTAATATATTAAAAATTAATAATTATAACTTTATAATAATTGTATAATTTTTTAAAAAATAATATACGCTTGTATAAATTATTATTAATTTATTTATTATTAATTATATTATTATTAAAAATATTTTAATTAATTATAATATAAAGGTTTTTAAACGCGTAAATATATTATTAATAAAATTACTTTATTATACGTATATATATTTATAATTTATTATAAATTTATTAAATTTATATAAATTTAAAATTTATATTATATATATAAATAAAAAAATAAATTTTATATTATTTTTAATAAATTTTAAATTTTATATAACGTTTTTAATTTTAAATTAACCAATAATTATTAAATTTTATTAAACCGTAAAAAATGGATTAAATTATAACATTTAATTAATTTAAATTAAATAAATTTTAATATTTATTTTTTAAAATAAAACTTAATAATTTATAATAATATTTTAATATAAATAAATGGTATTTTTAAAAAAATAAATAAATAAAATAAAAATTTACTTTATTTAAATTAATATCATTATTTATAAAAACAATTAATAAAATATAATTTATAAAAAATTAAACTTAAAATATTTAAATTATTATTTATTAATAATAATTAAAATTAATTTAAAATATTATTAAAAGAAATTAATATTAATTTAAAAAATTTAAAAAAAATAAAAATAAATAATAAAATTAAAGATAAATTTTAAATAATAATAATTTAATTATAAATAAATTTTAAATAATATAATTTAATTATATTTTATTTAAAAAATTAATATAAAACCGTTTATAAATATTTAATTTTATTTTATATAATAAAATAATTATATTTAAATTAATATTAAATTGTTTAAATTTTATTTTAACTTTTTTTAATTTTAATTAAATTAATTTAAATTTAATTTTAATATTTTTATTTTTTATTTTCTTTTTTTTTTTTTTAACTTTTATATTTTATTTATTATTTTTTTTAATTTTAATTTATTATTTATTATTTTTTTTAATTTTAATTTATTATTTATTATTTTTTTTAATTTTAATTTATATTTTATAAAATTTAATTTTAATAATTTTTAAAGATTTTATTTTTTTTTTAATAAGTTTTTCTTTAATTATTTTAAGGTTTTTATTTTTAATAATAATTTAATTTTTTTATAATTTAATTATATTTATTATAATTTTATTTAAATATAAATTAAAATAATAATTTTTATTATTAATATTTCCCGTTTTAATTAAAAACTTATTTTTAATTATTATAATTATATAAAATTAATTATAATTAATATTAAATAAATTAATTTATTTTATTATTTTTTTTAATATTACTTTTATAAATAACCATTTTTTTTTACGTAAATGTATTTAAATTAAAAATTTTTTAAATAAAAAATTAATTAATTTATAATAATTATTATATATAATATTAATTAATAATTTTATAACTTAATTAATTACAATTTAAATTAATTTAATAATAACATTTTCGGGATTATTATAAATTAATATTTTATAAAAATCAATAAAATAAAAATATATTTCGATTTTATTAATAATAAATTTAATTAATTTACGGTTATTTATTAAACTAATTTTACGTACTTTTTTAATTATATCGTAATATAATTTAAAATTTAATTTTTTATTTTTATTAAAAATAGTAAAAGTTAAAATCGTACGAGTAATTTAATAATTAAATAAAATTGAAATAAATTATTTAAATGAAAAAAGACTTTCGGTAAAGTTAATAACGTTTAAAATTTCTTAAATAATATTAAAGTTAATATTATAAATTTTATATATTTTTAAATAAAACATTTATTTTTTAATATTATAATATATAAATAAAAACTTAAAATAATAACTTAAAAAAACAAAGAAATTTATTATATAAAATTACTTCTTTTAATATTAATAAAATTATT